GTCTCCCACTGAACGTTGGGAGTTATTTTTAATCCTGACATCTAAAAATGTATGTTAAAGAATACGAAACCTAAAATCCATAAAATCATATTTCCCATAATGTGCGCTTCTTTGGTGAAGTTTGTCACACTTCAGTGTGCCTGTAATTTCTCATTTCCGTGTGGTAATACTAATGAGCTTTGATATCACTAAAAGAAGGTCGCACGTCCAGTCATCTTTCCTTTTCACAGTGTGTTTTGGAGTAGTTTGTTTTCCTTCTGTCCTTGTGATTTTTTGGGACATAATGTTTAAAGCAATAAAGATAACCAGACAGCTAACATTAAACGTAAAATGTGCAAGAAGCTAGCTCTTCTCTGATATGGTACAATCTTCATTGGATTTTTTAACATTTTGATTATTTTCTTCGTACTCTTTTTTGCTGTTACAATATTCCAGTAATGTTTCCGAGGTGTCTCTGAGCTGCTCACCTGTTTTAACAGTTCAAAACCTGTGACAGTTACTAACTCACCCAACTGCATTTGGTTTTAATGCTAATGGCTAATATTGGGCAATTGCTTTCGAAATATTATTGCGCTAACATTGCTTCTCTCTTCAGCCTGATACGGGAGAGTCCGTAGAAGCTAATGAAAAACCAGTACAGATGACTAAGGTAGCTCAAATTAACACTTGAATACGACTTAACTTTAAAAACTGTTATAAAAATTTTAACAAAAAGTTACTGCATAAAGTCCGCTGACAACAAACGGTAATCGAATAATTGTAAACCTAAATTAAAACTGAAATGCAATTTCTTTTGCGCGATGCTGCTTGATCTTTTGGCATATACTTTAAAACGATATGAATTTATCAATACAAAGGCCAATTGTCTTCCAGAACATCGCTTTAAAGTCTTACGAACTTTGTTTTGATTAAGATTTAAACACTAAATCTACATCAAAAAATTAAATGGTACTTGACTGGAAACTTGAGATCCGAGCTTTTAACAACCAAATGAACTAAATAACACAACTACGATCAACTTTGAGTCAACGTGTTTGGTTTTTTTTTTGTTTTTTTCTTTTTTAAAGGCTGAGCAGATCAATCTTTCGAAAAGGTCCTTCTGTAATGCAGAACATCTTAAACAGGTAAGTTGTGACTACTTACGGGTAAGAATTAAGGGGAAAGACACTTCCTATAAGAATGATGTTTGGAACAGTGCTATTAAAAAAAAATGACATCGTACCCAGATCCTACCATATGAACCGCTTAGCCTTGGAAGGTCTGGGTACGAGACTAGACAACTACATTTACTTTCATATTGTCCAGAGACACCCCTCCCTCAGACAGTACAATAAAAGAAAAAACACTGGTTTTGATTTAAGCTTTCTTTTAGTCTTTGTGGTACTCATTACTGTTCTCACCAGAGCCTTAACATTTATTTTTCAGATTAGAGCAACGGCATCCAAGTTCAAGAAACGTCGCACCAGCGACTCGAAAGATCCTAAGCGTAAAATATCAACTCCATAAGAAATTATCTCCAACCAGCGCACTTTTATACACTGCAGACGTAGATAATTGATATACAGATAAAGACGAAGTATTTATCGGCAGATTTCAGATGAACATTATCCGAGATGCATAAAGCCTCTGTTTTAAATCGAGGCTAAGCGCAAAGCTTTACTATACCTTTTATCACGCTTTCGTAACAAACGGGGGGTCAAATAACCCTTGGCCGCAACCCCCCCCCCTTCAAGCCACACCCTTACGTCAGGTAAGGTTTCAAGTACATATTACTGTAAATTTTATCAGGAGAAACACTCAGTTGATTATCAAATGGCAGTTTCTTATATGTAAATAATATTCATGCATACCATACATATACCATGATAGTGAGGTTGTATAATCTTTCGAACATTAGTTCAATCACCCTGACAGCACGAGACCTCCGTGTTAGTTTTTTGGAGGCTTCGTAAGACCAATTTTCTTCTTAGTGTCGAAACTATTCTGTGATTGCACTGGTTTTGCTCATGTTTTTTAGACTTCATAACTGGACTAGAAAAATCAAAGATTCAAAACTGAAAACCAATAGTGACCTGGTCATTTGCGTTTTCCTGCGTTTTAGGCCGTTAGAAACTTTTCCTTTAATTTTTCAAAAGCTGGCTAAGAAAAGAATTCTGCGTATCCCAGCTCTGCAACTTTAGCTAAGCGGAGGCTTATGTAAATACATGAATGAGTTTCGCATTTTTATATTAATTTATTGATAGTGTTGTAGAAACAACATAAAAAAGACTCAATACTTAAAGGTAGAATAGCATATTTAAAATCTTCATGAGCAAAATCATTCATTTAGCCATTTTCTAAGTTAAAGCGAAATTCAGCATCTTAATCGATTGAGGGACCTGAAAACAGGCCTAGGTTTTGTCTTTGCTCAGTACAAGTTTCAAAATAGCTACAGCTCATACTTACAAGAGAAACGGTTATACATGAGATGAATGAGCGTTAAATCGTTTGTCTCACGATTGAAGGGTCAGGCTAATCAATCATGTATTGATCGTGACGTTTCGACTGCTGTGCTGCTTGTCTTCGTCAATCGACGAGGTCGAAAGTTCACGTGTCGCTAATTGTAAACCTTGGTCTATTGTTATTGGTATGTGATGGTGCGCTGTCACTGAGACGAACGATTAAACGTTCATTTACCTATAAAACCCCCAACGAACGACAAAATTTTGTGTAACAGTAAAACATAAGTTATTGCGTGGAGTGTTTTAATGCAGAAATTATAGCAACTTACAGAGCTGAAGACGTTCTTTGTCCATTGTTTGTAGCAAATGTTTTGAAACTTCTCTCTTCAATCGACGACCGAACTCACAATTTACCATTCTGTCTTACACTGTTGCTTTAAGCGGTGCCTTTCTATCTCTTCCGTTTTCTCTCAAAGAGCCCTTCCCACCCAGGGCCGAGCTGTTCTAACACGATCAGTACAACTTTTCCATGGCTTGTATCCATGTTTGACCCGTGTTCATGGCTTGACAAGCAGTCATGACCACAGGTTATATTTTGTGTCATTGAGTCCTTCGTTATACTGAGATAAAACCCTACCAAACGTTAACCCCAAAATACTCCTTATAAAAAAATCAAGCCAAGCCAGTTTAGCTTTGCTTTTGTTTTGAACAACCGACCATGGGGTAAGAATGACCGCTAGTAATTTCCCTGGAGCCCTGATGAAGTTCTGGGGGGTGGGGGGAGGGCTTAGTATTAAACTAATATTCCACCCAGTGGGAGTAGGGATTCTCCTTGCTCCAAGTTGCTTCATGCTGTAATCGGAATCACCTCCAACAGTATAACTTATGACATCATCTTTTACAAGTATTGCACTAAAATAAAACACTTTTGTCAACCAGATGAAATCTTGAAAAAGTTTCATGACTGAAAATGGAACTTTTCAAATCTAATTATTTCGGTCGGAAATTCAGTGGGAAGTGATTTTTAAAAAGCATTTCACATCTTACACTTTGGATAAAACACCCCCTCCCTCCCACAAGCCACTATTCCCTCTTTCCACAATTCATGCTTAGCCTCAATTCTTCCATTTGGTTGAGGCTTGGCCCCCTGAGCCTGCGTTCCATCGGGCTAGCGGTTTAGTAATAAGACAGCCATTAGGCTATGTAACTAATGCGTGGTCACTTTACTGCGACCATCCATTTAAACATTCTGCTCGTAGTTGGTCGAACGAAAACAAACTTAATATTTTCCATTTTTCAGTCTTGTAAGCATCATGGTAAACCTCTCGAATAGATGTGATCTCAACAAAGATTCGACAAAGAATAATGATTTAGTGTTCCCCTTTGTATTTTAAGGATTTAATCACCCAGGAAATTCAAGGTATTTTAAAACATCAAAAGAGCACTCAAAACTTCCTTCAGCAACACGAAACACTGGCACTGAAAAGTTCTCGGGAGAGATACAAATAAAGACAAACCCATTCCATCAACAGTGTAGCTTCGTCACCGACGCATTTCACCTGAGTGTCACAGGTTGCATATCGTGAGTTTTGCATAGAATGCGTCGGTTTATTAGGCTAAATAGTTTGTATTGTGGTAGATAAATCGCAAATGGAGTCTTTTCATGAGTGTTATTTTTTCAAGGCAATCTTTTCAATACTACAGAAAATTTTTCCACTGCACTCTAAGACATCATCGCAAACGTGATGTTTTCGTGCAAAGAAAGTGAATCCCTTTAGAAGCAGAAACACCCCTTAGGCTATCAAGAGTGTTTATCAACGATGTAATTTCATTTCACTGTAATAGAAAATATCACCTGCAAATCTCTTTTCTCTCGATTTGACGCAATGACAGGGAGATAGCTCAATAGCTTAATATCGTTCCCATAACCCGGCAATACTTGGGGGCTTAAAGGGGAAGCAATTGCGTAAGATGTCGAAGATGTGTCGCGGCCCATTTTAAAGCGATGTTAGTTTTAAAGTCATTTTGAATGATACCATTGCATTTCCCTTTGCGTTAATTGTGGTGGAAATCAAAGACAGGATTCTATTCCTCGGAGGTAGCTTTCAAAGTTGACATACAAGCCAGCATACGGACTCTTTTCTGAGAAAGTTGAACGCTTTAGTACCTTCATCGCCGCATACAATTTCAAAGTTCGAGGAAACATATGGTCCACTTAATTGACAGCTATCATTTCGCAAGTTATCATTTTTTCTTGAGTTGCATTTACTTTTGGTGTTAGTTTTCGCTGACGTGCGTAAATTTCTAAGAGAAGTATGCCGCGTATTAGCATCAGTGATTCCTGCTCTGTTACGTGTGTTTATTTTTTCTCATAAATTACGGTAATGAGGTCTGAAATCTGATTGGTTCTCAGCGCGGTCCGGATTTTCCTGTCTCTGCCCACGGGAATAGTAACGCTTTTGTGAGTCGCCAAGTACATCCTTAGCTTTCCTTTGCTTCATTGCCATTTCTCTCTCTCTCTCTCTCTCTCTCTCTCTCTCTCTCTCTCTCTCTCTCTCTCTCAAATCACTTTGGTGGCCAGAAAAAAAATGCTTTCGCAAAAGGATTCGTGGTCGCAAAATTTGTCATTCAATGGGTTGAAACGCGACCTTAAAACCGTTTGTTATTGATATTGATAATCACAAATAGTAACTCAGAAAGTTAAAACGAGAGGTATTTGTTTACAATTGGATTAATCGATGGAACTTTCATTCATTTAATATCTGAATTCTCCCAAACAATTTGTTGGTTGTAAAGCGATGAGCGAAGTTTTGAGTTCTATTACGAAAACATTACTGGTAAATCTTTTCAAGTCCGAGGACTGAATTTGGACATTTGTACTGAGCGCAGACTTCGGGCACAGTTTTTCCTAATACAGACCTCCTGGCTGGTGACTAATATATACATGTATCTATGTGTATATACATATATTGTATTTGTGTTGGGTTTTCTAGAAATAGAAGAAGAAGTCCCGCAAAAAATGAATTACGCTCAACCCAAAGTATCTACTACTTCCTTGCACTGCTGAAACGCAGTTGCTCCGTTCAAAAAAAAAAAACTGAACAAAGAATAAGCTGAATCATAGTTTAAAAACCTTTCCAGACCAAATGCAAATAACAAGGGAGAGAGTGCAGCTGCCCATTCATTTGCTAAAAACCGCATCCTGTATTCAAAATTCTGAGGAAACAACTAAATAACTCCTCGTAACTGTATTGTTTCACCCCAAAGTAAACATTCATAAACTAGAGCGATGAACAAAGTTGCAAATCGAAAGTAAAAATAACAGTTTTTGAGACATGTTTTAAGAGGTTACTTTGGAAATAACGTAATATGCATTCTCGCCGTGAAGGAAATGACATAAATTGTACACACTTTTCGAAACGCGAAAACGACATAGAAAGCAGAACAACGCTTTGCTATAGAGCTAACCTTGAGTGCATGTCCATTTCTCATGCCGTGATAAAATTTGCGTTAAAAAGAGAGAAACAGAAGCTAATGTCGGTAATGCCACACGCAGAATCAGTTACTGAATACTTTTTTTTATCAACGATGAGGATAATCGCGAATCAAAACATGATTTCATCAGTGCTTGCTGCACGTAGACCATTTTTTTTTTAAGCGTTCGGTTGATGTTCCTGTTATCACACACTGACGAATTATTAAAAACGATCAAATTTTTTTATGTAAAGCTAATTGGTAGGCATGGCGATTGAAAATATTTTGTTCTGCCTGAGGTCATCTTCAAGAACATGACAACATGAGGGTGCATATCATATAATTTACATGTTTCCACTTTTGTTTCTGGGGCATTCGACTGAAATGAGAAACTTTAAACATTCACAATTGTAGGTATAAAAAGCGGCAAGTTTTTTTCATTTACATGCTCGTTTTTTCCCCTTTTTTCCTTTTCAATTTAAATCTTACCTAGGACAAAACACTACACGAAATATACACATGTATACGATGTTCAATTACCCGCCGTAAAACTACGAGACGTTTCGACTCTTTGGCTTTCCGAATTTGCGTTTTTCTTTTGTCTATCACGTTTCATTTCCCGTGATCAGCGCCGACTGATCGGCAACTTCTGTCCAAGCGATTAATGTCGGCTCGTTGACCGAATTACTCATGTCTACAACATCCTCGTGCAGTGCATGCCTCTCGCTAATACCACCTTGTTCAGGAAATGTTTGTCTTCTTTCAATGGCTTCTACAGTAACTGCAGCACCACTGTTTCCAGCGATGATGTTCTTGTCAAGATTTTCTGCGTTTTCAAAGCTCTCGCTAATAACACCTTGCTCGGAATTTGTCTTAGTTTTCTCGTTTGCTGCTACAGCAACCAAAACGTCATTATTTACCGCGACGATCGCCTTTTCGTGATTTTCCACACTGTCAAAACTTTCGTCAATGTTGCCTCGCTCATCAGATATACGACCTATTTCTATCAAAGCACCCGAAGTTCCAGGTTTCACAGCAATGCTCGGCTCTTTCGCCATATTTTCCATTGTTTCAATACCGTTCATCGCTTGGCTTTGTTCATCCAGTCCATCTGAGTTTTGTTTGTAACTGTAAACTTCAACAGTTACAGAATGTGCATTTGGAGATCCGGGAGAGTCTGTTTGTATCCGTGGGTTTGTATTGTCGCACATTTTATCGATGGATTCACTGCAGACCTCACTACCTTCGTCGTGTGGAGCGATTTCTCCAACCAATGTATTTTCCTCACTGAGCGGATCGCCTGCAATGCTCGTCGAACCAGCCGATTGCAAATCGCCACCTTCGCTTATCCGCTTATGCCGCGAGCGAAGATGAGGATGAAACATCAATGGATTTTGGAGTTGTTCTTGGGCGCCTCGAAAGCGTTCAATAGCGGTTTGAGGATTTCTTTCGTCGATATTGTAGACCTTCAACTCTCCTACGTCTTGTAAAAGACAGAGAGTGGATTCGGAAACCATGTATATCCTGGGTTGTAAACATATCGTTTCGTGCGTCGGTGACGAATTTATGATCACAGCGTGCGAAGGGCTGCAACCCATTTTTTTTTCCTCACGTTTTGAGACTTTCCACGACTTTTTCCTTCCTACAGACCCCACGACTGTTTAATTTCCATAAGCTGAAGTAGCTTTTAAAAAAGCCAGCTTTTCAGCGCGTTCTACCAATCAAGAGTCAAATTAAAACAATCTACTTTCCTTGTCCGCTGATCTATTCAAATAAGCATCCTGTGCCAATAGCCTTTAGCCAGCTGTCTTGATGAAAACATCGCTGTCATGAAATAAGTTTATTTCTGTTGTTTTTATTCTACAGTCCTACCTGCTGCAGACAGCTTTTGGACTAATATGCCTTGTTTTTCAGTTTCACGGACTGATTAGGAGGGTTGTAAAACAGCAGGAGGGCAGTGAAAAAAACGAACAGTTCGATGTTTTTCAAGGTAGAACATGACAAACAATGAAAGCAAAACTCAACCGTAATAAATTTCAAAATAATTGTGCTGTGTCCTCAACGACTTTGTGCAAAAAAAATAAAACGTGCTCTAAGGAGAGGAAACAATACTTCCATTAAATAAAAATGTTTTAAAATTGCAGTAAAAGAAAAATTGCTCTAGGTTACAATTTTAAACGTCAAAAAACCCTTTCGCTAAATTTAGTTTTCCTCATTAACATGAACATTTCTTGGTCGTAATATAAGTTAAATAAAACCTTTCAATCTTGTGCTGCCGAAAAAAATGAAAGCTAAAATTAAAGAGCAATAATTTCAGTGCGCTTGGAACAATGCCATCCCTTGCTGTCGCAACTCATAATAATAAAAAAAATTGTCACTTCTTTTTCTTAATTTCCAAAACCTTTCAAAGGCTTATCGATTGAAGTCGTTTCAATTTGCAGGTGCAAAAATTGTTTACAACGTACTATTTACATGTTACCTCCAGTTGAGGAAATATTAGGCATTAGACAGCCTTGTTCAAAAACATGCCTCATTTTACAAAAACAGAACATTGCTGTCGATTTCGAATAGTAAAAGGCATTTGGTTTTGTGTAAAATTCGACCCGGTTGAAAAACAATTCTCACCGATTCGTCACAATATTTCATCTCTTCAAAACGAATTACACTTCCACAAGCGTATTTTCTTACCGTTATAAATATATTCCTGCGGAAAAAATTCCGCTTAGTATAAGAACAAACTAGAACTATTCGAAATTTTTTGAAGATGACAAAATGTTTAAAAAGGCAAAAAATTATCGAGCAATAATTTGTGACGCATTGTGAAGCCGGAAATTTCAAATTGTCATGTCCAAAAATAATTAAAGTTTGACGAGACAATATCTTTTAGGATTTTAGTGAGGAACTCGATGAAAATTGATTGTCTACTTGAAAAAAATTAGAGAATTACTTTCACCATTTTGAACACCACGATATTGTAAAAGCTTTATCACAGTATTCTCGATTTCTAAAACGCTCATTTAAATTTATTATAGAATCAATATTCGAATGGGTTACTGAAGGGGCTGATCATGATCCGTACATTTTGCTAAATTATTCAAGCATCATTACAGTTGTTACTTATTTATTGTTAACGGCCTTTGCAATTAAGCTTCAAGGGATTCTGCTATTTTAGAACCTTGATGGTTCCATTTACTCCACATTTTAAATATTTCCTTAAACCAAAAATAGGGGAACTGGAAAATGTTATCGAGAATCTTGGTCTGCAACATTAGACTGTTTTTGATGAGTATAAAACAGAGGAAGGGGTAGGTGGTGTTTAAGATCATGGTAAAAGACAAGTAACAAAAAAAATTTCGCCGTTTTTTTTTCAGAATTTGTTGATTATCCTTGATATGCAAAACAACTCCCGCGAAAGATGAGAAATATGATGACAAAACGCCAGAAAAAAAAAAAAACTCTCCAAGGAAGAAGGCAGGCGACCAAGAATCTTTTGTTTATGTCCGTGCTTTTAGCAGTAGGTGGTACCTTCTCAGATTTTTTTAGTGAAATGTCCCAAGCAAGTCAAGGTTGTAACTCAAAGAACAACAGAAGACACGGCGTGTACGACCTTGCTCATGTCCTGTACTTCAAAAATGTTACCGCGAGACAGAGTTTATCCTTTATCTGCAAGCTAAAACTTCCGGACAATTTTCATGCAATACAGTATGCAAGTGTTAAGGTTTTAGAAATGAAAAATTGAAATCGAAAGGAAAGAGAAAAAAAGAAAAGCTCCACACTCAAGTGTACTTAGTCAAGCTTGAGAAAACTTCGGTATGCACATTTTGTTCTCTTTCCATTGTCTTTTCCAATCACCGGTGGAACCGATGACCTCCCTTACTTTCAGCTCACCATGTAATTCACGCTACCTGACACTTCTTTATCAGGAGAACAATCGGCAAAAGCGCAGTTAGTACAACTGAATGTGAAATCACTTTCTTCTGTAAGAACTGGAGGGAAATTTAAAATCATTGAAAAGAAATAAGCGAAGCCAGTCAGTAAATTTGAGACAGTAATGTCTTTCTGCTTTTCTTTCCCTCACTGGAACTTTTCATTAAGATGAGTTCAGTAGCATTTAACTTTTGTCTATTTGTTTCTGATTATTTAGCCTCTTTTTGAGTCTTTTTTTGCAAAAAAACATCTCTGTGTTGGCGTGTAGAGTGGTATGTTGCTCGTACCAATCGGATCGCCGCATCGGGGTATGTATCTCGCATCAATCACATCACAGCATTTTGATATCTTGCACCAATCACAGCGATTGAGTATTGTTTTCTTGTAAATGATGTCATGTAATCAGGGGGCTCATTTGATAAGTGCCATGGTAGTGGCCTTCGCGAGAGCCTCGTCGATTAAGTTGAGATCTATCGGAATATGAAAGGTTCGCATCATTTGTATCATCACTAGGTTAAAAAAGGTTTTTTCCGCTCCTTTACTCACAACTCACACACCAAACAACTTATATTCCATTACGTAACATGAAAAAAACGTCCAAAGTCCAATCAGAACATACACAATCCTTGCACTACATGAACATTAGGCAATTTTTCACGTGCTTGAATTGTATTCCACCAATCAAATTCCCTTTTGCCAAATTGGACTTCGCTGTGTTCAATCACGTATTATAACCGCATTGTCCAACCCCACTGAAAAATAATTCACACGGAAGTTAATGCCACTGATTGTGAATTTTTCCGCGCAATTCTTCCGCGTTTTGACTTTTCTACGAATAAAATTCGCTCTTAGCTACCTGGGTAAAGGATGCAGAGCTTCTTAGAATGAAAAGCCGCAAAAATAATTAAAAATCCATATTTATTTGAAGAATTTTGGACTTTACATCGATATTATGCTACAGTTAACGGATCAATAGGAAAAAAATCACTAACTTTACCTTAAAGCAATATCATGAAAAAAGCGAGCTTGGATGCAATTGAGTCCCAGGAATATTATCACAGTTTTCTGTCAGGATCTCTTGCTGTCTTCAAAAATGTCCATGAAATCAAATTCATTTTAAAACGATGTTTGCTGTGAGGCCATGTTAATGAAAATGATCTTTGACCTCAAGCTGTTAGAACTAAAGTTCACAAAAAATGGATTTAACCGTGGTCTTATTATGAAAGTAGGTGTAAATAGAACACAGAATGCTGCCCAGGATTCCACGCCAATATGGTTGAAATTTCATAAGATAAACAGAAAAAAGCTCTTTGGCTGAACCATGAAAAACAAATCCTGCTTACAATCTTTAAATCAAGTTCAGAATAGCCACCTTAACATACACAAATTTGGTTTTCTTTGACTCTTTACAGATAAACTAAAAGTACTTCTCTTGACTACGAAATCCATAATCCCCTTCATAGTCGCCCCGCAGCAAGCTGTGCGAAACAAGATCAGATGAAGAGAAATTCGAGCGTGGAACCCGACTAACATCGTCATTCCATTCTTCCACTCTGATTCCCAACTTCAATCCACAATTACCGCATAGACTTACATCAAGATTTGGACCAGCCGATGAACATAAGCAAATATTCATAAACATAGGTAGTTAGTCCCTTTTTTACGTCGCATGACAAAATATCACATAGTGACAAACGCGAAAATACTAATCAGTAGGTGGTTCTCTCAGCCACTAACCCCCTTAGGTAACGCAACATCTTCTGGGTGGAAAACGTACAGAACCTCGATTAAGCGTGAATTAAACGGTTGCAACAAGGTTACACTGCAATAGAACTAGTCCGGTAAAATTCTTAATGAACCTAACAAGGTATTGTGTTTTTCTTCTACATATTTGACCACACGATATTTGGCAAAGATTTAACCAAGGAGATTGGGAACCAGGTAAGTTCTAGTCCGACGAACTCTTCAGACTTCTCTTCCATGAATTCTTCGCAATGGTATTGAATGAACATTGCAGCAAGATTTGATTTCGTTTACGTGAGTCAATTAAAGTGACATAGAAGGCTTCACGTCTCATTTCAAACCAATCATCGCGGCTTTCATAAGTGAAAAGAAAGAGATCTTGGGCAACCTCGTTTTCATTTTCATGGCAACCTCGTTTTCATTTTCATCCACATTCCTGCACGGCACATAGTAGCACCTCTCTAGAAACACACCTTGCTCTAGGAACACTAACTTTGGTCCAATAAAGGGACGCCTGTATTCATGGAACATTTATGATGGTCCTTCGGGCCTCCCCTAAATAAGAGATCCATTATAATCAATCATGTTGTCAGTTTGTCTGGCAGCACTCTTTCAATTTTACTTGTTATACTACTTATTTAACTAAAAATTATCTACTGGGCAATAAATTTCATATCTTTATCTCTTCGTATGAAGGCGAGTCTTCGTCTTGTGATTCTTTCTTGATCTGCACATGGGCTACGGTGCTTTCAAAGTGCTTTCTTATCAGCTCCGTTTCGTCTGTTCCTTCTAAACCAGGAAGGTCCTCACGTATTTTCTCCAGCAACTGATTTATCACCGTAACCGTTACCTGATATTTGGAGAAAGAAAGAATACGTCACGATGACAACCCTTGATATTACTGTCCAGGGATTTCTTTGTTCGTTAACGCGACATCTTTCATTTTAAATCTAGTTACGCGACTTCTCTCCTTTCCCAGTTCCCTTCAATAAAATCCTGATTTGCCACGATATCTAGACTTCGTTTTGTAATGACTTATAACAATCCTCACGTAGAAAACATGATCGTTACGTTCTGAGCCTTTTTAAGTTTATAACTTTGCTTTGTGTAGTCAGACGTAAACCCAGAAACCGACAGATTTTTCTCATGTTGCAATTCGTTCCTACCCTATTTATCATCCGTAGTTGATCGGGAAAATGCTGAGGATCAAATCAAGGGACCTCCCCAATATTTCTTTGAAATAGCTTAGCTAGTTCTTTTATACACCCCTTCGAAGTAGCACACCTTCTTTCCTTTTAGGTTCGTGTGCGTTCCCCCCCTAGCTTAAGTAGGGAGTGAGTGATTGGTATATTACCGTGTCTGCTTTCTGTTCAAAATAGTAGAGGTAGCGATTGAGTACTTCCACAAACAGCTGCACCTGAATGGTGCTGTCCATGCATTGATTGGCGATTCGAACAGCTTTCTTTAGACACTCTGTGACTCGCTTGCTGTCTCGACACTGAAAAAGAAACAAAAAACGCTATTTCAAAAGCCCCAAATCAGGATCATGGTAACAATCACACGAAATAAGTCCTAACTCTTAAACCAGGAGTCCTACTGCAACGGATCTTATCCCGGTTTCATTCGCATAAAGTGAACACGAATCGTGTTAGAGCGCGACAAATACCCTTACCTCTCCTCCGTCAGCTTCGCGGCTTTTTCCAGACCAGAACAAGTGTGAACACACCACAACTGCTCTGCACTGATCCGGTTTCTTGAGCAGTTTGGAGGCAGCTAGAGCACACTGAGTGCGCAGGGGTTCATGGTTTTCCTCGCCGAAACAGCTCATCTTTTCGAATGTGCTGATTAGCAAGGTAATGGCGGCCAGCTGGGCTTTTGAATCACTAATTTCATCCTCATATATTGCGAAAGCCTGAAAATATAGACGCAAAAAGGTAAGGAGCTGAAAAATGAAATCTAATCATCTAAAATTCGATACTCACAATAATCGTTCAGAGTTTGTGCAAGGAACGCCCAAAGAAAAATATGCAATGGCCACTCAACATTAATTAAACACCACCTCTTACAGAGAGTTATTTCTGATTTCGGTGCAGTTTTCGGCATCTCTCAAGCCTTCTCTCACACAATTTTTCATAGAAGGGAGCTTGAGCACAAAAGTTTTTAAGACACGGACGGCAATTGGGAGTTATGAAATATTGATATTTTCCCTGGCCCGTCCCTCAGGTCTCATTTCTAACGCATTTCAAATTAAAATTTCAAAGTGCGCAAGAAGTCTTATTCTCTTTCCAGTGGCTGGTAGTGTCGCAAAACCTCTTTGATTATGTTCCCTTATGCTTTCGTATTCCTTTACATCCTCCATGTACGGGACGAGGGCGAAAAGAGGTCAGCAATCTCTCGAAAAGGAACGGTAGAAAAGACACAAATATCTTTGTAACTACAGAATCATAAATAACGTAAAAAATGAACGAACCTGGCTCATGAATTCATAAGCGACTGTTTCAGCATTAGAAAAGCCCGCTTGGTCAGCCACAAGTGCACCTTGGAGGAAGAGCCTGAGAGACAACTCAGCGTATTCTGCTTTGGCGAGGGCTGCTATCGTCTGATGGCAAAATTGAAAAATCTTCTGGCACTTTTTGTCCCATTTATCGTCCTAGAAAAATACACACGCAGATAAATAAATAAATAAGTAAATAGACAGCAAAGCGCACACTTCACACAAAGCTGCAATGTTTTCCTTCACAGAAAAATGGTTTGAGCAAAATTTCTCAATTCAAGGAACTACATATTGCCGTAGGTCTACCCTTTGCAGCCAGCTACCTCGACTCTTTTCAAATCAATATATTTGCTACTTCTGTAGGCCAGTGAAAAACTTAAAAAAGCAGAAGAGATTTACCTCGTCTTGTGCATCTCTGTACTGGTAGGCAAGCTGAAATGCTGAGAAGACAATTGGAGGTAGAGTGAACTTAATCCTCTTCTCTCCACCGCTTCCAAAATGTTTCCTTGCTGCATTGAGAATCTAGCACAATTGCAGACAAAACAAATCAGGAAATTGCTGACAGCAGGTGAAAGCTAAAAGCTGACACTAAACTCCTATTAATTATAAGTGACAGTGAGTGCTGCTTTCATAAAACGAAAAAACTGAAATTTTTGGCTACTTTTTGTCCTGGACCTACAAATTACCATCTCAGTGTCAATTACTCCCTCTGAGACCAGAAAAGTGCTTTACCGGCTTTGTGTGACATGTTCTGCACTGTGTGACAAAATGCCCCATAAATGCACATAACATTTAAGTGTCAGGAACAAAGAACAAAAAACTCACCAGATACTGTTGATCAGGACTGTCACCTCTCAGCAATGTCACAAATTTTCCCATTAGACTCTGTTCCTCAATAAAATCCTCAGGATCATCCTGCATGAGATAGACATAAAAACAAATTGAAGGTCATTGCCTTGTATCAAATTGCTCATCCACTCTGTACTAAAAAATTTCCCACAAAATGACTATTTAAATACCAGTGAAAACCAAGGCAGCTATCCATCGAACAAGTCAAGTCCATATACAAGAATAACTCAGAGAGTTGCCGCAACCCATTCCAGTTTCTGTAGCATGACACAAATATTTTACCTCTCCCCGGGCTGGGATGACAGTCCATTGAAAAGTACCCACCACATTTCATCAGATTTCCCTTAAAGATTCCACCCTACCAATTTCTTTTCCCAGATGGAGAAAGGTAGTGTTTAAGTTCACTGTCTAACCCAAAAACAGAAAAATATTATAAACAATTCCGCTTAGGGTTTGAAACCCAAACTTTGATCCAGAGTCCAATTCACTTTTTATTAAGACACTGCATTGTTTACATGAGAGGTTCTCAGTAGTGAAGTACTCACTTGTTCAGAGGGTTGGTCTTCTTGGTCGCAAACCAATGTGGAGACAAGGTTCAGCACTGAGTCAACCTGAGATAAAGAGATACAAACATGAATTCTCCGAACTCAATGTATCAGATTCCTTTCAAGTCAGTTTTGAGAATTTATTAATTCATTAGAATTTCCTAGAGTACAACCAGAATATATATAGGCAAATGGAAAAAAAAGACAACAGAACATAACATCCATTCAGAGAGACGACCAGATCCTCAGGAAATTCACAGTAGTTAACTTGACTATTCTTGTTCCACTCCTGCATAACTTGCCCTAACACATCACAAGCTACTGTCTAGCAACAACTTCATCAGTTTTCCTTCAAAACATGCCTCTACCATTTATAACCCACACAAAGAGAGGCATTGCATGAAGAAAATGTCTTTTCCAGGAGAGTGCACAATAGCCTGGAATTGAACAAGCACTTCCCAAATCCAGAATCTAGTATGCTCACTAGTAGACAACTACACAGAAGTCATACTTCTATCATAACTGACAGTTTTTCACTCACCTGCTCTTGGGTGGGGATTGTGATTGCACTTTCTACAGCATTGGTAATCACATAAAGTGACATCTCTTTCCTTGAGCTGAAATCAAAGTATTTAAACAATGGAGCAAAGTATTCCAGCTGAAGAAGTGTGAGAATGTTGCTGTAGGAATCAACAGGGATCTTCAGAAGTCTTGTCAGTTCCTTTGAAACTGCATTGTTCTTGTCCATACTGGAAATAAGAAAATGAAAAAAAATTCTCACATGGCTGTCACAAGATGTACATGTATAAAATGTAACAGAGCAGATTTGTTATCAAAAGCAAACTTAAATGAAAACATTGCAGTAGAAAAATAATTTTCACAAAAATGAAAAAAAAAGAAGGCCCCAACACCAGCTGCATTTCAGTCCAATTCCAAAACTCACCTTTATGAGACTTTCTTAAAAAAAAATGGTCATATTAATAAAAAAATAGTCATATTAAATGAGATAATCATACAGCAGGGATGATTGCTTTTTAAAAGGATCCAAATAAAGTGGCTAAAATGTTGTAGCAACATACATTTTAGGATGGAACTGTCATGGGTATGACTGAGATTTTAAAAAAGAGACTATTTTTCTTTTTCTGATCAAAAACCTTACTTGCCTGGTTAATTTTTAATTACTTATGTAGGTATAAAGTAATCTACATAACAGAACATGCTTTTATGGCTTACTGAGAGATATCAAGTTTGCTGAAAATCTCAGAGGTGTACTGTAGAACTTTGTCAACATAATCCACTCTCTCAGGGTAACACTTTAAGGCAAGGTTAATCAGGGATACTTGAAGAGAAACAATGTCTTCTGTTGGCATCTCACCACGTGCCTAAAAATAAAAGTTATGGAGTAACATGCAGAAGTTATACATCTATAAAATGTTACTTAATTTCTAGTTCCAGTAATATACTATTATTGCTGAATAGTCTAGTAGTGTAAAAACTCGCAGATAAGCTGCACCCTGAATTTAGCAGCTCAAATTTTGGAGAAAAAAGTTTTTTTGAAAGAAATCAAAAGAAATCCAAAGTTGAGTCTTGAGAAGTCTTCTTCATCCACTGTTCATCGAACATAAACTCACAATTAACACCAAAACGGAAAATACTTCAAAATCTTACCCACAATTTTAGAATTTTATTATAATGAACATCGTTTCTACCAACTTTGACATATCATTGATCTTTTTCTGGTATTTGTTGACAGGAATTTCTTCATTCAACACAGTTTTTCCATAGATTTTTGCATTACAACAAGAATGTGAGCAGAACATTCAAAGCTTAGTTACCAGGCATTAGATCGAACACAAAAATGGACATTGGTGTCGGCATTTACAACACCTTTTTCAAATGCTCCTGCAGATAAGCTGCACCCCAATTTCTAGTGAAGAATTTTGGAAAAAAGGTGCGGCTTATATGCAGGTTTTTACGGTAATCTATGATAACTTAAAAAAAGTGTTATTTTGGTTTGGCACATGACCTAATGCTACACAGTATGTATCCATAACTTCTCTACAGATTAAAAAAAAAAAGGAGTCTATTTAGACAGTTAAAATATGGCTAAGAACCTTATTCTACAAAGTCTAGATTGCTTTTTAAATGCTGACAGATATTACTGATAAAATAACCTTGTGACTTTTTCTGAGAGAATAGCAAGGCTGTGTTAAAGTCACTTTCATCTTAATTTATTTCATTCATACTGAGATTTATACTTTGTTTTTGTCTCTGATTGGACGAATGGTGTATTTTCACAGTTGTTCACTTCCAATCTTTGAATTGAAAATGAAGAAAAATCTCAGTTTAAATGAAATAAAAATATCATGCCATGGAAAGTGCTTGAATGGTTTTTATTCACTTGTTGCGATGCATCAAAAAACTAATTTGTTTGCTGCATTCACTCATTCCTTTTTTTGATGCATCACAACTCATGGATAAAAATCATTTGCACGCACTTTCCATGGACCAATCTCTATTTATTACATCAATTACCTGAACAACTGAAGAGACCTGTTCAGACATCACATCAAACAATCTTAAATCACTTGGTATTCCGCCATCTTCTCTGTTTGCAAATAAAGCAAGTCTATCAATGAGTGATATGATGATGTTCTTGATGTTCACTCTTTCATGAAGATCAGCACAAGCATGGAGGAAACTGCTTAATGTCCTCAGGTGGAATTCATCCGGAAACACTTGAATAACACACTCCATGAGGTATTCCTGAGCGATTGGATCTCTGCAACTCACTATCTGCTCAAATACTCCTGGAAGGACATTCTAAAGAGGTAACAGTTACAAGGTTAATTTGGTGATTTCTACAGAGCATAAATGTAAAAATGACATTGGAGTATCCTCACAGTCTATCAATAAATATATCAGAGATCTGTGATATAAGGAAGTACAAGGTACTTCTTCTCTAGCTGAATGAGAAAATAGATGATAAATGTAGTCTGTCATGGCCTATTCCAAGTCACCATGTTGTCACCTCTGCTCATGTGCTGCTCACGTGCTGCTCACATACAAAAATGTGCTAATCTCTGAATACTGATGCTAGGGTCTAAGGGATTAGCAGATCTTGGGAGTTAAATGAGTTAGCAGCAGCAGTAATTAGATAAACTTACTTTTTTGTAAGTGTCAACATTAACTCCATCAAGTTGACTCAGTCTGACAAGGTTAGTTCCCACAAGAATGCGCAGCTCTTGCCGCTCTCTCTCTCTCTTCTCTCGATCACGGGTGTGGCCTTGGTGCTGTATCCGAACCCAAAGTTTATTCATCTCAGCAAAGTTTAGAAGCACAAAGGATATAGAATCCTTTACAGTGCCATCTTGGTGCTCAGAGTCAGCTCTGCAACCAAAAAATAAGCTATAAACACTCTAACCTTACATCATTTAAATTGAAACTCTAACTACATACATTCTCTTTACCTTAAGGTCAGTTTTACCAAACCCTTTTCTTGTTAGCAGTTTTTTTTTAACCATTCCTTGGAAAAGTCAAAGTTCTACTACTTGTTTTCCATACTCCCTGTAGACTGTACTGGCTTCTATCTTTTTCACTTTTCTTTCATAGGCTAAGCATGACTTAAGTATGAAAAAGCTAAATTTGTGCATAGCATGACAAAACCCTTTCAGGATATGTTAGTCAGAATAAATTGTACAATCTTAATCTGTACATCCATAAAGTGCTTCTCCTTATCCCCTCTTTCTAGGTCAACTTGGAATACAAATATCTCTTTTTTGGGGATGGAAAAAAACAGAGAACCAAAAGAAATCAAAATACTGTAATTTGCATGAAATTTAGTTAATTTTACCTTTTTCAAGATAGCTTTAAATCTCAGGTTTTAGACTGTTAGAAAAATGACCTGCAAGCTTTATAGCTTCAACAATTTTCATTTTAGAATAAAGGATTTGACTGATTGATTGACTGAAATACCCTCATGACAAGGAAAAGGAACCCAATCAAACCACATGTGAAGGAGGGGAATCCAACCTCTGCCACAGTCAAAAGTAGGGGGCAAGTACTTTGCTGCTGCAACATTTCTGTTCTCCCAAAGTTTCAACCAACCAGACGTGATACATGTAGGTTCGTGAATTCTCCCTACATTTTTTATAATCTAACCTTTACACCCTAATATCAGTATGCAAGTTCTCTATGCTGTTCTCTGAATATTTCCAATGTAACTAGAACTTTTCTAACAATCAAGAAATTCTTCAGTTCACATTTATTTAATTTATTCTCAAAACCTTGATGTTTGATTCAGAGGTGATACAGTTTTGAGAAATTAAATTCACATCACTCTTTAGGGTTACAGGGTTAACAAAGAACATTTATATCTTACACTGGTTCCTCTTCTCCAGTATCTGGCAACATGTTCCTTGTTGACTGTAACAAGTAGTTACGAAGAAACAAGCCTCTCAGAGGGTGCTGAACACCTCTACACATTTCAACCAAGTCCTTCAAAATATCCCTGCGAGATGCTTCATTGGCCTTGATGTAAACTGCTCCAACAGTTATTAGCAAATACCTTACACAAAAAGAATATCAGAAAAGAAAGTTACTAAGGCAAACAGAGTTATGAGTTTAAACCTTTTTATTCCCAGATACATCAAAATTCTCATTATTATATCAGTTTGTGCAGCACAGGATTGTTGTCAATTTTTTTTTTTCAGAGAACATTAAGGACAATAAATCGCACAGAATAAGTGACAATATCCAACAAGAGACATGTTGTAGTTGACAATTATTTCATCATAAAATAGTTGTAAACATATTTGATTTTCAGCACAATAAAGTAACTGGAGGAAAGGGAAGAACAAAGTAAACCTGACCTGACATTCATTTTTGACCATAAAATTCATATTATAGGTTGTCACATCACTAATTTATATGCTTCAAATTTGACAATTTCCTCAAGGTTAAAAATAATAGTGATCTTTATTATATCCATTTTGAATGGATATGGATTTCTCTCAGAGGTGCAATTTATTCATCAATTGCACCAATTTTTTGCTCTAAATCACATCTTTTTTCCCAGCCAATGACAAAACCTTTGTTTAAGAACAACAACCGATGAGGTTTCAAGCCTTGTTTAAAGTAACCAGTCATATTAGAAGGAAATAAAAGACAACTCTTGCAACCCTTTTACAAACCAGCTCTATACTGGATCAATAAATCATTTGTACAGACTAAAAAAATCCTGTATTTGGGCAACTTAATTTTTGTATTTTCAAAATGGATGTACTAAAGTAGTAAACAAACTTTCCATTGTGCAATTTTTGTCTGAAATCATACTTGTGATTTCAAATCAAACTTGTGCTGCACACTTCTTCAATTTAGAAATCATGCATATGATTTCAGACCAAATTGCACTCCATGCAGTTCAATTACCATTTTCAAATCTACCTCAACGGCTTACTGGACTGGAAAAAAACCAATGCATGATATATATCAGTCCCATGTGTTGTACAAAGCATTATTGCAGTTTTGAAATACTTACAATCTTGGGACAATGTTTCCAGCATATTGAACAAGTTCATAGAGATCTGCCACTTTGCGGCCCTTCTGGAACTCATCCACAAGGAAAAGTTCAAGATGCCGCAGCTCATCAGATATTGCCATATCTTGATATTTGTTAAGGATTTCACTTAGTTGCTCTTCACAGAGTAGTTTCAAGAGCAGTAAAACTGTTAAGGGGAGAGGAGACCAAAGTAATTTAGAAGCCCACAGACACCTGTAATTCCTTTAAGACAGGCCATGTCTTAGAAGATACTTGCAAGAAGTGTCATGCCAGGCGATCAAAAAGGCTGCAAGGAGGCACATTAGAAAGGCACTTCCCAAACCATTTGAGAATAAAATCCATGCAAAAATCACATGAACCATCAATTTAAATAATATTTCTGAAAGCTAAATTAAAAAATTATCACCATTCTAATCTGCTCAAGATCAATCAAGACAACCAACTGGGTGGAAAAAGAAATGCACAGAAATAATTTAAAAAAATTTCTACAAATCCAACAACTTCCCAAAAGTGAAAATAATACAATGCTTTCTCCAACAGTAGTCTACCAAATACAGCTGTGATCAATAGTTAATATTAAGACAACATCATGTAAATCTGACGATGAGAGAAAAAAATTTTTCTAACAAGTAAACACAGCGAAGGCTTCTACAACAGACTTATTTAAAAAGAGAGACACCTTGCTCTCGGGAAACACTTAACATCCAAAGGTTCGAGGAGACCAAGATAACAATTAAAGAACTGATCAAATTAACACATCAACTCATAAAATTCCCGCGAACGATTAGAAAAACTTCAATTAATAACAGACATTTAATCCGGACATAAATTAGTAAAATATGAATCGTTTAGAAATAAGGCCAAATGTTGACATGTTAAATCTCGCATCAGTTTACATAGGAAGCTTGTCAGTACCCAGCACAAAAAGGATACACAACTCGTAGTAACTCTTTGGTGACAGCATCGACGTTCGCAATTCGCTTAGCATATTTGATGCGTGTTTCAAGCCATCCATAAGCTTTGTCTTGTCCTGCATTTGTGAGTTCAAAATTGGTAAAAGAGAAAAAAAACAAAAACAAAAGAAAGGTGGTATTTCCGATAAGGATCGACACCTACCAAACATCGTTTCATCTGAAATGACTGAGACTTCACAACTTGGATGGCCTCATCCAAGAGTTTTTCCTGGTCCTCTTGCGAAGCTGCTGCAGTCACCGGCTACAAAAAGAATCAAATTTAATACGCACGTTTAATTTGAGAGTGTGTTCCATAATTAAAGCAAAAAATCGCTGACGAAACTAACCATCTTCGCCAAATTCTGCCGATCGTACTCTGTAGCATGCAAGGAAGTAGCACGTGACCGCGATTACTGGGGGACACCTCCTAGTACTCAGACCTCTCCGAGTATTTCCGAAAGAATACGAATGTTTCGCGGCAAAGTCGCGAAGACACGAGGCAAGCGTTGTACCTTTTGCCGGGTTAAGTCTGATTTTTTTGCCGGGAGTAAGTAAGATTACGTATCAACAACGTTGTTAACACTCAACAGAGACGTTCGTGAAGTGAATTTTCCAACAAACTTTGCCAAAACCAAGTTTAATCACTTTGTTCACCTGCACCTATTTATGAAAAATTATGGCGAATTGCTCGCGTGGACATGTGTTGACCAAAGTGCTCTTTTCCTGCTTTTTGGGAGCAGTTATGGACGCCTTAATATCTGGTGTGTTGCTAATTCATGGAAAGTACTTTTCTAGTTTTAATACCCATTCGCAAATGGAAGAATTCAAATTTTGTTCATCGGTTTTTGATTTGTGGATTTTGTCTTTGGTACGCTGTTGTACTTTACTTGGTGCCGCCTTAGGAGTACTGTTTTCTAAACGCAAAATGGAAGCAGTTTCTAGAATAACTGCATTTAAGAAACCTTGGCTTTATTACAGTGTTGGAGTTGTTGTCTTCGTTGTAACCAAATTCCTTGTGAGCACGGAATGTAACTTGGACAGAACATCGAAGATTTGGTTTTTGTCATTCCTGGGATGGACTGTAGTTGGCACAGTGATTGCTAATGGTCTTTGGTATTTCCTCTCTAAAGTCAAAATTACGGCCTTATCTTCAGAACAAGAAACTGGTTCGATACAAGGAAGAGAGGGTCTCCTCACTTTTCACGACTTTCAAGATTCAGAAGAGAGTGGCACCAATGGGAAGAAAAACAATATTTCTGCTTGGAGACTGATGTCTTATTGCAAGCCAGACATCCCCTACATTTCTTTCGCATCTGTTTTCCTCTTACTTGCAGCAACTGGTGAAATATTCATTCCATATTATACAGGACAGGTCATAGATGCCATTGCCATTGATAAGGACAAGACCAAGTTTATGAATGCTATTCTCATTATGACCCTTATATCACTTGGTACAGCAATTTCAGCAGGCTTGCGTGGTGGGCTGTTCAACTTGATTGCGGCAAGATTTACCAGGAGAATCAATAATGTTTTATTTGGCTCTATTGTGAAACAAGAAATTGGATTCTTTGATAGTACAAAGACAGGAGATATTGTCTCACGTCTGAGCTCAGACACTACAAAGATGTCCGATCAAGTTGGATTAAACATCAATGTGTTTCTGCGTAACTGTGTCCAGTCCATTGGTACATGTGTTTTTATGTTCAAACTCTCTTGGAAGTTAACTACTGTAACTCTGGTTGGCTTGCCCTTGGTTGCATTTATCTCAGACATTTATGGAGACTACTACAAGAAGTTGGCAACAGAAGTTCAAGAAGAAACTGCGAAGGCAAATGAAATTGCAGCAGAAGTTGTATCTTCTATGAAGACTGTTCGCAGTTTTGCAAATGAAGATGGTGAATATGAGCAATATAGGAACAAACAAGATGCAATATATAAACTTAAAGTCAAGGAGTCCTATTTATATGGAGGATATCGATGGTGCACTGAAATCCTTTCCCTTGCCATCGATGTCATTGTTCTACTCTATGGAGGTCATTTAGTAATGAAGGGAGAACTGAGTGGTGGATATTTAGTATCTTTCATTTTGTATCTACTTCAGCTTAGCTTTTATATAGATGAAGTAGGAGAGATATATACAGGTCTTATGGAGGCTGTTGGTGCCTCTCAGAAAGTATTTGAACTCATTGACCGAGAACCCAAAATTCAGAACAGTGGCATTGTGACTCCTAATGAAGTTTCAGGTGAAGTTGAATTTCAGAATGTTTCCTTTGCATACCCCACAAGACCAGATATTACAGTCTTGGATAGTGTGTCGTTTAGCGTCAAACCAGGTGAAGTGATTGCTTTAGTTGGTCCTAGTGGCGGTGGAAAGAGCACCTGCATCAGTCTTCTGGAACACTTTTATGAGCCAACTTCAGGTGAAGTTTTGATTGATTCAATCCCAGTGAAGAATTTTGATCACAAATATTTGCACAACAAAGTGGCTCTGGTTGGTCAGGAACCTGTACTGTTTGCTAGGTCAGTCAAGGAAAACATTATATATGGTCTTGGTAATGATGTTGAGATTGACCAAAGCTTAGTCGAAAACGTGTCCAAACTTTCCAATGCACATGCTTTTATCAATGATTTGCCAGAGGGATATGATACAGAAACTGGTGAAAAGGGCTTGCAGTTATCAGGTGGTCAAAAGCAAAGAGTTGCTATTGCTAGAGCATTAGCTCGTAATCCTCGAATCCTCTTGCTGGATGAAGCTACAAGTGCTTTAGATGCAGAAAGTGAGCATCTTGTCCAGGATGCAATTTACAAGAATTTGACTGGCCACACAGTATTGATAGTGGCCCATCGTTTGAGTACTATCGAGAAAGCTGACAAAATTGTTGTTATCGATCAGGGTCAAGTTATTGCTCAAGGAAAGCATGAAGAGCTAGTCCACCAAAATGGACTCTATGCAAAGCTTGTGAGCCGCCAAATGTTAGGGCTTGAAAGAAGGAATTCTTCAACTGATGATACACTGCATGTTGGGTTCAAACATGTAGATCAGAATGATTCAGAGAGCCGTAATGGAAGCAGTTCCTCCTATTCTTCTAGTCCACACTTCTCAGCTTTGTCTAGAAAGTGACCTTGTGAGCCTGTAAAGGGACTTCAGCAACATTTATTTTGGGTTAACTTTCAAATTTAACTCGGAAGATCTGCTTATTAATTATCTCCACTTGCCACTACAAATTTCTTGGTCCATAACTTACAAGAATTTGGTGTTAGATCAAGATAACAACCTCTAAGTAATAATTTTGAGTATTCTCATTACCTGTCTTCTGGATGATGCATGGATATTATAGGGAGAAGTTACATGTTAAAAGGGAAGAGGTTGAAGGGAAGGAAACCTTAAAATTATAAATTTGGTTTGTCAGGATAGATATTGGTAATGGCATAGATTTGTTGAAAGATGTGTCAATGAGTCCTGTCAGCATTTTTAAATGCATGCAAGTCAGATTTTGTGAGTTTCAATATTGAATAGAGAGCATGAAAAGTTAAGTTGCATTTTATTTTTATCAAATGCAGTTTGCAGAAAGTGTTTATATGGTGAATCAATTTGCTTTGAAAGATTCAGATTGAGTGTTTAGTATGAGTTTCAAGTCTCTTTTGAGGAATATTGTATATAGAAATTGAACGCTCATTCTGACATGTTATAATCAACACCCTCTGCATCTTAGAATTTGTTTTAATCAACTGTATCTTAAATTTCACACAGATAAACTCACACTTACCTGTACTCTGGCCAACAAAATGGTTACACAGAGTTGTTGAAACATTATACAATTTTTTCATGATTGAATATCATTTGGTTGTTTGCAGAAAACCTCCTTTTTTAAAAGCAAAAATAATGGTTGAATGGGAAGAAGATCAAAATGAATTACCTATGATGAAAGGAATTACACAGGCTAATTTTTAAAGATGTATAGGCTATAACAGGCTCCTGTAATGGTTATAATGGTGATGAAAATTACCTTCCCATAACATCTTGTGGTGCATGTTGACACACCAACCTGAGAAATGAACATCTGTCAACAATATTTTTGATAAAAAATCACTTAAACATTTTGCAGAGAGGAACAAAGCCATAATTTTGGAAGTCATCTGCAGTTTAATTGTGATTGCTTAATCAATATATGTTAAAGAATGTTATTTTAACTATTTTGTGAGTTTAAGATGTGACTCTTAGTCCACTGTTACAGTTTAAATAAGTTATATATTTTAAAGTTCTGTGACGAGAATAAAGTTTGCCTCAGTCCCCAGCAAAGGCTTTCCGGTATGAATAATCTTGTACCCAGCTCCTAAAAAGTAGAAAGTAGACATATGGTGAAATGTTATCTGCCATCTCGCTGGCTGTTCTTTTTGCTCTGTGTCAGGACCTAAACCTCGTTTTTCTACATTTACTAGTCCTCGGTTGTATGAGATGACACTCGGAGAGAGACATGGTTATTAACTGCCGAACATTCATTTTGGAAAAGATTCCAAACAGTATAGAGTAACCTTCCCTTTGACTCTTCTCTTTTTTCCTCGCCAAGTGTATGTTTAGAGAACGGCTCCCTCACCGCATCTGTTTTTCTAGCAAGAAAGAAAACTTAGAGCAACTACATTTTGATTCTGCATTTTGTGTACCGGTGAGCCATAGAATGGACAGACTCCGCGTTTTACCCTCCCCTTCCTGATAACAAATTAATCCCAAACGATAGCCTGCTTTATTACCCCTCAAAGATTCAAACTTGTGCAAAGTGCATGACGGCAGATGGGTGAAATTAGGACAAATTTTCTTAATCACAATATTTCAGTTTTTTTTCAGAGCCGGACAGAAAGAAAAACAATATCTCAAGTAAACTATTTGTTCGCCGCGATCGGTGTCTAAGTAACCATTCTAAGCCGTTGTGGACTGGGTCGCATTATAAGTCACGTGACAGGAATATTGTTTCGAGCGCTTACTTTCAAATCGACTTCGCAAGTGAACGGTTCGAAGGTGAATTTTTTCAAGGCGATATTTTCACACAAAGGAATATTCAGCGTTCTTCAACACCCTAATGATATAAAGTTCCATACTTAAAATGGACCCATTTACTCAGGTAATTTCTTCAACTCTTTGTTTGCTTGCGTTTTGAGGAACACTCGTAAATCGAGAAACTCAAGCGAAACTTGTCGTTAAAAATACTTCAAGGGTACGCAGCTGGGGTCTTGTTCATGTGCAATGTTTTGTTTCTGTGAATGATAATAATGTACTTGTCGTTGGTTAGTTGAACTTAAATAGATTGAAATTGGGTGCAAGAGCTTAATTTTTCGCCTAAACAGGCGAACAGATGCTTTGAATCTTACCACGTCGCTGTTGTACTGTAATAAAGCTTAAAATTAGTCTCTAACTTTCAGTTCAACAGAAGAAAAATTATAGGTAAAACGTAGCATTTGTTTTTGGTGACAAAAATTCTTTGATTATTGAGTTGTCCTGTATGTTTCTAAAACAGATATTTTTTTAACTTAACGTTCTTCCCTACGTGATCTGCGAGAAATCACTAGTACATTCCATTCGTTCCAGTACAAAAGAAAAATTACCGATGCTTATCTGAAATGTAACTGTCAAATCATTTGAAAAAAGTAACTAAACAACAGCTCTTACGGAAGTTTAATCCTGTTTTACAAAATGTTTTTTTTTAATAAGTAAAGGCTAATAGCGTGTTATTATATTACGTGTAAGTTATTTTCATTCGTTGTGACATTCTTCCCAATTTCCTTCTATCTATCAAACCCTTTTCAAAAAATAAATTCTAACGGTTGATAATTTATTTGTTTTTAACAGAAATTATTGGCAAGGACTCAGGCAAGGAAAAACCAGCTTGTCAAAAAGCGTGAAGAACTTGAAGCATGCAGAGCTAAGAGAAATTCGCCCATTCATGATAGAACTCGGCGTCCCTTGTCAGAAGACAACACTGACAGCTGCTCGGCTGAGGTGGATACTGATGACATCAAAAGACGCAGAATTGGCAGTGAGGACAGTGGCAAAAGTGCTATTTTGCAAAATTCCAAGGACATTGATGTTAATAGCCCATCAGTTCAGGTAAATTGCCCGCAAAATCAACTGAAGAATACCTACACTGTACCAGTGCACAGTGACGACCATCAACTTCAAATATTATAGGATAAGTTGATTTTATCAACTGAGTTGAAAATGTAAATTGGCCACCATAAAGAATTTCTTATGCTGATGTTCAAGTGTTAGCCCTTCATCCAAAACAAATGGAGGAGTTGTTGGTTATGTGTTTTAAATGCAAAAAATGGAGCTACGCTATTGGTGGAAACAGGGTAACAAGAAAAAGCAAGAAGTAATTGGTTGAGAGAAAATTGCTTAGCAGGACTGCCAAACTTTTTTTTCTAGAGTTTTGTGGCGCTCTGAGCTGTCTAGATGCAGGGAAAGGCTGCAGACTGTCATATGCTGTTTAGAATGATGAAGAAGATTAAAGTCAAATCTCAAATATTGTAATCTATTAGCATGCACATTGTCAAGTGTTACATGTAGTTAAAGCCCTCAACCTTTATGTTAAGGAGTGACCAATTTGGAACTTCTTCCTTGTAAACTCAATGCTCATTTTCAAGAAGGAAAAATTTCTAAGAGGAGGACCTTCCTTCACCATTAAAAAAAATTATCCTTTTAGATGCAACATTGTAATAGATGCATTTATGCTAGAGACGTTAAAGTTGCCTAAGACGTTAAAGTCATCTCGAGACGACTTTAACGTCTCTAGCATAAAAATGGCCAATCTTTCTTTCAATTAGGCAAGAAAAGAAAGGCTGATGAAGATGCAACTGAAAGATCAAGAAAATGGTGCAACGCCAAAGAAACATTGGAAAGCTGTAACCCAAGGAACTGGAGTGAACAATTGCAATGTCAGCAGCCCTAGTGTAGCATCACGATCTGCAGCATTCCAAGCCAATGCTGCAAAGGATCAACAGAAGGTGATTCGTTATTATAATCAATAACATAAATATCCTTGTTTACTTGGCATTTAAAACATATCTGGGTAGTATTTTACATTTTGTGAGACTGAACACATTGAGCACCTACAATATGGGGGGCAAAATTTACCTGTAACTTATTTATGCTAATTTGATGTTTGACTGTCTTGTTTTCAGGAGAATATAAAGGACAAGAAATATCTTGAGCCTCAGGCATCACATACCCCTAGTAAACTGGCTGAGACACGGAGTGTGTTTGAGAATGGTGTGTCAACAAAAAGCAGAGTGAATATTGAAAAAGAGAAATTTATACCTCCCCCTAAGCCCCCAAGAGTGGCAGTCACTGAGGACATTTCTGATGAAAGTTCTGAAGAACAGTTGCAAGTAGCTAAGAGAAAAGCTCCATCTCCACCAAAGAATACTAAAGGAAATAAAGGCAGAGATCAAAATAGCAACTCTGTGATCAAACGGAAAGCTCCAGAACCTCCTACAACTTGTCAGGATCAAAGCCAGATTAGGAATGACACTAAGAGTGATATGGCAAAAATCAGCAAAGGTGCAGATGAAAAAAAAAAGGGTGCCAAAACAAGTCAAAGACGTTCATCCACTGATGAGGAAGGCAATGGAAACTTTCCCCCTGTTCCAGTCAAACGGGAAAGGAAAGGAAGTGTTGATGATTTAAATGGTGTCAACAAAGCTGATGGTGATCTACCTATGCCAAAACCACGAAAAAAAGTGATTAACTTGAATGAAGCAGGCAATGAAGCACAGGAAAGATGTGCTGACAATAAGAAAGTGAAAGAAAATAGAAGGGAAGAAACTTCAGATGACAAAGTGACTATTGTCGCCACTCCAGTTGGCAGTGATGAGAGAGTGAAGCTGAATCATGGAAAGCAACTGACAGAAGAACAACCACATGTCATCCAGGCCTGTGTGGTTGAAGAGAAAAGCCCAAAAGTTGTTGTTGCAAACAGGGAAATCACTGGAAGCATTGTTACTGTCAAAGCAGTTTCCTGTGATCACTCAGAAGAAAAAAGGATTGAGAACAAAAGGGAAAAAACCAGAGTCAATGCAGTGAAAGAATCCAAAACAGAGAAACCTCCAAGTGCTGCCAAAGTAGCTGACCAGGATTCCAAACAGGCAGTAACACCTGTTGTGTGGGAGAAACAGGCCCAAGGCTCTTCAAAGAAGCCAAGAAAATCTACTAAAAAAGAGGAGTTTGCATTTAAAGTTCCTAGAAGACCTACCAAAGAGTCCCACTTTGATCCAAATGAAACTATCAACCTTAACGATGTAAACATTCATGAAATGACATTCACCTTTGACTTTGGTCAGTTCGATGAACTTGAGAAAGAGAGGGAGGGCATTTTTCAAATGAGCTATGAAGAGAAGTGTAAACAGGTATGGTGGCTGAAGTTGTTTTTTCTTTTCATCATTCCTGTATCTAAAACTGTGATCCATTAATCTTTGATATTTATTGAATTTTGCGTTATGTCATAAGCAGTTATTTTTATTTTTCTAATTTGGTGATATGCTTTGCACATGTGATAAGCATTCTAAGCTGATCCAGATTTTAATACTGTAGCAACACTCATCACATAATATTTTTTCAATAATTATTCCATATTACATGTACATGTCTCATTTTTATTAGGTTCTGAGAAACTTAGCCCTTAACTCTTTACCACATTTCCAGGTTTTAGCCTGTCATACTAGGCCATGTATATGTTACGTTGAATAAACCTCTTGGCCTTCAAGACATTTATCCCACTGTGGGACCTTACTATTGACACATTTTATAGAGTGCTGAGCTCTGGCTTCACCTGTATGTGTTAGCCTTGTGTTACCTTATTTTGTTCTTTTTTGTAAGCTTGAGAAAGAACAGAAGAGAGAAGAGAGGAAGAGGAAAGAAACTGCTTCAACATCTTCCATGGAGTCTGATAGAGAGGAAAGAGGCACCTACCAATCTGGATACAACAGCCAGACTAGTGAACAATATGCTACCAAGACAGTACACAAGCCTAAAGAGCCAGTACCACAGAGACCAAAGAGAATACAAGATGAGATTAAAGTATGCTTGAATAAGAGTACATGCATGAAGTCCACTTAATTTACAATTCAGCGTTTACCACTGATTTTTTTAAAATTCACATCCTCTCTGTGCCCCTGGCCCTTTCATTCCCACAAGTCATAGAAAAGGAGTTTCTTGTCACTATATCAATATATTCTCAAAGAGAATCTGCCTTTAGGAGTGACTGTGTCTGCTGACTTGAAAAAATTTTTTGAAGAGGTCAGTAGACATGGGAAGAAATACAGTATGAGAAAAGGGAAGGAAAGACAATAAACCAATATTTATTTTAAATTTGTTATAAATAAAGTTCTTGGATTAATGGTTAAATCTGTCTTCATAGGTCCTCCTTGAGGAGGCAGCATACCAACAGAACATTGTCCTTCAGGCAAGTCAAGCTCTGAATTTGTGTGTTGCCAATGACATCACCTTTAAAGGTTCCCGGGAAGAAATTGAAGCAGAAAAAGTTTTATTACTAGCAAGTAGGTGCACTTGTGAACAATGTTATCGCATTTCATTGCTGAAATTCTCTACATACTTGTATGCAATTGTCTTTGACTAAATATAGAGTAACTGATATACTCATCTGTATCTCAATTATAGGAGCATTGAGTAATCAGAATTTATATTCTTCCTCTAAACGCAGCATTAAATATTTAATCCCAGACTATCAGAAAGTGTGTAAAAAATACTTTATTTCTTATAAGTTTATTTTGACATATATCATTCTTTATTATGATATACTATTATTTTAATTTAATTATCAATAGTATAGGTGCAAAATTACTGACTTTCTAATTCAAACAAATTTTATTGTTAGCTGAGCACAGAACAGCATGTCTAGATGAGGTCAACAAATTGAAAACTGGTGGTGCTGAAGGTGCGCAGGAATTTAAAGCAACAAATGTTGGTTCTGAGATGCCAGCATGTACAGCAACCTTATCCCTGTCAGGTGACTGTTTAATAGTTATTTGACCTTGGTTAAACTGATGACATGAACATTTTTCTCTTTAAGTACAATTGAAATTCTCTATTGAGACTATTTAAAAAATTATTTATTTCATAGATATCAAAATTACTCTTCATCAAGAATTTATGGACATGCTGAGAGTGGGCATCAGAAATGGTAAGGAAACAATTATATCCCCTTTTGCTGATCTTCAACTGTAGTATGTGTAACCTTCTAAATGCTGATCTCCTGTTGATAGTAGGAGTGGGGAGAACATTAACCCTTTCACTCTCAAGATCTAATTAGTAATTCTCCTTACTACCTGCCATACAATTCTTATAATGTTAGTTCAGAGAATTTGGCATTGGATCAACTAATAATCCCATGGTTGACATTCTTCTCTATTCTCATCACCTGCCTGCTTGATATTGTATTGATATTGTAAGGAGAAATTCTGTCTTGGTCACTTGTGGGAGTGAAAGGGTTAAGTTGTACATTTGTGTATAGAGTACAATATGAAGAATTAAAGTACCAGTAGGTGAGTTGACCTTAAAGATCTTGCAAAATTTACATATACAGTTTATTCAGGAAGCAGTTCATAGAAATTTGTGGATTACAGTGCAATTTACAAGCTTCCCTGGATGTTGACACTAAGAACTGGTCAAATATGAGTTTCTGTAAATAAGGAAGCTGATTTTGTTTGATGTTTGTTTGTCAGATCTTGGTGTGTTTTACTTTGTCTGCATCGTCCAACATGGGCCACATGAGTTTTACTGTTCTAGAGTTTTATCAACAAATGATGTCACTGAAGGAAACTTTCTGATGTTCCCTGACAAGTTTACTTGGTAAGTGAATTTTCATGTTAAATGGTGTTTTGATCACTGCAAGGCTGTTTAATCTTAACCAGCACCATGAGGAACTGCAGGTTACAGTGGGTTTTTACTAGGCAACTTGTATAGTTGTGTGTAACCTTGAGCCCAGGTTCTAAGATTGACCAGACCCCTCTCAACCTTCTAAGTTTCATGCCATTAATAAATTGGGAAGTTTTCGAGAGCGTGCCTGAGATCTTTTGTTATTCTATTTGCTGTCACAGGAAGGACCTTAAACCAGATTTTACTATAGCTGTGAAGCTTTTCTGCATGGTAAGTTTTAACTTTCTAATGCTCTTAACATTGGTCCACAAAATAACAATCCTCCAACTCACAAAATGAGATCTGCAAACTCAACTATCATGCTCAATTCCCACTTTTTTCATATACCAAGGAAGATAGAGAATACATGTATTTTTCTAGTACATTGTAAATGCAAAATTTTATATTTACATCTAGATTTTTGATCATAAGATTCAAAAGTTTAGTATCATTTAAAATAATTTTAATTAAGTTTTTTTTTTCTTCAGAATGTGAAAAAGACACTAATGCCTGCACCTGTATCCACTCCTACCAAACACAAGATCTTCCAGTCACCTAAAGTGGTGAAAGGGAAGCTTGCTGGTGTAAGAATAAGAATAATCTTTGTGTATACCATATGGTTAATATTCAAAGTTGTTTTGCATGCAGAAAATAATAATGAGAGATCTCTTAGGTACAGGTGTCAAACATTTAATTGGTAATTCAGGCCTTTCAGTCAGTTTTGAAGCAGCCTCTTACATCCAAGATATATGGGCAAGTGTAACTAATAACAACAACAATTAACATCTTCACCTGTAACAATGAGTGAGCTCTGCCAAAACAAGAAACACAGGTTACAGCCCTGAGTAATAATTTGTTTTGCAAATAGTTCTGGGGTGTAACATTCAGCCTTTGTCATTCACATGCCTCTTACTCACTGAGATTCCTTTGTTTGTCTGCTTTTTCCATTCAGCGACGTGCATCTGACACTGCTTCACCAGGTAAGTACTTTTCAATAGGAGCCCTCAAATCTTGAATTTTAGTCGTACCAGATGGAATCATTAAAAGCTCAGTAATAACTGATAGAAATCCTGAAATATATTTTCAGCGACTCAAGTTTCAGCGTCACCACAAACAGTGTTCAGAACTAGTAGCTTTGTGCCTGTTGGAGTGACACATGTCAACCTGCCAATCATCAAATCAAAACGGTTTTCCCTTGATAAGGTGTGTTAATATATTTCTTTGTCAAGATAATAGAAGTTAGGGAAGAAAGAATGTTGGCTATGATGGCAGCAACAAGAGCCTTTTTAGCAGTCAGCTCTGAGTCCATTTAAGAACCCCTTTGCTTTAGGGGACTCACTATTTACTCATAAGAAGCAGAAAGAACTGCAGCAATGCAATAATGTTTTATTATTACTATTTATGGTTTTTGATGGTTTTTGTTAGCTCTCAAAATGAAAAATGCATCTGATCAAACCCATCTTTTGATTATGTATATGGAGCTTTTAAAAATGCCACACTAGTTTAAATTTGTGAGAACTTGCCTTTATTTTATCATCAGGTGCCTGACACTTGTCCTTTGACAAACTTCTTGGAAATGAAAGTTGACTGCTCTCCTCAATTCAGCAGCAGTGTCAATGGATTTCTGGTAGGGGCCTATGTGTACTTATAGTGGAGACTGTTAAAAATCAATTTTTTTAATAGGTAATATATATACAAGGTACCAAGATTGCGGGCAATGGGGATGAACAATATCCCTCACTTTGTGGGAAAAGCACATGTCAGCCATAAAAAAAGGTGCCAGGAAGAAAGGCGTTCCTCTTAGTGAAAATTTTTTATAGAGAGCATGGATATTGTACATTTTATCATGTCATTTTGTATCATGGATGCAGGAGATGTAGTAATCTAATGTCAGTGCACTGGACTCAGGGTTAAGAGGTCCGGGTTCAAAACCTGGCTGCATCAATGTAATGTGTTCTTGGACAAGACACTTCACTCTCACTGTGCCTCTCTTCACCCAAGAGTATAAATGGGTTCTAGCGAATTTTCCAGGAAGCCCCTTAAAATGCTGGTGGGTAACCTTGCAGTGGACAATCATCCTATCCATGGGGGAGTGGTAATACTCTTAGCTACTTCGTGCTACGTGGAAACTGGGATAAGCTCTGGCTGGGTGGGCCACTAGGCTCCAGTACAGGCTTTATCTTTTAGGGTCATGGAGAGTCTTGAACATCTATCATTACAGGTTCTCACCATCAAATTGTCTCCCTTTTTTCATCAGACCATCTTAGAGGACATTGGGGGCTATGGGGCCTGGCAGAGAAGATGGTGTGTGCTACAAGGAGCTGTGATGTCCTATTGGAGATATCCAGGAGATGAGGAAACCAAGGTATTTTTTAAAGTGAATCCCCAATTATTTTGAAATTTTGAAATTAAAAATTACATCATTTTTTAGTCCTGAGAGGTCACAGAATGTTAGTTTGGGTCTTTAGAAGTCATGGGAAAGGAATGAAAATTATTTTCTAGGCAACAAAAATCTAAGCAAGAAATACTGTGTTTGGGACTGACCTTTGAATCATATCATACAGAACCTCTGCAAAAGTCCTGGAAGTGTTTGATTTAAATTTATAAGTAACAAAACAAGCCAAGAAAATTGAGATACCCTGACCTACTAATTTTCCTGATTTTTCTTACAAGGCTTGGACTCTTTGGCTTAATTTACATTATCTAACAGTCATGTGTTTCTTTCTGTCAAAGTCCCCAATGGGCTGCATCAATTTGGCAGATTGTATCAGTGAAGAAGTCACAAGAGTGGCGAGAGACCTGTGTGCTCGTCCAAACACCATGGAACTGAAGCTCAGGAGGTCTTGTGGTACTGAAGTCAAGTAAGTTATAGTATAGTCATGATATAATCATTGTCGGTAAAGTTAATAATAGGTTCAACTTTATTTCACTTGTATGCTATACAGTGCCAACATAAGCAAACTAATGAAAAGTTGTCAAACTAAAAATTATGGAATTCAAATTTATATGTAATCAGGGATTTTAGATAAAAGGGTGGTAGCTAGCAACAATTGATTGCTCCTGCTTGATTTGGGAAATTATTTTAGTTGCTTTTACTTTACTCTCTTCATGCATTACTCTTCATTCCTCCTTTATTTTTTAAAGACTCTTGTTTTAAATGGGTAGGTGCCTTCTACCTCAAATCCTCTTGAAAGACCTGTATATTACTATCATAAGACTCTTGTATATCTTCAACGTTTGTGAAGCTGTAATGATGACAATGTTTTAGCGTCAAAATTGAAAGGGAACTAGTTCAGCAATTTCTGTTTGTTAACCACCAAATATAAGGTACCTGTTGGCTGCTGATACCAAAATGGACCGTGCAACATGGATTGACAGTCTAAATGAAGCACTCAGAGATGGCCGTGCATGGACAGGAAAGGATAAGGAAGCCCTGTACCCTGACTTGAGCCACCTACACAATCAAGATGTTTATATGTGTTCAAAGGCTACTGTCTGAGCATTTTGGCTTTGGATATATCAAATGTGCTTCTATTGACTTTGCAATGCCTGTAGCACCTTTGACATAAAATGAACAAGTTTATTATAATTGTAAGTTTCTACATGTGAATTGTAGAGCTTGATCAACTATCAATTCAAATGAGTAGTTGATGCTTGAATGCAATTGTCTTTTTGTAGACATTACATTAAATAACTGGAAGATTTAAGCCAAATTCTGAATTTTAGAAATAACTGTCACTTAATATAACTTTATTTTAACAGATGATATGTCATGTCTTTTTGCACACCAGAGCTGTTGTAAAACACAAGTCAGATTTCCAGTCTAGAGGAGGTTTCAGTCTTGTCATAGCAATTGCATCACAATGCTGTATTCCTAAAAAACAAGAAGGGAAATGTAAAGCTCATGATGGTCCTTATATGATGGCATTATTTACCTCTCCCCTTAGTTTGGATAGTAAATGAAAGATCTTAACTTTGTCTCCTTTGCAACCATTCTTTGAGCCAGGCACTGCATGGCATTCCAAAGAACAGTTGCAAAGGAGACTGGATTATACCTTGGATATTCAGGGATGTTTTGAGATCAATGTATTTGATTTCTGGAAATTAGTAAGCGATGACTCTTTCCATCAACTTCCCTATTACTGCGGTACAACTTTTGTTAGGCAAAACAGTGAATCAATATTTTCAGTCAATGGGCTATAAATTGTCTACAATGAAATTGAGAATTAATAGATGAGAGGGACAGTTTTGAGCTGGATTTACTACTTGCTGAATGATCATATTTTAACGTCAATAATTAAGAAGAGGTGGAATATAATTAATATAGTACACTTGCAAATTTTAATTAACGTTTTTGTATTCTTAATAAATATTTTTCTGCAAAGTTCAGTTCTCTGCCTTTTGCTATATAATACTAAGGCTCTAAAGTGAACTTTAAATTAACAAGTGTTGATCCCTTAGACTAACATCGGTATTCATATTCTCTGTAATGTTCTCTCTGCATTTACTAAGATGCTGACAGGGAGAATTTCTCCAACAATCAAGAGTTTTTTTTTTTTGGTTGGTGATCATTTCCTTTATTCTCCTGACATTAATGTGTGATTCAGTGGTGATATTGTAAGGAGAAATTAGATGCTGGTCACTCTTAGGGGTTAAAGGGTTTAGAAATTCAAACTTTCCCCAGGAACATACCTCTAGATTCCCTCCCTGCCAATATATCACAATATAAATAAATGTAAATAGATCACAAAGAAAAAGACAAAAAAGACTTCTAACAAAAAAAGAATTAGGAACTCTTTATTGAACCTTCATTTTATACATTTAAAGTACTTATGAAAAAGGTAAAGCAAGAATAAAATAACATGTTATATCCCCAAGGGAAAGATTTAAGGGTTTAATGAGCAATCAGAAAGTGTCTTTTTTGAGGTGAGCAACTTTGTGAGGAGATTTCCTGTTGAGAGAAATTTTAGTTGTGTTCACAATTGTGGTCAAATGCTAGGCCCAATTTTTGTTGTTGTTGTTGTTAAAAGGCAAAATCAGCAACTGTGACTCTCTAAACATTAACCAAGCTCTAAAACCTAGACCTTGTAAACCTTTTCTTTTGAACCATTTGCCCATGAGAGTGAACTATTTGCCATAAACACCTCTATATTTAAATATGTAAAACTTAGATTCTGCTCAAAAGACTTGACACCTCTAGTTCAAATTCCCCACCCTCTCAAGGCAAGGTTCAAATATTCTACCCCCTGGGCACAGATGATGGTCAAATGCCTGTGGGTTGCCCATGGCACGAGGGGAATGTTGAAGCTTACAGAATTGATTGGCACATAACCATTAAATAAGTATCAGTAATCCTATTTTAACTATTAGAATAAATAATGATAATTTATAGTAATATATTGTTATTAATAAAATTCATGCATAAATTTTCCGCAATGACGAATGGTTGCTTAATAACTCGCTCCACAATACTATATCTCTTACTCATTTCTGCTCAACTTTGCTATCGTTCCAATGGGAAAAGCCTTCATAACAGCAAACCGGTTTTTTGCCCAAAATTCAGACTTACCTGGCCGGTCTACAACACGAGGTTTCTACACGATCCTTGCTTAACTAGCTCGTCCATCCGCCATCTTGGCAGAACTATCACCGTAAAAGGTTATTACAATAGACGCCTGAACTACTATCCTAATTCTTCGAGCTCCTACCAAGCTATACGAATACGTGTATCCGGAGACGTCTCCTTGAATCCTGGTCCCGATAAATGTATTACTTGCAACAGGACTGTGGCGACAAACCACAGAGCGGTTAGCTGTGACTCATGCAATGGATGGACTCACATAAAGTGCGGGAACATTAAGCCTAATCAGTATAAAGCTATGCAATTGATGGATAACTTTGAATGGTTTTGCCAACCCTGTCTGGACGCTAGATTATCAAACAATGTTCCAGATAACACTGGTGATTGTGTACAACACAAAGACGACTACCTCGAAAGGTTTGCTGCCTCTTTGAATACTTCGCACAACGATCTACGCATCGCGCATCTCAATGTATGCAGTCTTCGAAATAAAATAGAAGATATTCGTCTTCTACAGAAAATTTGCAGATTTGATGTCCTAGCAATCGGCGAAAGCCATTTAAAACGCCTCAATACCTGATAATGTACTACAAATTCCTGGTCTTAAATTCATACGTTGTGATAGATCTCAACGTAAAGGCGGCGGCGTGATCATGTATTATGCTGAACATTTATCCGTTACTCATCGCAGAGATTTGGCAGCCTCAGACATTGAAGCTCTCTGGATACAGGTTAAATTTCCTACAAACACTACTCTGTTCTCCGTAATCTATAGGTCTGAGCTAGAGTCCACGAATTTCTTCGAAAGCTTTCGTGGAGCCCTCGAAAAAGCTTGGCTTAAAACTGACAACATCTTTATACTTGGCGATTTTAACTGTTGTTTATTAAATAGGGACCCTGACGGCATACCTTCTTTGGGCAAAACGAAGAAGCTGATAGAGACCTTTGAAGACTTCAATATGCAAAACATTATCTCTCAACCAACTAGAATAACATCCACAACGGAGTCCCTAATTGACCTTATTGTTACAACTAAAGCAAACATGGTTCGTCAATGCGGCGTGCTGCCATTGGGCATATCTGATCACAGTTTAGTTTACGCCACTTTGAAGTTGAAATCCAAAAGACCCCCTCCGAGGATTGTCCGCTCAAGAAACTTCAAGAGATGTAACATTCAAGATTTCAAGAAAGATATCGAACGAATACCTTTTCACGTACTGGATATATTCGAAGACAAAGACGACGTCCTTTGGGGCTGGAATCTTTTGTTCAACGATGTTTGTGATGTCCATGCCCCTTATAAAGACGTCAAGGTTCGCAGCGTCTGTTCACCATGGATTAACAGCGAAATAAGATTAAAGATGAACAAACGGTTTAAATTATTCAAAGTAGCCACTCGCACAAAAGATCCGGTCAAATGGAAGGAATACAAAAGATTACGTAATGAAATCACCACGGACGTACGTCGGGCGAAAACTAAACATTTCAAGAACCAACTACTTGAAATAAAAACCGCTGCGGAGTATTGGAATCTTCTTCGCAATGCCACTGCACCAAAACTCAGAAAGGCTATTGGACCCTTGAAGAGGGAAGACGGTTCTCTGGCAGTCGATAGTAAAGAAAAATCAAATCTGATGAATTCTTTCTTTTCTAATATAGGAATTAATCTAACAAGGAACTTTTCATTCACAAAAGTCAACGCTGCCACAACATTAAAGTCAGTTCCTGTTATCAAAGACGTTATTTTATCAAAATCCGAAATTGGAAAGTATTTATCAGATCTTAAATGGAATAAAGCTACCGGTCCCGACCAGATTTCTTCTAGAACTCTAAAAACTGCCGGGAATGCGTTGGTCCATCCATTATATCATATTTATTGTGAAAGTCTAAGATCTGGCTACGTGTTTGAACAATGGAAAGTGGCTAGGCTGAGCCCTATCCACAAAAAGGACGATGAGAGCGACATGAGCAACTATCGGCCAATTTCTATTCTCAGTATACCCAGCAAGATCCTTGAATCAACGGTCTCTCAGAGAATCGTCAACCATACATTCCACGAGCACAGTTTAGTCACTGAAAACCAATGGGCTTATAGGAAAGGCTTTTCTACTGAATTAATGCTTATAAAACTGACAGAACAATGGAGACAAGCGGTTGATAACAGTAAAGTTGTCGGCGTAGTTTTTGTCGATTTTCAAAAGGCCTTTGACTGTGTATCGCATAAAATATTGCTGCATAAACTCGAGATTGACTTTGGGATCAAGGGCAACCTGGCTGCTTGGCTTCACAGCTACCTAAAGGGGAGGCGACAGTTCACAGTCATTGACGGCGCAGCCTCTGATTTTGCTCGCATTAATACAGGCGTTCCTCAGGGATCAGTCCTCGGTCCAACCTTGTTCGCACTTTACACAAATGATCTACCTGATAATATAACAAATGCAACTGTTTTTATGTACGCAGACGATACCACCCTGTTCTGTATCGGAGACACCGTAGACATTGTTATTGCCGAACTGAATGCTGCTCTCAAGGAACTAGAGCTATGGTGCTTAAGAAATCAACTATTGCCTCACCCCAAGAAATGCGAAGGCATGCTAATTCATCGAGGAAACTTCACTGGTCCACTACAGTCATTAATACTGATGAATCATTGTATAAGATGGGTTAAACACACCAGGCTGCTTGGAGTCTATATTGATAATAGACTTAACTGGGACTACCATGTCAAAGCACTAAAGATCAGCTTTGCAAATAAGCTTAACATGCTGAAGCGCAGCTTGTTCTTACCAAGACCCATGCTACTGGACTTATACTTTAAAGTAATCTACCCATCAATTATATATGGTATCACCGTCTGGGGCGGCCTTACTAATAAGGAGGGCCTAATTGCATTAGAGTCTTTACACTGTAGAGCGGCAAAATTAATTTTTAACTGGCCATGGGATATGCCTAAGTCTGACGTACTAAGCAAAGCTCGATGGTCTTCTATTGAAACCACATATAAAGTTAATTTAGGTAAACTGATGTTCAAAATAGATAAGAAGACTCTACCTATATCCATCTTAGATACCACCGAAGAAGTTGACGTGAATACTAAGAAAAATCTAAGAAGTAATGCCAACATAAAAGTACCAAAATTCAATACATATTACATGAAAAACAGTTTTTCTAGAAGAGGACCTATCGTTTTTAACACACTTCTCCAAGAATCAAATTTAAGAAATATAACCATTAAGCAGCTCTCCTCGTTAGCCTACAAATCAAAGGCACTCTTAAATTTGAATTTTAATTCCATTTCTCCACAGACAGTGAATTTTAAGGACCCCAATTTTAAATATTTTTAGATCTTCTAATTTTGATAGGCTACTTTAATTATTGTATTTTACTACATTTCATTTTATTCCATTTTACGCACGACCCCACAAGCGTGTAGTCGCTTTAACAATTATCGTGTTTAAATAAAGTCTTTGTATTGTTGTATTGTATTGTATTGAATCTTACCACGTCGCTGTTGTACTGTAATAAAGCTTAAAATTAGTCTCTAACGTTCAGTTCAACAGAAGAAAAATTATAGATAAAACGTAGCATTTGTTTTTGGTGATAAAAATTCTTTGATTATTGAGTTGTCCTGTATGTTTCTAAAACAGATATTTTTTTAACTTAACGTTCCTCCCTACGTGATCTGCGAGAAATCACTAGTACATTCCATTCGTTCCAGTACAAAAGAAAAATTACCGATGCTTATCTGAAATGTAACTGTCAAATCATTTGAAAAAAGTAACTAAACAACAGTTCTTTACGGAAGTTTAATCCTGTTTTACAAAATGTGTTTTTTTTAATAAGTAAAGGCTAATAGCGTGTTATTATTTTACGTGTAAGTTATTTTCATTCGTTGTGACATTCTTCCCAATTTCCTTCTATCTATCAAACCCTTTTCAAAAAATAAATTCTAACGGTTGATAATTTATTTGTTTTTAACAGAAATTATTGGCAAGGACTCAGGCAAGGAAAAACCAGCTTGTCAAAAAGCGTGAAGAACTTGAAGCATGCAGAGCTAAGAGAAATTCGCCCATTCATGATAGAACTCGGCGTCCCTTGTCAGAAGACAACACTGACAGCTGCTCGGCTGAGGTGGATACTGATGACATCAAAAGACGCAGAATTGGCAGTGAGGACAGTGGCAAAAGTGCTATTTTGCAAAATTCCAAGGACATTGATGTTAATAGCCCATCAGTTCAGGTAAATTGCTTGCAAAATCAACTTAAGAATATCTACACTGTACCAGTGCACAGTGACAAACCATCAACCTCAAATACTATAGGATAAGTTGATTTTATCCACTGAGTTGAAAATGTAAATTGGCCACCATAAAGGATTTCTATTGCTGATTTTTGAGTGTTAGCCCTTCATCCAAAACAAATGGATGAGTTGTTGGTTATGTGTTTTAAATGCAAAAAATGGAGCTACGCTATTGGTGGAAACAGGGTAATAAGAAAAAGCCAGAAGTAATCGGTTGAGAGAAAAGTGCTTAGCAGGACTGCCAAACTTTTTTTCTAGAGTTTTGTGGCTCTCTGAGCTGTCTAGATGCAGGAAAATGCTGCAGACTGTCATATGCTGTTTAGAATGATGTAGAAGATTAAAGTCAAATCTCAGATATTGGAGTCTATTAGCATGCACATTGTCAAGTGTTACATGTAGTTAAAGCCCTCAACCTTTATGTTAAGGAGTGACCAATTTAGAACTTCTTCCTTGTAAACTCAATGCTCATTTTCAAGAAGGAAAAATTTCTAAGAGGAGGACCTTCCTTCACCATTAAAAAAAATTATCCTTTTAGATGCAACATTGTAATAGATGCATTTGTGCTAGAGACGTTAAAGTTGTCTAAGACGTTAAAGTCATCTCGAGACGACTTTAACGTCTCTAGCATAAAAACGGCCAATCTTTCTTTCAATTAGGCAAGAAAAGAAAGGCTGATGAAGATGCAACAGAAAGATCAAGAAAATGGTGCAACGCCAAAGAAACATTGGAAAGCTGTAACCCAAGGAACTGGAGTGAACAATTGCAATGTCAGTAGCCCTAGTGTAGCATCACGATCTGCAGCATTCCAAGCCAATGCTGCAAAGGATCAACAGAAGGTGATTCATTATTATAATCTTGAACATAAATATGCTTGTTTACTTATGGCATTTAAAACATATCTGGGCAATATTTTAAATTTTGTGAGACTGAACATATTGAGCACCTACAATATGGGGGGCAAAATTTACCTGTAACTTATTTATGCTAATTTGATGTTTGACTGTCTTTTGTTTTCAGGAGAATATAAACGACAAGAAATATCTTGAGCCTCAGGCATCACATACCCCTAGTAAACTGGCTGAGGCACGGAGTGTGTTTGAGAATGGTGTGTCAACAAAAAGCAGAGTGAATATTGAAAAAGAGAGATTTATACCTCCCCCTAAGCCCCCGAGAGTGGCAGTCACTGAGGACATTTCTGATGAAAGCTCCGAAGAACAGTTGCAAGCAGCTAAGAGAAAAGCTCCATCTCCACCAAAGAATACTAAAGGAAACAAAGGCAGAGATCAAAATAGCAACTCTGTGATCAAACGGAAAGCTCCAGAACCTCCTACAACTTGTCAGGATCAAAGACAGATTAAGAATGACAATAAGAGTGATATGGCAAAAATCAGCAAAGGTGCAGATGAAAAAAAAAAGGGTGCCAAAACAAGTCAAAGACGTTCATCCACTGATGAGGAAGGCAATGGAAACTTTTCCTCTGTTCCAGTCAAACGGGAAAGGAAAGGAAGTGTTGATGATTTAAATGGTGTCAACAAAGCTGATGGTGATCTACCTATGCCAAAACCACGAAAAAAAGTGATTAACTTGAATGAAGCAGGCAATGAAGCACAGGAAAGATGTGCTGACAATAAGAAAGTGAAAGAAAATAGAAGGGAAGAAACTTCAGATGACAAAGTGACTATTGTTGCCACTCCAGTTGGCAGTGATGAGAGAGTGAAGCTGAATCATGGAAAGCAACTGACAGAAGAAAAACCACATGTCATCCAGGCCTGTGTGGTTGAAGAGAAAAGCCCAAAAGTTGTTGTTGCAAACAGGGAAATCACTGGAAGCATTGTTACCGTCAAAGCAGTTTCCTGTGATAATTCAGAAGAAAAAAGGATTGAGAACAAAAGGGAAAAAACCAGAGTCAATGCAGTGAAAGAATCCAAAACAGAGAAACCTCCAAGTGCTGCCAAAGTAGCTGACCAGGATTCCAAACAGGCGGTAACACCTGTTGTGTGGGAGAAACAGGCCCAAGGCTCTTCAAAGAAGCCAAGAAAATCTACTAAAAGAGAGGAGTTTGCATTTAAAGTTCCTAGAAGACCTACCAAAGAGTCCCACTTTGATCCAAATGAAACAATCAACCTTAACGATGTAAACATTCATGAAATGACATTCACCTTTGACTTTGGTCAGTTCGATGAACTTGAGAAAGAGAGGGAGGGCATTTTTCAAATGAGCTATGAAGAGAAGTGTAAACAGGTACAGTGGCTGAACTTGTTTTTTCTTTTCATCATTCCTGTATCTAAAACTGTGATCCATTAATCTTTGATATTTATTGAACTTTGCGTTATAATGTCATAAGCAGTTATTTTTATTTTTCTAATTTGGTGATATGCTTTGCACATGTGATAAGCATTCTACGCTGATCCAGATTTTAATACTGTAGCAACACTCATCACATAATATTTTTTCAATAATTATTCCATATTACATGTACATGTCTCATTTTTATTAGGTTCTGAGAAACTTAGCCCTTAACTCTTTACCACATTTCCAGGTTTTAGCCTGTCATACTAGGCCATGTATATGTTACATTGAATAAACCTCTTGGCCTTCAAGACATTTATCCCACTGTGGGAACTTACTATTGACACATTTTATAGAGTGCTGAGCTCTGGCTTCACCTGTATGTGTTAGCCTTGTGTTACCTTATTTTGTTTCTTTTTGTAAGCTTGAGAAAGAACAAAAGAGAGAAGAGAGGAAGAGGAAAGAAACTGCTTCAACATCTTCCATGGAGTCTGATAGAGAGGAAAGAGGCACCTACCAATCTGGATACAACAGCCAGACTAGTGAACAATATGCTACCAAGACAGTGCACAAGCCTAAACAGCCATAACACGAAAAATTTTGCCCTGACCCTGTCTAGGTCATCATACCTCCCTCTTTTAAAGTATTATCAAACTAATCTTCCCCTTTTTTGCCATATAGGTCAGAAAATCTCAATATGGACACTTCAAGAAATATGGCATCAATCCAAAGAAAAAGGTGGCAAGTTTTCCTGTTACAGAAAATGGTCTTCTTCATCCTGGTATGAAAAAGGAAAATAGATCTTTAAAGTTGATCACTAATTTGTCTGGTTTCAATGCTGTTTTTGAGATAATAAAATACTGATAAAGCAAGGAAAAGTCACCTTCTGGAAGTGAAAATTACCCTCTGCAAGCAAATGAGGCTATTTCATAATTGATATTTGGTTTGAGTTGTTTTGTTTATATTTTGTTTTAATTTTAACAGGAACACCCCTTTATGCAGCTCACTTCTATCCTGGTCAGCATGTTAAAATTCAAGGAGTCACGTAGGTTGCTTTCTTCCATCTTCATTTTAAACCCATTAAAACATCTATAACATGCTTTTTAAAGAGTTAGCCAGAGATGTAACTTTCATCATTTTTTATTGGTCTTTAAATTTTTCTGGTGGTCTATGTGCTCTTTCCCTGCTTAGGAAATTTGCTAGCAACTGCTGCTCAGTGATCCTCTTTCAAATACTACTTGGATTTCAGTTTCTGGTAACGTAATGCATTCTTTTTTTCTCGTGAACAAAGAATTGACTGGGGATTTCAAGGTGTGATGAAAAGGTGGAAGATGAAAGGCCAACCAGCTTCTCATGGCCATTCAAAAACACACAGGAAAATGGGAGCAACAGGAGGCGGGCAGGTATGAAATACAGACAAATCCTGTAATCTAGGTCACTGAATATACAGATAGTTTTGGGATAAAAACATGGCAAGTCTATCACAGCTGGGCCAGCTGTCAGTAAAGATGATTAAAGAATGAAGCAAGCAAATATGGCCTGTGTTGGGGAAGGAAACTTGCTCCTGCTTTTTCTGTTTCCTCTATTATAGAAGAGCTTGACATTTAGTTGTTTCCAGTCAGGTTATGCCCTGATGGCATTGAAGCCTTTTTTCTTTTCAAGATATGTTTGTGACCATTTGTTGGTAGCAATAACCACTCAACAAGGAGCAGTGAATTACTTTTCTTCCATAATTCATTTTTTTTTGTCTGATTTTAAAATAAGGATCCTGGAAGAATCTGGCCAGGAAAGAGGATGCCTGGTCACATGGGAAATAATAGCTGTACATTCCTTGCTGTCAAGGTAATTTGAACAAGTAATGTTCATTTGGAAACTGTTAGAATTGAAATTAAAATAGTACCTTGCTGTAGATCCAAATAAAATGTACAATGATTGAACAAATAATAAGCCTTGTGTTAAGAAGTTTTTCATTTTTTTGTTCCAGATTCTTCGTATCAACACCAAGTACAATATCCTTTACCTCCTGGGAAATTGTCCAGGCAAAAAGGGAAGCTTCATTACAATTCAGGATTCTTACAAGCCACACGAACACCCTCCTCCCTTCCCTACTTATTTCCCAGATCCCCAGGATCCCCTCCCTGAGGATATGTTTGCAGATGATGTACAACAGTTTGATGAGACAATATTTTTCACAAAACAGGACCAAGCCAATGAAGCTGCACAGGAAAATGCTTGAAGATATACAACTATAGTTTACTGGTGGTTTACCAAGTCTATGTGTGGTTTTCATTCAGAGGGAAGGAAAAAACAACACCTTGTCACTGCAATTAAGAATGATACAAGCATGGATGAAAAAAAATTGCAAGTGTGTAAGTTTGGAGAACGGCAGTCTCACCGCATCTGTTTTTCTAGCAAGAAAGAAAACTTAGAGGCAAATTACCGATGCTTATCTGAAATGTAACTGTCAAATCATTTGAAAAAAGTAACTAAACAACAGCTCTTTACGGAAGTTTAATCCTGTTTTACAAAATGTGTTTTTTTTAATAAGTAAAGGCTAATAGCGTGTTATTATTTTACGTGTAAGTTATTTTCATTCGTTGTGACATTCTTCCCAATTTCCTTCTATCTATCAAACCCTTTTCAAAAAATAAATTCTAACGGTTGATAATTTATTTGTTTTTAACAGAAATTATTGGCAAGGACTCAGGCAAGGAAAAACCAGCTTGTCAAAAAGCGTGAAGAACTTGAAGCATGCAGAGCTAAGAGAAATTCGCCCATTCATGATAGGACTCGGCGTCCCTTGTCAGAAGACAACACTGACAGCTGCTCGGCTGAGGTGGATACTGATGACATCAAAAGACGCAGAATTGGCAGTGAGGACAGTGGCAAAAGTGCTATTTTGCAAAATTCCAAGGACATTGATGTTAATAGCCCATCAGTTCAGGTAAATTGCTTGCAAAATCAACTTAAGAATATCTACACTGTACCAGTGCACAGTGACAAACCATCAACCTCAAATACTATAGGATAAGTTGATTTTATCCACTGAGTTGAAAATGTAAATTGGCCACCATAAAGGATTTCTATTGCTGATTTTTGAGTGTTAGCCCTTCATCCAAAACAAATGGATGAGTTGTTGGTTATGTGTTTTAAATGCAAAAAATGGAGCTACGCTATTGGTGGAAACAGGGTAATAAGAAAAAGCCAGAAGTAATTGGTTGAGAGAAAAGTGCTTAGCAGGACTGCCAAACTTTTTTTCTAGAGTTTTGTGGCTCTCTGAGCTGTCTAGATGCAGGAAAATGCTGCAGACTGTCATATGCTGTTTAGAATGATGTAGAAGATTAAAGTCAAATCTCAGATATTGGAGTCTATTAGCATGCACATTGTCAAGTGTTACATGTAGTTAAAGCCCTCAACCTTTATGTTAAGGAGTGACCAATTTAGAACTTCTTCCTTGTAAACTCAATGCTCATTTTCAAGAAGGAAAAATTTCTAAGAGGAGGACCTTCCTTCACCATTAAAAAAAATTATCCTTTTAGATGCAACATTGTAATAGATGCATTTGTGCTAGAGACGTTAAAGTTGTCTAAGACGTTAAAGTCGTCTCGAGACGACTTTAACGTCTCTAGCATAAAAACGGCCAATCTTTCTTTCAATTAGGCAAGAAAAGAAAGGCTGATGAAGATGCAACAGAAAGATCAAGAAAATGGTGCAACGCCAAAGAAACATTGGAAAGCTGTAACCCAAGGAACTGGAGTGAACAATTGCAATGTCAGTAGCCCTAGTGTAGCATCACGATCTGCAGCATTCCAAGCCAATGCTGCAAAGGATCAACAGAAGGTGATTCATTATTATAATCTTGAACATAAATATGCTTGTTTACTTATGGCATTTAAAACATATCTGGGCAATATTGTTGGCCCGTCACTTGTACCTAGGCCCTCCCTGAGGGAAACTACATCCGGGCTCCCCTATTATTATTGTTGTTGTTGTAACACTAAGTGCTCGTGGTCAAGCTCGGGAATAAAGACTGTGTTCATTGAGCCCTCGATATTGTTTGAGTCGTCTGTACTGCCTGACATGGTGTCAGGAGTGGGATAGATCCGATAAATCGACAAGAGAAGCATTTACGGAGAGCAAACGTACATTTAGCGAATTCAACGACCGCAGCCGACTCGTCAAACAGCGATGGCGAACCTCAAGCGACCTGAATTGAAACTCGGCGGAAATATGTCTGAAAATTTCAAGAACTTCGAACTCAGATTCCACGACTACTGCATCCAAGCAGACTACCGAAACTTAGCGAAAAACCCCGAGACAGAGAGAGCAGATTACTACAAGAAACCGTTACTGGAAATATCAGCGCTCCGATCGGCAATGCCGGACGAAGCCTTGCAAGTGATCCGTTACACAATTGAACCCCAGATAGCAGCTGATGATCAGAAAAAACCATGGATCTGGATGGACAAATTACGACTTCATTACACTGGATCTATCGGAAGCTCCCTATTGGCGGACAGATTTAAATTCTGGAACACTCAGCAAAGCCCACACGAATCTGTTCAGGAATGGGAAGTTAAGGTCAGACAGGCGGGCAGCCTGTGCTCGTACAATGCACTGACCGACGAAATGTGCCGTGACAAATTCGTTTTTGGCTTGCACGATGGCACAATGAGAGCTGAGTTACTAAAAACGCATTTAAAGTCGGACGGAATGCCCAAGAACATGCAAGATGTCGTTGCCGAAGCCAAGGCCCTCGAGTCAGCCCAAAAAGCCAACAAACTCATAACAGACGCCACAAAAGGAATCGAGGAACAAGTTAATTGGATAAGCCACAAACAAATGAAACTAAAGCGGGAGCCTGGAACCTGCTTTTGGTGTGGAAACCGACGCGGACCTCACCCCTGGAAAACATGCCCTGCAAATGGCAAAACCTGCACTAAGTGTGGAATTAACGACCACTTCTCCAGAGTCTGTCTCGAGACGGGCGCCCCCCAACATGAACAACCAAGGAGAACTACCCAATGGCAAGCTCAGGGTAGGGGGCGAGGCCACAGAGCACCTCGCGGCCGGTCCCAACCAAAACCCCCTCGTGAACAAAACGTACATATGCTGCAGATGACAAATGACCAACACCCTGTGGAGTACTACACTGATGACTACCAAGAACAGTGCCACTCCCTGGAAACACGGCAAATACACAGTATCCACACAACCCACGCAAAGAAAAAATACTTTGTTACACTGCCCATGTCTGCAACAGGGAACAAATTCACCCCAGTGACATTCCAAATAGACACCGCCGCCACCTGCAATACCTTGTCTGAAGATACCCTTTTCAGGCTGATGCCAAACATGAAGCTTAGAAAGTCACCCTACCTACTACACCCCTATGGCGACTCCCAGCCGCTGAAACCATTGGGGCAGATCGACCTTCTGTGCGAAAGAAACAAACGATACGAATCGCTCACATTCCAGATACTTCCTAGGGATGTCATGATGAACAAACCAGCCCTTCTCTCTGGCTCCGACTGCGAGGCACTGGGGCTCATCACCATCAGGGCACACGAAATATTCTCACTCACATCAGCAGTAAGAGACTCGTCAGGCAAGAGAGCCCCTACCTACCCAGCCAGCTCGCCACAAACCAATCCAGACCCAGGCAACCCAGCAGCTCAAGCCAACGGTACACTCAAGGGAGTAAAAGGCCGCCACCCTGACCAACCCGACAGTGCCAACCCATACGGTGACCCAGCAACGCCCTCACCTTCTAAACCTATAATGATCCCTTCCAAACGACGCCTGGCCCCACCCGGGAACCTCACCAAGGAAGACATACTAACACAGTATCCTGAAAACTTCGAAGGCCTTGGCTGCCTGGGACCCCCAGTTCATTTCGAAGTAAAAGCTGACGTCTCACCAGTACAAATGCCAATACATCGAGTCCCTGTGGCAAAACGCATGAAAGAAAAGGAAGCCCTTGACAGATACACCGCAGCTGGTATCATAAAGAAAGTAGAGGAACCCACCTCGTGGTGCTCCAATGAAGTCATTAAAGAGACACCAAAGAAGACAAGAATCTGCATTGACCCCAGTCAAACAGTCAATAAAGGAATTCTCAGACCAGTGTATCAAATGCCAACACTGTCTGAACAGCTCCATAAACTCTGCCATGCCAAATGTTTCTCACTTGTTGATGTCAGAGAAGGCTTTCTACACGTACCACTTGATGAAGAATCGTCACTGATGACGACAATGCACACGTCTTATGGGAGATACCGATGGCTCCGCCTCCCATTTGGCATATCAAGTGCTCCTGAGGAATTTCAAAAGCGCCTCATGTCAGCTCTAGAGGGTCTTGATGGAGTATTATGCATCGCCGATGATATACTTGTGTTCGGAGAAGGAACAACCTACCAAGAAGCTGAGAAAGACCACGACCGCCGTCTTGTCGCACTTATGGAGCGCTGCTCCAAAAAGAACATAAAATTAAACCAGAGCAAACTGCAGTTCAAGCTACAACAAGTCAAATTCATGGGCAACGTCATAACTGATCGAGGAATGCAAGCAGACCCAGACAAGATAGCAGCAATCTCAGCAATGGCCCCACCCCGAAACAAAGCAGGTGTTCAGCGATTCGTGGGAATGGCCAACTATCTCTCACCCTATTGTCCAAACCTCAGCACCATCATCCGGCCTCTCACCCAACTCACCAAGTCAGATATCCCCTTTATGTGGGCACAAGCACAAGATGACGCATTTAACAAAGCCAAACACCTCATCTCCACTGCACCAGTGCTCCAATACTATGACCTCAGTAAACCGGTCACACTTCAAGTCGACGCTAGTGAAGAAGGCGTGGGCGGTGCCCTCCTTCAGCCCAATAGTGAAGGACGCCTCCAACCCGTAGCATACACATCAAACAGCCTCAACGCAACAGAACAACGATACTCCCAAATCGAAAAAGAGTGCTTGGCCATTTGTAACGCATTTGGAAAATTTGACCACTGGCTCTATGGCAAATCAGATATCGAAGTTCACACCGACCACCAGCCACTTGAGACCATCTGCAAAAAACCTCTGCACAAAGCCCCAGCACGGCTACAGAAAATGCTAATGAGACTGCAGAGATACCGCTTCACCATCCAATACAAGAAAGGAACCTCACTTTACCTGGCAGACACTCTCTCAAGAGCAGCACTACCTACCCCAGTACATGCCAGGGTCACAGGCTTTGAAGTATTCAGGACTGAACTCACAGAGGAATCCGATACCCACAACCCCCGCCTCACAGAAACCACCGAATCTCGCCTACGCGACGAGACCAAAAAGGATGAACACCTCTCCAAGTTAATGGCCACAATCGCCCAAGGCTGGCCGGATGACAGAAAGCAGCTACCACAACCACTACGAGCATACTGGACCTACAGAGACGAGCTAACCACTGACAATGGCCTCATCTACAAAGGCGCCCAAGTTATGATACCGCAGTCCATGCAAGCTGAGATGCTGCTGAAAATCCATGCAAACCACTTTGGTCCTGACTCAAATGTACGCATGGCACGAGACGTACTATTCTGGCCCGGGATGAGACAAGCAGCGTTTGATATGTGCAACAACTGCAGTACCTGCGCACAGTATGGATCAAAGTCAACAAAGGAACCTATGCGATCACTTCCGATTCCAACACTACCATGGCAGATCATCAGCCAAGACATCTTCCAGTACAGACAGAAAGCCTACCTTGTAACAGTGTGCCATTTTTCTGACTGGATCGAAGTGGATGAACTTGACGACACTTTGGCAACATCAGTCATTAACAAAACCAAAGCTCATTTCGCCAGGTTTGGCGTTCCACGTATCTGCCACACAGACAACGGACCACAATTCACCAGTAAGGATTACATGGACTTTGCCTCTCAGTACGGGTTCAAACATACCACCTCAAGTCCCTATCACTCCCAGGGCAACGGCCGAGCCGAGGCAGCAGTGAAAGTATCGAAGTCTATGCTAAAGAAATCAGGTGACTTCCAAATCGCCTTGCTCAATTACAGAAACACACCACCAAAAGACCACACCTACTCTCCTGCCCAACGCATGGTGAGCCGCCGGACACGAACGACGCTCCCAACAGCTGACCACCTTCTCGAGCCCATGTCAATCAACCGCGACACTGTATCAGCAGAACTCAAGGCCAAACGCAACACCAGTAAAGCTCACTATGACAAGACTGCGGGCCCAGAGCAGAATAGCATCAACATTGGTGAATTTGTGTATGCACGACCACCGACAAGCAAACCAGGCAACCCTTGGGCATATGGCCGTGTCACCGGACACCATACAAACGCCCCACAGTACCATTCGACGAAATCGGATACACATCAGGCATGCAGTACCTCCTCCTCCCCAAACACCACCGTGCACCCCACCCACGCTCACGCCTAGACCAGGCCACAGCCTTGCAAATCACTACAATCGTCTAGGATCAGAGCTGAATATGCCCACTAATCAGCCTACACAGCAACCACCTCCCTCATTGGACAAAAATAACAGCGGCCCAGTTCTCGACACCCCTTCCCCTCCACAACCACAAGAACCAAGCACACCAGCCACGGGCCCAAGTGAGCTGCCTATCGACACACCCCTTGCTACAATTCAAGAACAGCCAAGGGATCACCAACCCGAAATGAGAACACGCACAAGACTCATCAAACCACCAACTCGGTTCAAAGACTTTGAACTCAAGTAATGCCTGCCATAAACGTTCGCGCTGCATAACAGCACGGTTGCAGAACTTTCCATGATAACAGTCCGAACAGAACCTTATATAAGGCTACACCTGCCTACTTTACTCTGTTCTATTTACTATTAATTTTTTTCTTTTTTTTTTTTTTTCAAAGAAGGGGGGATGTTGGCCCGTCACTTGTACCTAGGCCCTCCCTGAGGGAAACTACATCCGGGCTCCCCTATTATTATTGTTGTTGTTGTAACATGAAGTGCTCGTGGTCAAGCTCGGGAATAAAGACTGTGTTCATTGAGCCCTCGATATTGTTTGAGTCGTCTGTACTGCCTGACAATATTTTAAATTTTGTGAGACTGAACATATTGAACACCTACAATATGGGGGGCAAAATTTACCTGTAACTTATTTATGCTAATTTGATCTTTGACTATCTTTTGTTTTCAGGAGAATATAAAGGACAAGAAATATCTTGAGCCTCAGGCATCACATACCCCTAGTAAACTGGCTGAGGCACGGAGTGTGTTTGAGAATGGTGTGTCAACAAAAAGCAGAGTGAATATTGAAAAAGAGAAATTTATACCTCCCCCTAAGCCCCCGAGAGTGGCAGTCACTGAGGACATTTCTGATGAAAGCTCCGAAGAACAGTTGCAAGCAGCTAAGAGAAAAGCTCCATCTCCACCAAAGAATACTAAAGGAAACAAAGGCAGAGATCAAAATAGCAACTCTGTGATCAAACGGAAAGCTCCAGAACCTCCTACAACTTGTCAGGATCAAAGCCAGATTAAGAATGACAATAAGAGTGATATGGCAAAAATCAGCAAAGGTGCAGATGAAAAAAAAAAGGGTGCCAAAACAAGTCAAAGAAGTTCATCCACTGATGAGGAAGGCAATGGAAACTTTTCCCCTGTTCCAGTCAAACGGGAAAGGAAAGGAAGTGTTGATGATTTAAATGGTGTCAACAAAGCTGATGGTGATCTACCTATGCCAAAACCACGAAAAAAAGTGATTAACTTGAATGAAGCAGGCAATGAAGCACAGGAAAGATGTGCTGACAATAAGAAAGTGAAAGAAAATAGAAGGGAAGAAACTTCAGATGACAAAGTGACTATTGTTGCCACTCCAGTTGGCAGTGATGAGAGAGTGAAGCTGAATCATGGAAAGCAACTGACAGAAGAAAAACCACATGTCATCCAGGCCTGTGTGGTTGAAGAGAAAAGCCCAAAAGTTGTTGTTGCAAACAGGGAAATCACTGGAAGCATTGTTACCGTCAAAGCAGTTTCCTGTGATAATTCAGAAGAAAAAAGGATTGAGAACAAAAGGGAAAAAACCAGAGTCAATGCAGTGAAAGAATCCAAAACAGAGAAACCTCCAAGTGCTGCCAAAGTAGCTGACCAGGATTCCAAACAGGCGGTAACACCTGTTGTGTGGGAGAAACAGGCCCAAGGCTCTTCAAAGAAGCCAAGAAAATCTACTAAAAGAGAGGAGTTTGCATTTAAAGTTCCTAGAAGACCTACCAAAGAGTCCCACTTTGATCCAAATGAAACAATCAACCTTAACGATGTAAACATTCATGAAATGACATTCACCTTTGACTTTGGTCAGTTCGATGAACTTGAGAAAGAGAGGGAGGGCATTTTTCAAATGAGCTATGAAGAGAAGTGTAAACAGGTACAGTGGCTGAACTTGTTTTTTCTTTTCATCATTCCTGTATCTAAAACTGTGATCCATTAATCTTTGATATTTATTGAACTTTGCGTTATAATGTCATAAGCAGTTATTTTTATTTTTCTAATTTGGTGATATGCTTTGCACATGTGATAAGCATTCTACGCTGATCCAGATTTTAATACTGTAGCAACACTCATCACATAATATTTTTTCAATAATTATTCCATATTACATGTACATGTCTCATTTTTATTAGGTTCTGAGAAACTTAGCCCTTAACTCTTTACCACATTTCCAGGTTTTAGCCTGTCATACTAGGCCATGTATATGTTACATTGAATAAACCTCTTGGCCTTCAAGACATTTATCCCACTGTGGGAACTTACTATTGACACATTTTATAGAGTGCTGAGCTCTGGCTTCACCTGTATGTGTTAGCCTTGTGTTACCTTATTTTGTTTCTTTTTGTAAGCTTGAGAAAGAACAAAAGAGAGAAGAGAGGAAGAGGAAAGAAACTGCTTCAACATCTTCCATGGAGTCTGATAGAGAGGAAAGAGGCACCTACCAATCTGGATACAACAGCCAGACTAGTGAACAATATGCTACCAAGACAGTGCACAAGCCTAAACAGCCAGTACCACAGCGACCAAAGAGAATACAAGATGAGATTAAAGTATGCTTGAATGAGAGTACATGCATGAAGTCCACTTAATTTACAATTCAGCATTTACCAATGATTTTTTTAAAATTCACATCCTCTCTGTGCCCCTGGCCCTTTCATTCCCACAAGTCATAGAAAAGGAGTTTCTTGTCACTATATCAATATATGCTCAAAGAGAATCTACCTTCAGGAGTAAGTGTGTCTGCTGACTTGAAAAACTTTTTTGAAGAGGTCAGTAGACATGGGAAGAAATACAGTATGAGAAAAGGGAAGGAAAGACAATAAACTAATATTTATTTTAAATTCATTATAAATAAAGTCCTTAGATTAATGGTTAAATCTGTCTTCATAGGTCCTCCTTGAGGAGGCAGCATACCAACAGAACATTGTCCTTCAGGCAAGTCAAGCTCTGAATTTGTGTGTTGCCAATGACATCACCTTTAAAGGTTCCCGGGAAGAAATTGAAGCAGAAAAAGTGTTATTACTTGCAAGTAGGTGCACTTGTGAACAATCTTATTGCATTTCATTGCTGAAATTCTCTACATACGTGTATACAATTGTCTTTGACTAAATATAGATTAACTGATATACTCATCTGTATCTCAATTGTAGGAGCATTTGGTTAATCAGAATTTATTTTCTTCCTCTTAACGCAGCATTAAATATTGAATCCCAGACTATCAGAATAAAGTGTGTAAAAAATACTTTATTCCTTATTAGTTTATTTTTGACATAACATTCTCTATTATGATATACTATTATTATAATTTAATTATCAATAGTATAGTTGCAAACATGTAATAAAAATGTTCATGTCATCAGTTAAACCAAGGTCAGATAATTATTAGACAGTCACCTGACAGGGATAAGGTTGCTGTACATGCTGGCATCTCAGAACCAACATTTGTTGCTTTAAATTCCTGTGCACCTTCAGTACCACCAGTTTTCAATTTGTTGACCTCATCTAGACATGCTGTTCTGTGCTCAGCTTACAATAAAATTTGTTAGAATTAGAAAGTGAGTAATTTTGCAACTATACTATTGATAATTAAATTATAATAATAGTATATCATAATAGAGAATGTTATGTCAAAAATAAACTAATAAGGAATAAAGTATTTTTTACACACTTTATTCAGGAAGCAGTTCATGGAGATTTGTGGATTACAGTGCAATTTACAAGCTTCCCTGGATGTTGACACTAAGAACTGGTCAAATATGAGTTTCTGTAAATGAGGAAGCTGATTTTGTTTTATGTTTGTTTGTCAGATCTTGGTGTGTTTTACTTTGTCTGCATCGTCCAACATGGGCCACATGAGTTTTACTGTTCTAGAGTTTTATCAACAAATGATGCCACTGAGGGAAACTTTCTGATGTTCCCTGACAAATTTACTTGGTAAGTGAATTTACATGTTACATGGCATTATGAGCACTGCAAGGCTGTTTTCTTAACCAGCACCATGAGGAACTGCAGGTTACAGTGGTTTTTTACTAGGCAACTTGTATAGATGTGTGTAACCTTGAGCCCAGGTTCTAAGATTGACCAGACCCCTCTTAACCTTCTAAGTTTCATGCCATTAATGAATTGGGAAGTTTTCGAGAGCGTGTCTGAGATCTTGTGTTATTCTATTTGCTGTCACAGGAAGGACCTTAAACCAGATTTTGCGCTTCACTCACCTTGCTTCGTCTTCTCGGATAAGACGTCAAGCCGGAGGTCCCGTCTCCTGCAGGGTTTGGGGTAGGAGACGTTAATTTCCGTTTAGATGAAGATATTGCGATATTTTGGCAAAATGATTCCTCGGAAAAATCTTTTGCACTTCTGGGACTCCGAGAAGCTGGTTTCTGGACCAGTATGAGTATACTTCGGGCAATTGTTTAATCCCAAACAGGATATTCAGTGCGAAGAATGCCTTCACTTCTTCGGCGTCGGTTTCACGCCAAGCAGGGTCCGGTTTTGTTTCCATCGCGTGCCGCGCATAACGATTCGTTTCCTCTGCAATTCTGTCAAAATTGCTGTCCTTAAAGCAGTCTAAACAAATGCGTTTGCCGCAAAGTTCACATGCCATTCGGCACCACGTTTCCTTGTTTCGCTTTAAACAACGCTTACAGCGACCTTTGGAGAACTTGATGGGCCAATGCCCTCCTTCTAGGCGCCTAGAACTTGCAGACAATCGCCGTGCCGAAAAATTTCCGATCAGTAACTTCACAAGATCTAAAACGAAAGGCCAGTTGGGTTCTTGATTGGTGATGCGGGGACAGTTTCTCCAAAATATAAGCATGAACAATGGAAACGTCCACAAAGAACTTGACAACGCGGTGTCCGAGTCCTTGTTCGGGATTGCCATTGCGTTGTTTTCCCGTGTAGACTTCCAAATCGCAAACGAAGCCGTTCGACGAATCTGCACACTCCCACACTTTGATTCCCCTCTTTACCGGTTTTAAGGGCATGTACTGTTTAAGGGAAAGTCTTCCTTTAAAAGGAATCATTGCCTCGTCGATCGAAACATTTTTCGACGGCCTGTATTCGCTGTCAAAATTGCTGTCCTTAAACATTAGGTTAAAAATGGTCGAATAACCTCGAACGTTGGTGAGGCGTGAGTGGCCCAGTGGTCAGAGCGCTGGACTCTGGGTTGGACGGCCCGGGTTCAAGTCCTGGATGGGGCACTACGTTGTGGCCTTAAGCAAGTCGCTTCACGTGAAGCCGGAGGTCCCGTCTCCTGCAGGGTTTGGGGTAGGAGACCTTAATTTCCCACGCACGAGATTACTGTGTGATGGATGTCCTCCCCTGGTCCCGTCTCCTGCAGGGTTTGGGGTAGGTTTCCCACGCACGAGATTGGGTTGGGTTGGGTGGGTGGGTGGGTGGGTCGCTTCACTCACGTTGCTTCATCTTCTCGGAAAAGACGTCAAGCCGGAGGTCCCGTCTCCTGCAGGGTTTGGGGTAGGAGACGTTAATTTCCCACGCACGAGATTGGGTTGGGTTGGGTGGTGGTTACTGTGTGATGGATGTCCTTGACTCCTACGTGTAACACGTGCCTACCCAAAAGTTAAAATTTTGGAGAAACCGGAAAAGTAAACACAATGCGCAGTATTTTTTCCCAAAAACAAGCTCACGTGAAAGAAGACCATTTAAATAACTTACTATCAACGAGGAAAGCAATAGATGCATATTAAGTTTTTACTCTAAAATCAAGATAAAAGATAAAAATCAGTAAATTTTTGCGCACGTGTCCAAAAAAAGTATGCGGATCGGATTTCAAAGTGAATATGCAAATTCATCGGTGTGTGGACATGTTACATGGAAATTATAAATGAGGAGAAAGACAAAACTGACCAAGGAACGTTTCAGGAAGAAAGCTTTATTCAAAACAGTTCTTGATTTTCTGTTAGAACCGAAAAACGTACGAATTTCTTACGTGTGCGAAACCCACGAAGTAGAATTCATCATGCTTAGATCGATGTTTACTTGACTTCACGGCTAGAATATTGCGCAGCGTTGTGTTGAAAATACTGAAAGTTCTACGTTTTAACACAAAATCTTCTATTAAACAGTACTTTTTGGACATCTCATTACTCAAACATGATATTTACCGTGCCTTTGAATCTTCATAATGTCTCTAGGCCTCGCTTGAAGTCCGATAGTTCGGTTTTCGCTTTACGGCCCTAATTCGCATCGCTTTAGAGAATTGTAGTGTTGTCGACTCGAAAGCTTATTTTGTCGCCTTTAAGAACGTGATGTCCATTATTTTTCGAGCAGATTATTCTATAGCATTTTTCCTTTTCATTTTGTGTTCCAGAAGGTCTAAAATGGTGGGAAAGGAACAGAAAATCCGACTTGAAAATATTGAAATAATTAATATTGGATTCTGAACCGCCCGTAACCGCCCGTGCCGCGTGGGGGACTTGCGCGAGAGACGCTTTCCCCCCTATCTCCCCTACTAAGCAGAATTTTGTCTCCAAACTTCCTCTGTTGTTAGAGGATCTATAAACCAATCAGAATCCGTTTTTTGCGCAGTTATTTTGATAACTTTAGGGGGTAGTACAGAGGCATCATTATATGCGTTCACAAGAAATGATCAACTACAAAGAAATGGCGTACGCGCGGCCGACTTTCAATATTTTCAAGTCGGATTTTCTGTTCCTTTCCCACCATTTTAGACCTTCTGGAACACAATATGAAAAGGAAAAATGCTAAAGAATAATCTGCTCGAAAAATAATGGACATCACGGTCTTAAAGGCGACAAAATAAGCTTTCGAGTCGACAACACTACAATTCTCTAAAGCGATGCGAATTAGGGCGGTAAAGCGAAAACCAAACTATCGGACTTCAAGCGAGGCCTAGAGACATTATGAAGATTCAAAGACACGGTAAATATCACGTTTGAGTAATGAGATGTCCAAGAAGTATTGTCTAATAGAAGATTTTGTGTTAAAACGTAGAACTTTCAGTATTTTCAACACAACGCTGCGCAATATTCTAGCCGTGAAGTCAAGTAAACATCGATCTAAGCATGATGAATTCTACTTCGTGGGTTTCGCACACGTAAGAAATTCGTACGTTTTTCGGTTCTAACAGAAAATCAAGAACTGTTTTGAATAAAGCTTTTTTTCCCGAAACGTTCCTTGGTCAGTTTTGTCTTTCTCCTCATTTATAATTTCCATGTAACATGAGATCTCTCCACACACTGATGAATTTGCATATTCACTTTGAAATCCGATCCGCATACTTTTTTTGCACACGTGCGCAAAAATTTACTGATTTTTATCTTTTATCTTGATTTTAGAGTAAAAACTTAATATGCATCTATTGCTTTCCTCGTTGATAGTAAGTTATTTAAATGGTCTTCTTTCACGTGAGCTTGTTTTTGGGAAAAAAAGATTTGTCAAACTTTACTGCGCATTGTGTTTACTTTTCCGGTTTCTCCAAAATTTTAACTTTTGGGTAGGCACGTGTTACACGTAGGAGTCAATGGGTTAAGAACCATACCGCGGACGATCTCGCTTGAACATTGGCGCGAAATTCGAAAACTCGAGCTTGTAAAAATTTGATTTTTTGTAATGATTTTTTGAAGAATTGACCACCGAGTCAGTCCAAAATAGCATTAATAATTCTTTATCACTTATTTTCTTCATTCAATAGATTAGTTAGATGTAGTTTGTCCTGAAATGTAACAATTTTCTGTGAGTTCATGAGCAACATGGATGGTTTTTGTTGAGATTTCTATTCACTTAATTTGAGCTCTTGATATTTGCTGAATGCATGCATGAAAGAAAATATTTTTGGCAGCAATGGAAAGTTTATTATCTTAGGAACAAAGTTTCTCTCTATTGTTTCTTGAATAAATGAGTAGTTTCTGATATATTGATTAAAATTTGAAGTGGTATTACTTTGTGTTGATTTTGGTTCCCTTGCCTTGGGCAGATGGGGTAGTATTACACACTGTCACCCTTGGACGGGAAAGGGTTAAAAGAGCACCAAAAAGCGGTTTTTCTTTGCAAAAAGGAAAATTCAGCTTTATCGGAGCATACTTGCCTAACCAACCATACAATTGGGTGGGATAATTCTAAGATTATCAAACGAAGGCACTAATTGGCGTTTCCACCAGCGCCTTCGTTTGGAGGCTTGGCACATTAACTCCGCCCACGCTCCTTTAAATCTGCTTCCTGAAATATATTTTCAGCGACTCAAGTTTCAGCGTCACCACAAACAGTGTTCAGAACTAGTAGCTTTGTGCCTGTTGGAGTGACACATGTCAACCTGCCAATCATCGAATCAAAACGATTTTCCCTTGATAAGGTGTGTTAATATATTTCTTTGTCAAGATAATAGAAGTTAGGGAAGAAAGAATGTTGGCTATGATGGCAGCAACATGAGCCTTTTTAGCAGTCAGCTCTGAGTCCATTTAAGAACCCCTTTGCTTTAGGGGACTCACTATTTACTCATAAGAAGCAGAAAGAACTGCAGCAATGCAATAATGTTTTATTATTACTATTTATGGTTTTTGATGGTTTTTGTTAGCTCTCAAAATGAAAAATGCATCTGATCAAACCCATCTTTTGATTATGTATATGGAGCTTTAAAAATGCCACACTAATTTAAATTCTTGAGAACTTGCCTTTATTTTATCATCAGGTGCCTGACACTTGTCCTTTGACAAACTTCTTGGAAATGAAAGTTGACTGCTCTCCTCAATACAGCAGCAGTGTCAATGGATTTCTGGTAGGGGCCTATATGTACTTATGGTGGAGACTGTTAAAAATCAGTGTTTTAATAGGTAATATATATACAAGGTACCAAGATTTCAGGCAATGGGGATGAACAATATCCCTCACTTTGTGGGAAAAGCACATGTCAGCCATAGAAAAGAGCCAGGAAGAGAGACGTTCCTCTTGGTGAAAATTTTTTATAGAGAGCATGGACATTGTACATTTTATCATATCATTTTGTATCATGGATGCAGGAGATGTAGTAATCTAATGTCAGTGCACTGGACTCAGGGTTAAGAGGTCCGGGTTCAAAACCTGGCTGCATCAATGTGACATGTTCTTGGACAAGACACTTCACTCTCACTGTGCCTCTCTTCACCCAAGAGTATAAATGGGTTCTGGCAAATTTTCCAGGAAGCCCCTTAAAATGCTGGTGGGTAACCTTGCAGTGGGCAATCATCCTATCCACTACTTCGTGCTACATGGAAACTGGGATAAGCTCTGGCTGGGTGGGCCACTAGGCTCCAGTACAGGCTTTACCTTTTAGGGTCATGGAGAGTCTTGAACATGTATCATTACAGGTTCTCACCATCAAATTGTCTCCCTTTTTTCATCAGACCATCTTAGAGGACATTGGGGGCTATGGAGCCTGGCAGAGAAGATGGTGTGTGCTACAAGGAGCTGTGATGTCCTATTGGAGATATCCAGGAGATGAGGAAACCAAGGTATTTTTTAAAGTGAATCCCCAATTATTTTGAAATTTTGAAATTAAAAATTACATCATTTTTTAGTCCTGAGAGGTCACAGAATGTTAGTTTGGGTCTTCAGAAGTCATGGGAAAGGAATGAAAATTATTTCCTAGGCAACAGAAATCTGAGCAAGAAATATTGTGTTTGGGACTGACCTTTGAATCATGTCATACAGAACCTCTGCAAAAGTCCTGGAAGTGGTTGATTTAAATTTATAAGTAACACAACAAGCCAAGAAAATTGAGATACTCTGACCTACTAATTTTCCTGATTTTTCTTACAAGGCTTGGACTCTTTGGCTCAATTTACATTATCTAACAGTTGTGTTTCTTTCTGTTAAAGTCCCCAATGGGCTGCATCAATTTGGCAGATTGTATCAGTGAAGAAGTCACAAGAGTGGCGAGAGACCTGTGTGCTCGTCCAAACACCATGGAACTGAAGCTCAGGAGGTCTTGTGGTACTGAAGTCAAGTAAGTTATAGTATAGTCATGATATAATCATTGTCGGTAAAGTTAATAATAGGTTCAACTTTATTTCACTTGTATGCTTTACAGTGCCAACATAAGCAAACTAATGAAAAGTTGTCAAACTAAAAATTATGGAATTCAAATTTATATGTAATCAGGGATTTTAGATAAAAGGGTGGTAGCTAGCAACAATTGATTGCTCCTGCTTGATTTGGGAAATTATTTTAGTTGCTTTTACTTTACTCTCTTCATGCATTACTCTTCATTCCTCCTTTATTTTTTAAAGACTCTTGTTTTAAATGGGTAGGTGCCTTCTACCTCAAATCCTCTTGAAAGACCTGTATATTACTATCATAAGACTCTTGTATATCTTCAACGTTTGTGAAGCTGTAATGATGACAGTGTTTTAGCGTCAAAATTGAAAGGGAACTAGTTCAGCAATTTCTGTTTGTTAACTACCAAATATAAGGTACCTGTTGGCTGCTGATACCAAAATGGACCGTGCAACATGGATTGACAGTCTAAATGAAGCACTCAGAGATGGCCGTGCATGGACAGGAAAGGATAAGGAAGCCCTGTACCCTGACTTGAGCCACCTACACAATCAAGATGTTTATATGTGTTCAAAGGCTACTGTCTGAGCATTTTGGCTTTGGATATATCAAATGTGCTTCTATTGACCTTGCAATGCCTGTAGCACCTTTGACATAAAATGAACAAGTTTATTATAATTGTAAGTTTCTACATGTGAATTGTAGAGCTTGATCAACTATCAATTCAAATGAGTAGTTGATGCTTGAATGCAATTGTCTTTTTGTAGACATTACATTAAATAACTGGAAGATTTAAGCCAAATTCTGAATTTTAGAAATAACTGTCACTTAATATAACTTTATTTTAACAGATGATATGTCATGTCTTTTTGCACACCAGAGCTGTTGTAAAACACAAGTCAGTAGGATTTCCAGTCTAGAGGAGGTTTCAGTCTTGTCATAGCAATTGCATCACAATGCTGTATTCCTAAAAAACAAGAAGGGAAATTTAAAGCTCATGATGGTCCTTATATCATGGCATTATTTACCTCTCCCCTTAGTTTGGATAGTAAATGAAAGATCTTAACTTTGTCTCCTTTGCAACCATTCTTTGAGCCAGACACTGCATGGCATTCCAAAGAACAGTTGCAAAGGAGACTGGATTATACCTTGGATATTCAGGGATGTTTTGAGATCAATGTATTTGATTTCTGGAAATTAGTAAGCAATGACTCTTTCCATCAACTTCCCTATTACTGCGGTACAACTTTTGTTAGGCAAAACAGTGAATCAATATTTTCAGTCAATGGGCTATAAATTGTCTACAATGAAATTGAGAATTAATAGATGAGAGGGACAGTTTTGAGCTGGATTTACTACTTGCTGAATGATCATATTTTAACGTCAATAATTAAGAAGAGGTGGAATATTATTAATATAGTACACTTGCAAATTTTAATTAACGTTTTTGTATTCTTAATAAATATTTTTCTGCAAAGTTCAGTTCTCTGCCTTTTGCTATATAATACTAAGGCTCTAAAGTGAACTTTAAATTAACAAGTGTTGATCCCTTAGACTCTAACATCGGTATTCATATTCTCTGTAATGTTCTCTCTGCATTTACTAAGATGCTGACAGGGAGAATTTCTCCAACAATCAAGAGTTTTTTTTTTTTTGGTTGGTGATCATTTCCTTTATTCTCCTGACATTAATGTGTGATTCAGTGGTGATATTGTAAGGAGAAATTAGATGCTGGTCACTCTTAGGGGTTAAAGGGTTTAGAAATTCAAACTTTCCCCAGGAACATACCTCTAGATTCCCTCCCTGCCAATATATCACAATATAAATAAATGTAAATAGATCACAAAGAAAAAGACAAAAAAGACTTCTAACAAAAAAAGAATTAGGAACTCTTTATTGAACCTTCATTTTATACATTTAAAGTACTTATGAAAAAGGTAAACCATGAATAAAATAACATGTTATATCCCCAAGGGAAAGATTTAAGGGTTTAATGAGCAATCAGAAAGTGTCTTTTTTGAGGTGAGCAACTTTGTGAGGAGATTTCCTTTTGAGAGAAATTTTAGTTGTGTTCACAATTGTGGTCAAATGCTAGGCCCAATTTTTGTTGTTGTTGTTGTTAAAAGGCAAAATCAGCAACTGTGACTCTCTAAACATTAACCAAGCTCTAAAACCTAGACCTTGTAAACCTTTTCTTTTGAACCATTTGCCCATGAGAGTGAACTATTTGCCATAAACACCTCTATAGTTAAATATGTAAAACTTAGATTCTGGACGACGATCCTGGTCCAGTTGTTGTGAATCCGTTCGTCGCGAATACCGGCCTGGTCAGGGACTTATATATATATATATATATTTAAACACGTGACACCTAGGAGTACCGAAGTTCTCGTTTAAACGTGTACGTGTATTAGAGATCCACACAGTAATCTCGTGCGTGGGAAATTAACGTCTCCTACCCCAAACCCTGCAGGAGACGGGACCTCCGGCTTCACGTCTTATCCGAGAAGACGAAGCAAGGTGAGTGAAGCGACCCACCCACCCACGTGTGTAGGCACGTGTTACACGTAGCAGTCAATGGGTTAAACACGTGACACCTAGGAGTACCGAAGATCCTGGTCGGGATTTACATATCCCACCTGGGATACTTTATCCCACCTACAAAAATATTGTTTTGCTGTTTTTATTCTTACAAAACGTTTTTGTGAGAGTTCCAATACTTATGGATCATCCACACACTCCGCAATCTGCCCATGAGAGTGAACTATTTGCCATAAACACCTCTATATTTAAATATGTAAAACTTAGATTCTGGACGACGATCCTGGTCCAGTTGTTGTGAATCCGTTCGTCGCGAATACCGGCCTGGTCAGGGACGTTCGAGGTTATTCGACCATAAACTTTTTTAACCTAATGTTTAAGGACAGCAATTTTGACAGAATTGCAGAGGAAACGAATCGTTATGCGCGGCACGCGATGGAAACAAAACCGGACCCTGCTTGGCGTGAAACCGACGCCGAAGAAGTGAAGGCATTCTTCGCACTGAATATCCTGTTTGGGATTAAACAATTGCCCGAAGTATACTCATACTGGTCCAGAAACCAGCTTCTCGGAGTCCCAGAAGTGGAAAAGATTTTTCCGAGGAATCATTTTGCCAAAATATCGCAATATCTTCATCTAAACGATAAGAGAAGAGAATTGCCACGTGGGCACGCAAACCACGACAAATTGTTCAAAGTGCGACCTGTTCTCGATTCTGTTGTAGAGGCTATTAAAAGCGAATACAGGCCGTCGAAAAATGTTTCGATCGACGAGGCAATGATTCCTTTTAAAGGAAGACTTTCCCTTAAACAGTACATGCCCTTAAAACCGGTAAAGAGGGGAATCAAAGTGTGGGAGTGTGCAGATTCGTCGAACGGCTTCGTTTGCGATTTGGAAGTCTACACGGGAAAACAACGCAATGGCAATCCCGAACAAGGACTCGGACACCGCGTTGTCCGCAATCTTACTCGACCCCTGGTTGGCAAAAATCGGAAATTTTTCGGCACGGCGATTGTCTGCAAGTTCTAGGCGCCTAGAAGGAGGGCATTGGCCCATCAAGTTCTCCAAAGGTCGCTGTAAGCGTTGTTTAAAGCGAAACAAGGAAACGTGGTGCCGAATGGCATGTGAACTTTGCGGCAAACGCATTTGTTTAGACTGCTTTAAGAACCATACCGCGGACGATCTCGCTTGAACATTGGCGCGAAATTCGAAAACTCGAGCTTGTAAAAATTTGATTTTTTGTAATGATTTTTTGAAGAATTGACCACCGAGTCAGTCCAAAATAGCATTAATAATTCTTTATCACTTATTTTCTTCATTCAATAGATTAGTTAGATGTAGTTTGTCCTGAAATGTAACAATTTTCTGTGAGTTCATGAGCAACATGGATGGTTTTTGTTGAGATTTCTATTCACTTAATTTGAGCTCTTGATATTTGCTGAATGCATGCATGAAAGAAAATATTTTTGGCAGCAATGGGAAGTTTATTATCTTAGGAACAAAGTTTCTCTCTATTGTTTCTTGAATAAATGAGTAGTTTCTGATATATTGATTAAAATTTGAAGTGGTATTACTTTGTGTTGATTTTGGTTCCCTTGCCTTGGGCAGATGGGGTAGTATTACACACTGTCACCCTTGGACGGGAAAGGGTTAAAAGAGCACCAAAAAGCGGTTTTTCTTTGCAAAAAGGAAAATTCAGCTTTATCGGAGCATACTTGCCTAACCAACCATACAATTGGGTGGGATAATTCTAAGATTATCAAACGAAGGCACTAATTGGCGTTTCCACCAGCGCCTTCGTTTGGAGGCTTGGCACATTAACTCCGCCCACGCTCCTTTAAATCTGCTTCCTGAAATATATTTTCAGCGACTCAAGTTTCAGCGTCACCACAAACAGTGTTCAGAACTAGTAGTTTTGTGCCTGTTGGAGTGACACATGTCAACCTGCCAATCATCAAATCAAAACGATTTTCCCTTGATAAGGTGTGTTAATATATTTCTTTGTCAAGATAATAGAAGTTAGGGAAGAAAGAATGTTGGCTATGATGGCAGCAACAAGAGCCTTTTTAGCAGTCAGCTTTGAGTCCATTTAAGAACCCCTTTGCTTTAGGGGACTCACTATTTACTCATAAGAAGCAGAAAGAACTGCAGCAATGCAATAATGTTTTATTATTACTATTTATGGTTTTTGTTAGCTCTCAAAATAAAAAATGCAACTGATGAAACCCATCTTTTGATTATGTATATGGAGCTTTTAAAAATGCCACACTAGTTTAAATTCTTGAGAACTTGCCTTTATTTTATCATCAGGTGCCTGACACTTGTCCTTTGACAAACTTCTTGGAAATGAAAGTTGACTGCTCTCCTCAATACAGCAGCAGTGTCAATGGATTTCTGGTAGGGGCCTATATGTACTTATGGTGGAGACTGTTAAAAATCAGTGTTTTAATAGGTAATATATATACAAGGTACCAAGATTGCAGGCAATGGGGATGAACAATATCCCTCACTTTGTGGTAAAAGCGTATGTTGTCAGCTATAGAAAAGATGTCAGGAAGAAAGGTGTTCCTCTTGGTGAAAATCTTTCATAGAGAGCACTGATGTTGTACATTTTATCATGCCACTTTGGAGCATGGATGTAGGAGATGCAGGAATTTAATGGTCAGTGCACCGGACTCAGGATTGAGAGGTCCAGGTTCGAAACCTGGCTGCATCAATGTGTTGTGTTCTTGGACAAGACACTTCACTCTCACTGTTCCTCTCTTCACCCAAGAGTATAAACGGGCTCTAGTGAATTTCCCAGGAAGCCCCTTAAAGTGCTGGTGGGTAACCTTGCAGTGGACAATCATCCTATCCATAGGGGAGTGGTAATACTCTTAGCTACTTCGTGCTACATGGAAACTGGGATAAGCTCTGGCTGGGTGGGCCACTAGGCTCCAGTACAGGCTTTACCTTTTAGGGTCATGGAGAGTTTTGAACATCTATCATTACAGGTTCTCACCATCAAATTGTCTCCCTTTTTTCATCAGACCATCTTAGAGGACATTGGGGGCTATGGAGCCTGGCAGAGAAGATGGTGTGTGCTACAAGGAGCTGTGATGTCCTATTGGAGATATCCAGGAGATGAGGAAACCAAGGTATTTTTTAAAGTGAATCCCCAATTATTTTGAAATTTTGAAATTAAAAATTACATAATTTTTTTTAGTCCTGAGAGGTCACAGAATGTTAGTTTGGGTCTTCAGAAGTCATGGGAAAGGAATGAAAATTATTTCCTAGGCAACAGAAATCTGAGCAAGAAATACTGTGTTTGGGACTGACCTTTGAATCATGTCATGCAGAACCTCTGCAAAAGTCCTGGAAGTGGTTGATTTAAATTTATAAGAAACACAACAAGCCAAGAAAATTGAGATACCCTGACCTACTAATTTTCCTGATTTTTCTTACAAGGCTTGGACTCTTTGGCTCAATTTACATTATCTAACAGTTGTGTTTCTTTCTGTTAAAGTCCCCAATGGGCTGCATCAATTTGGCAGATTGTATCAGTGAAGAAGTCACAAGAGTGGCGAGAGACCTGTGTGCTCGTCCAAACACCATGGAACTGAAGCTCAGGAGGTCTTGTGGTACTGAAGTCAAGTAAGTTATAGTATAGTCATGATATAATCATTGTCGGTAAAGTTAATAATAGGTTCAACTTTATTTCACTTGTATGCTATACAGTGCCAACATAAGCAAACTAATGAAAAGTTGTCAAACTAAAAATTATGGAATTCAAATTTATATGTAATCAGGGATTTTAGATAAAAGGGTGGTAGCTAGCAACAATTGATTGCTCCTGCTTGATTTGGGAAATTATTTTAGTTGCTTTTACTTTACTCTCTTCATGCATTACTCTTCATTCCTCCTTTATTTTTTAAAGACTCTTGTTTTAAATGGGTAGGTGCCTTCTACCTCAAATCCTCTTGAAAGACCTGTATATTACTATCATAAGACTCTTGTATATCTTCAACGTTTGTGAAGCTGTAATGATGACAATGTTTTAGCGTCAAAATTGAAAGGGAACTAGTTCAGCAATTTCTGTTTGTTAACCACCAAATATAAGGTACCTGTTGGCTGCTGATACCAAAATGGACCGTGCAACATGGATTGACAGTCTAAATGAAGCACTCAGAGATGGCCGTGCATGGACAGGAAAGGATAAGGAAGCCCTGTACCCTGACTTGAGCCACCTACACAATCAAGATGTTTATATGTGTTCAAAGGCTACTGTCTGAGCATTTTGGCTTTGGATATATCAAATGTGCTTCTATTGACTTTGCAATGCCTGTAGCACCTTTGACATAAAATGAACAAGTTTATTATAATTGTAAGTTTCTACATGTGAATTGTAGAGCTTGATCAACTATCAATTCAAATGAGTAGTTGATGCTTGAATGCAATTGTCTTTTTGTAGACATTACATTAAATAACTGGAAGATTTAAGCCAAATTCTGAATTTTAGAAATAACTGTCACTTAATATAACTTTATTTTAACAGATGATATGTCATGTCTTTTTGCACACCAGAGCTGTTGTAAAACACAAGTCAGATTTCCAGTCTAGAGGAGGTTTCAGTCTTGTCATAGCAATTGCATCACAATGCTGTATTCCTAAAAAACAAGAAGGGAAATTTAAAGCTCATGATGGTCCTTATATGATGGCATTATTTACCTCTCCCCTTAGTTTGGATAGTAAATGAAAGATCTTAACTTTGTCTCCTTTGCAACCATTCTTTGAGCCAGGCACTGCATGGCATTCCAAAGAACAGTTGCAAAGGAGACTAGATTATACCTTGGATATTCAGGGATGTTTTGAGATCAATGTATTTGATTTCTGGAAATTAGTAAGCAATGACTCTTTCCATCAACTTCCCTATTACTGCGGTACAACTTTTGTTAGGCAAAACAGTGAATCAATATTTTCAGTCAATGGGCTATAAATTGTCTACAATGAAATTGAGAATTAATAGATGAGAGGGACAGTTTTGAGCTGGATTTACTACTTGCTGAATGATCATATTTTAACGTCAATAATTAAGAAGAGGTGGAATATAATTAATATAGTACACTTGCAAATTTTAATTAACGTTTTTGTATTCTTAATAAATATTTTTCTGCAAAGTTCAGTTCTCTGCCTTTTGCTATATAATACTAAGGCTCTAAAGTGAACTTTAAATTAACAAGTGTTGATCCCTTAGACTCTAACATCGGTATTCATATTCTCTGTAATGTTCTCTCTGCATTTACTAAGATGCTGACAGGGAGAATTTCTCCAACAATCAAGAGTTTTTTTTTTTTTGGTTGGTGATCATTTCCTTTATTCTCCTGACATTAATGTGTGATTCAGTGGTGATATTGTAAGGAGAAATTAGATGCTGGTCACTCTTAGGGGTTAAAGGGTTTAGAAATTCAAACTTTCCCCAGGAACATACCTCTAGATTCCCTCCCTGCCAATATATCACAATATAAATAAATGTAAATAGATCACAAAGAAAAAGACAAATGACTTCTAACAAAAAAAAGAATTGGGAACTCTTTATTGAACCTTCATTTTATACATTTAAAGTACTTATGAAAAAGGTAAACCATGAATAAAATAACATGTTATATCCCCAAGGGAAAGATTTAAGGGTTTAATGAGCAATCAGAAAGTGTCTTTTTTGAGGTGAGCAACTTTGTGAGGAGATTTCCTGTTGAGAGAAATTTTAGTTGTCTTCACAATTGTGGTCAAATGCTCGGCCCAATTTTTGTTGTTGTTGTTGTTAAAAGGCAAAATCAGCAACTGTGACTCTCTAAACATTAACCAAGCTCTAAAACCTAGACCTTGTAAACCTTTTCTTTAGAACCATTTGCCCATGAGAGTGAACTATTTGCCATAAACACCTCTATATTTAAATATGTAAAACTTAGATTCTGCTCAAAAGACTTGACACCTCTGGTTCAAATTCCCCACCCTCTCAAGGCAAGGTTCAAATATTCCACCCCCTTGGCACAGATAATGGTCAAATGCCTGTGGGTTGCCCATGGCACGAGGGGAATGTTGAAGCTTACAGAATTGATTAGCACATAACCATTAAATAAGTATCAGTAATCCTATTTTAACTATTAGAATAAATAATGATAATTTATAGTAATATATTGTTATTAATAAAATAAGATTTCTCCATGTTTGAACAACAACTGTTTACTCCAGGAAACTGAAATGAAAATAAACTTTGTACCTCCATCAAATGAAAGCTATGACTACAGGTGATATTATAGAACCCAAGAAATAATTAAAACTCAGCAGGAAAGGGCCCTGAAATCAAATTAAACCAAAATAGATGCAGCTGCTCTCTGTGGGCTCCCAGGGGGTCCTAAGATGATTTGGTTCACACAAAGGAAAAAAAACCAAAAAGAAATTTTAAACTAAGCAAATGCTGGTTTAAATTGTTCATCCTCCAATACTGTCACAGTATGACAATTATAAAAATAGGACATGACATGTGTAAATTAACTGAGATCAGTTTTAAAAATATATGTTCCAGAATTGTTAGGGTCTTGAGGAGGTAATTTGAATGTTAATCAATTCTTACTTAGCATTTTCCAATATTTACTGCATCCAAACCTTAAAAAAAAAGTGCATATGAACCACTTATCAAAACTACTCTTTCACATCTAATAATAATTATCAAAAAGTTGTATAACTTAAAATGTCTAACATTAACTTACAGAGCATACTTCTAGAATACTTATCAGTTCAGTATTCACTGGATTCATAATAAATAATATCTACCACAAATATTTACCACACGTAAGACTCAATCGTGAATCCTTAAGTTAAAACTCCATCCTTTTGTATGATTGAAAATTCCCTTAACTTACAAGGAGGATATTATCATTTAAATTTAATACATTTTCCCATCAATATTTACAGAATTTATATTAATAAGTCACATTTCTCCATCCATTGATTCATTACTTACTATCAAACCCACATCACTCACTTACACTGTCTAAGGTGTTTTATATGTGTATATAGGCCCTTAAAAATAATATGACTTATCAGTCATTATTTAATACATTAGTTTATTTATTTTTATACAGATGAAAATAGAGTCAGAAATTGTCCTGCATTTACCCTTTCACTCCCAAGATCCATCTATCAGCCATAAATTTATCATTATTTCAGCCCTTATAATTTTATCTGCTAGTTTAAATTAAAACTTCAACCACCATGAGTTACCAAGAATGAATTTCTCCCAGCCATATCACTACAATATCAAGAAGACAAGAGGTGAGAATAAAGAGATCTGTCAATTAGGGGATACTTAATTGACTGCATTACAAATTCTCTAGTTATTGCCTGTCTCGAGAATAACATATTTATAATAATTGTATGTAGCAATTTCCATTTTGGACACTCCTGAGAGAAAAAGGGCAAAATGAAAACAAATATGTCTCCCATCCAAGTAAGAGATTCACTTCCAGTTCCATGGAATACTGATTTGACCATCTTCATTAACATGGTAATATTTAGAAACAATGAGGGTTGTATTTTTAAGATCAGGGTAATCTTCCTCAAGAAGTCTCTCACAGCAGTCACTCATCTGCATTGGTGAAACAGAGCTGTCTTTAGACAGAGAGGAGAACTGAAATTTCTCTTTACATGACTGGACTGCTTGCTCCTCTGTTAATATGTTCCTGGAAACAAAAACGATACATAATAAACATCAGCAAATTTACAACTTTAGCATGTAGTTTAAGATGAAAAATTCAAAGCCATGTTTTGAGGCCTGTAAAGTGGCACACATTGCAAGACTTTATCCTTTTCTTTTCAGCATAAAGCAAATAGGATTACAACTGCCCCCTGCCCCCAGCACACCAATAATTTAATGTCACTCTTTCTCACGCAGATTAAAAGCACTTATCACATGTACAAATGTAGGTAACAGTAGAACCATGCTAACTCGAACATCCTGGTAACTTTTTTTCCCAGTCATTTACTATCAGCTACCTTGAATGCAACAAACTGGAACCTTTTTTGTTTCCCTTGGAAATTTGAGTTAGTTAGGGTCTACTGTATGTATATTTTTGATTAAGCAGAGGTATAAGGCTCATAGATTGATGGCAAAGACAAAGTAGACTTTATACCAAAGAATAACACTTTTTTTTTTTTTGATAGTCATTTGACTTGTAAAATTCTGCAGTCAGGTTTTAATGATAAATAAGTTTCCATACTTTTTGTTCTCTTCATGGAGGTCCATAGCCTTCTGTTTGTGCTTTCCCAAAAAATCCACAATTAACTCTGTTGGAATTGAAGTTGGTATTTGGAACTCACCACTAAGTGACAAGCTGAGTGCATCTGAAGGGCTAAAAAAAATGTAACAATTTTTAATCACTTAGTTTGCTAAAAAAATTATCCATTTTAAAATTATTTTCTAGCTTGATTGTATTATATTCATCCTTTTTCCTTCTACAGATTTAAAATCATTGCCTTTCCTATCAATGCTTCAGACTAATCCAACTAACACCTTTGTTTCCTCATTTCAGGAAGTTCAAAACGAGTTTTGAACATCTTGAAACTTGACTCAATTGTCTCCATTCTCAACTCAGAGGATCAATGGTTGAGTTTTGAGGGAGTTGGCTTACTTTTAAGCACTAAGCACTGTAGTTTTGTCAGGCTCAAGATAAGACTCGAATAATGTGACATAACCTTTTTTCCATGGGATGCCTGTGACAGGCCCATGGTAAGGTTTGCCTGGCATTCCTTTTTCATTGTCAACCCAAATCGACAAATTCTTGAAATGCTTGAATTGTTTGACATGTTCCATATCTGTTGGAAATGGATGAGTTGCCAGTAATCTGATCCTTGTTCAAATTTATAATCTCTTTCACCACTGACAATTTGTGCACAAAAACTTTTCAATTTTTCTTGTGAAAATCATTTACCTGATGACACAAAAACTAACAAACCTCAGGATTCTTGCAGTACACTCTTTAAATTCCCCTGGCTGAATGGTTGTTGAAGCATCAGCTCCGAGTAATCCTTTTTTCAGCAAGGAAACCACTCGGTACAGGTAGTTTAGATATTCCACAACTGAGACAGAAGGTGAATCTTCATCATACTTGATGTTCATGTCTCCAAGTAATGAGGATAGTTTTCTCTCCCACATGGGTACCTGATCAACAAGAACGTCATAGTCTTCCAAGGATGTTAAGTTCTGAAAAGGAAGTGATAGTTTCAACATGAGAGCATCAGATTGAATTTGTCCATTGAATTTGTCCATGTGAGTTTCATGCTCAAGACTCAAGAGCTGTGGGTTCTGTGAGCAGCCAAAAGGAGGTGAATTTTAAAAAAAGTGTTTTCACTCAATTTTGTTTTTTCACTCAAATTAAATTGCTACCCAATAGTTTTGCATTTAAAAACCATGTCCAGACCAAAGAACACCTCTTTAGACAAGCATTCAAAACCACTACAGGTTTCATCAATCTTTTTGACAGGCATGCAATCTAGCATGACTTCAAATATGTCTTCAACCTAAAAGAGTAGAATAAGCTTGGGTGGTTGCTGCCACAAGGCCATAAAAGTTGTGCTGCTACTTCTTTGACTTACCGAGAGCCAAAATTCTGGGACATCTTGAGTATTCAACATGACACGCCCAAGAGGATCAACTCCTGTCCAGTCTGTAAAAATTATTGTATGTCCCTTGAGATTCTGAAGTTCAGACTTCTTGGACAAGCAAAGGTTCCAAAAGTTTTTAAGGGAGCCATGATAGGATGCATGACTCCAGCCACTGATTGACTCCAGCTTGTTCAACCTGAGTTCTTTACATATCTTATCAGAAAGCAGTTTACTCTCCTCTATGACAGATTTACTACTTTCTTGTTTTCCCCTGGCATCTTGGATGTTCTTGTCAAGGAAGTCTCTCAAAGAGAGTCGTGAGTTTCTCTGCAATTGAGCAAGGTCCACAGGGCTCTGCCTGTCACTGAACTGTTTATAAACGTTAAGCCAGTGATGTGGTGCATCATAGGGAAGTGCAACTGACACCTTAGGTTTTTCACTGTTCTGGTGCAGAGTAACCAGATCTTCCAACATACCACAGGTCTTTAAAATGTGACTGATGGTGAACTGGACATCACGAGAGAAAAGTGAAACTCTTACTGTCTTGAAGAGATCCAGCCCTAACAATCACATGTCAAACAATTAATAATTTATCGATAATTATCAATTCCAACATCTTAGAATAGGATGTTGGGCTTGTATAACAACTCTAGGCAACACCCTCACATTGGCAATCTTCTTTAAACAACATTTGACTGTGCTGCCCTTGGGCTATAAGGACTCTACTGCCCTTGCATGGGATAACATTATAACATTTTCCTGATTTGAGAGGTAATACACAAATAAAAGAAGGAACACAAAATGAAACAATAGAGGACTTCAGGGGCATAGCCAGGATTTTTCAAAGGGCGGTCACACTGTGTAAAACAGAGGTTACTTTTAAAACAGATTGTCATGTTGACCTCCATGCTGTGTTTTAATTTATATGACTAAAAAATGCTTACAAAGAGAAGGGGGAGGGGTCATGGGCACCCCTGAGGAATCCCCTACACCATTGGACTAACTATAGGATAGTATGAATTAACTGCACAATGACCAAAATATTAAGTCAAAAATTATAACATTTCACAATGGAGGAGAAACTCTATAACAGAAACATATAATGCTGTTTTACATCATCATCACAGACCTCTAAGTTTTAATATACCTTACCCTCTTCAAGTGGTGGTGTTGCTGTATCATTTTTTAAATAGAACATCAAGTGAGTGGGATTCACAGGATTTTTCTTCTGCAGATCTTCCAGGTATGAGTTCAACCTCTTCAAGGAATCTTCATTTATTGACTGTAAATAAACCAAAAAAGTATAATTTGTATGAAAATCTTCCTGCCATTAAACAACTGGCCTGAGGATATCCCTTCCTTCAACTAACAAATAACTGTACCTGCAGCAACTTTTCTTTAAAATTTTAATACACCACAACTGATAAGTGTTGAAAATTGACAAACTTAACAAAGTCTACACTTGTGCGACACCAAAATCTGTTGGTTAATTTACATAAACATGGAAGGCAGCTGTGAAGGGAATGACTTAGCCCAGTGAGAAGTTGAGGCATTAAAAGATTCCCACTTTAAATACAAAAGTGATTAAAATGTAACTGCTTCTTAATAACATCCAAACATTATCCAGCAAACAGGTCATGAGAATGCTAAATAATCAGGTAGAAGTTGTTGTCTTCATCTAACACCTAATACTTGTAACCAATTTACCCCTTTTGGACAAGCCTGTGTTCAAAGAGATAAATTGTGCAACACACACCCTTTGGTATCTGGCTCTAAGAGTTTTGTGTTTCATTTCACATCAGTTTTCACTTTGAGCATACGCCAGAGATTTTGTATTGTACTGTTTCATTTTTCTTCCCACCCACCCTCCCACCCTGGGTGATTTTGTGTGATGTCATAGGGTGGCAGAGAGGTTTATTATATATCATTAGCTTTTTTTTCTTTTTGTTTGTATTCCTAATAAACTTCTCTCTGTGCCAAAAAACAAACTGTGTTTTAATATTTGTGTCAGGGGGCATAGTTGGAGAATTTACATGGAAATGTCTAGCAGCTGGAGGGGAAAATTAATAATCAGATCTTGATAGAAAAAGGGTCAAAGCCTAATCTTAGAAGAGACACAGTTGTGTGTGATAACAGCTTTTCCTGTGCTTACAATATTACCATGCTGTGATAAAACCTACTGTATCTGTAACATCCTAAACTTGAGCCAACTGATCACTAGGTCATCACATGAAATCATGTATCTGACCAAGGGTGTGATAACAAAATAACCTCACCTTGTGATACTTGCCATGACAACACTACTTGCGTTCACCCTAACTTAACATAGGATCCCCTTTGAGCTTAAAACCTTTAGTCATCAACCATTTCAAATATTCTAAAAAATTTTGTTACAAGTTAACTTTAAGAGTTAAGTGTTGCTGAATAATTTCTCTTACCCTCTGCATTGGATACTGGCCAAAAAGATCAGGATGAACTGCAAAGTAAAATGGTTTTAGGGCTGCTTTGGTCTGTGCACTTGACAGATGCCTCGACAAAATGCACCGGGCAGAAATTCTTTCCAAACTAAAATAAAAACAAGATAAACTGTTTAAACGTTAAGTTTTTGCACCAAATTAATAAGTTCATTTTTGGTCTGTTTAATGTTCATGGAAGCTTATTGTCTCTCACATTTTTTTACTCTCATTTGGAGATGAAAAACAAGTTAATTTCAGAAGTAAGGTTCTCTTTCTGCCAAAGAGCTTATAAATCTGTTTTGTTCAAAGATTTTGAAAGAGCTTTCATTTGCAAGAATAGTGGGTAGTGGAAGAATTTTGATAAAAAAAAAAGGGGGGCTGGGCTGTAAAATATTAGCTGGAGAATTTCCCAATCTTTGGCAGCTAATGATGGTACCTTGTTTTGAATGTCTGATAAAAAATATGGACTTTGGATGATGTGCATTACACGTAAATTGATCCACAGTTGACAAAGTATTGTACTTCATCCTTACAATTCCTTAGTCTATCCCTTGACCCAGTTATTTTTAAATTATTACATAATCATGTTTGCAGCCTACATCATTGTCAAATGAATCCAAACTATTGTTAAAAAATAAAAAAGAATGCTATTCACTGGCTGTATTTACTGCTGAGATTAACCATTGCCCATCCTTTGAAAAAAGTTATGGCTAGCAAAATTAAGCTATTAGCAAGGAAATCACATTTTAACAATGATTTAAAGCAACAGAGTCCTGGTGCCTCTTTAATTAATTTTTCTACAAACATCTACTGGAGCCAGAATTTCTCTCACCAGGCTACGTGGGTAAAGTGCAGATTTCACAATAGTGTGAACATCTGGTCTGACAAAGTTTACTCAATTTTCAAATTTATTTCAAAATTACAAACAAAGTCAGTTTGATTCTTCAGAGTTTAATGAAGGATTGTTTATTGCAGACACCAAGGAAGGTGTTGGTAGAAATTCACAACTAATTACAATATTTTACCACAATAGTTCTCCAGAAAATTTTAAACTTCACCTTTGCTATTCAATTTATGAACAAAGCAAAATAAAAACAATTTGAAATCTTTATATTTTTCTTTCTATCAAAGATTGTACAACAGACATCGATTTGAATATTATTTCTTAACATTCATCAACTTGTAAAGTTGTCCAGGGTTTCACTAACTTTTCAAGTGGACAGAAGTTTCTACAAGTTAAAATGTGATTTACAACTTTGAAATTTCCAGAATGGTTAAAAATAATCACAGTGGCAAAATAAAAAGATATTGATCTTATTTCCTTAAACTATGACGTACGAAACACAATTTTCAGCCCCACGCATGAATTTTTCACAGGTTTTAATAAACTCGAAACTGAAAATAAAATACTTCCGTCAATCACCTTTTAAATTTCAAGATGTTTTGACTTCGATCACATCCCAGTGACATCAAACATCATCCTTAACAACATATACTCCTCATTATAGGCATATCAGGCTTGCGAAGAAACAATTCCTCGCAATTTTAACCATATTCGAGGACTCTTTTTCCATAGGCAGAAAAAACAAGTTAATTTTCGAGTGAATTTTTTCGTCTGAAAAATTCGTCATAAAATTAAATCCCTGATTGCCTGTTAGGATCATACCGAGCTAAATTTTTGCTGATTTGCAAGCGGTTTTTTAATAAAAGCGCTATGCGTTGAATTTAGAAAGAAAGGAGATCTTGACGGAGTAAACGCATTTCATTTACAGTGTACTACAAAAGTTGCATTAACATGTAAGTTTAAAAGCTTATTAGTTTTCGGGTGTAGGGTAAAATTCTATTACGGCGGGCTGGCCGACAGACCAGCAAAACAAAACCACTTGATAATAGCTTTAAGCTTGTTTTACAGAGTTATAACTACGGGAAATATTCAGCAGCTTTAAAGAAAAAGCTGTTGGTTTCAAACTCATACGTAACCGTGCTTACTAAGCACTCAATCGATTGTGTAACTTATGAAAATAAAGTTTGCTAGCCGAAGAAACATTTTTATCACAATTTTGAAACCCTAACATAAAAACATTCTATACAAACCTCAGTCGATTCACTCCACAAAGCATTTTGTAGTGCAAGTTAAAATTATTAGCTATGTGAGCGAGTAGTACCAGACCCTGTGACAGACCTTCACAACTACACTCGATCAGTGGCTTTACGAGCTTACGTACCGTTTAATTGTTGTGAGTAGCACGACCCAATCACGTGTAAAAAAACCGGTTTGAATGAAAGCATCGTGCAGTCCGTCACGCCTGTCTCAGTTTGTGAAATAACATGAAACAAAGCAATCATAACTTCTGGCATTAAAAGCACTCCTTGAGTCTTTGATTCTTCCTTACATAGAATAACTTTCACCACAATATAAGGCAAGCTTCGCTATTTTGCTGGAAGCGTCAGCAGAACCTCTCGTGGTGTTTACTTTTGGCCTTCGGTTTGTCACGCAAGCTCATGGTCATGCAATATTGAAGTCGGTACAAAAAATATCTCTCCTAAACGAGGCAGGTTTTAAGGATCAATCGGTAGTTACCCTTCTTTCTAAAAGTGAAGTATTTCTTGATTTATCTTAGAGATAGTTCCTTTTCAAGATTGCATATCAAATCTGGTTGCCTGGAGCTTCCCTTCTGCTTCCCCAACGAAACCCAAAATTACCATAAGCTGATGAGAGAGGCTTTCAAGTTCTTCGACGACAGAAATATTGTATTTCCAGTAATAAATTCAGTAAATACGCTCTATTACCCGTGATGTCTTCTGAACAACCAGGAATATTTACTTCATCAGTGTTTGGCCGATTAAAACTAGCGATCAGGTTTGTGTTGTTTTGTTTATGTATTTTTGGGATGGCAAGAGGTGACATGATCGTAAGCCGACTACTGAAAAAATACTTGAAACTCTAAATGGCGGAAAATAACAATGTATTCATGATAGCTAGGGGTGAACTGAAAACTGACGGCAAAATCCTGAAGAGAACTCGGGAAATTATGGAGAATGTTTGTTCTAATGTCAAATTTCTCAAGGATAATGGACAAGCGAGCGATCCCCATGAACAGGAAAGCGAAGTTTGAGAAAATCCGTGTCACAATGTGATAGACATCTATTGCAAGTTTAATTTCAACTTTTAATTGCTTCTGAGTTTGAGTTAAGGATAATTTAGTAGTTTTTTAATATGTTGTGCCGATGAATGATACTCTGAACATTTACATCAAGTTGCTTTGTCATTCATGTTAAATTCATGACAAACCAATGTCAAGTCGACGAACACATACTAAAATATTTAAAAGTTTGCTGAAGACGCGTTGAATGGACTAGTAGACTGACTGGTACGACAGGTTTTCTTCGTGAATGTAAACTTCATTCATAATTCACTTCAAAATCTGTTGGTCCCACTCAATGAAACCTTGGAAACTCAAATATTATAAAAAGAAAATTTCACCGTGCTGAATCTTGTTCTGCGATGCAACTTTTTCATATTTAACTTTGAGTAGCTCAGTGAGAATACAACCGTGTAACCCAAACATATCTTGACTGGGATAATATTTACAAACTAAATATTTGAGAACAAGGAAAACACTAGGAAACGTTACTTGTTTAGCTGTTTCGCTTATCCCACGCACTGTCAGTGGTTAATTCTTTCCTGTGCATATCAATATGTTAACTTAACAGGAAAGAGAGAGAGCTAAAAAAATTAATTAGAAATTCTTGAATCAAAACCCAACGGGATAATACTGAGATAAAAGGAAGACCAACAGTCGCTGACAAAAACAGAGAAGACGGCCGCTAAGGGCGCGATCCGAACTGATCTATCTGGTTTGTGATTGGTTAGCGTTTTCTAAGCGCACGAATGGCAACGAGTGGTGCGCATTTTCCTTCTATCCATGAAGCTCATTTAGATCTAAATAACTAAATTAAAAACACTAACATGATCTTATGACAGAACACAAGTGATTTTGAGACCTGAGATTCCTTGGAGTATAAGTGAGGCGCAGTTCGCCCTTGCTGATTAAGTTAAAGCAGATCTTGATTAGATACTGCCAACGCCTATATATCCCGCTTTATACATGTATTGACTATTTGTTTTTGCTAATATACTATCTCTAATATAAAATGACCCATACTGTCGAGATGGCGCTTGTCTATGACCAGCGCAAACTGCTCTCATACAGAATACCTCGAGGGCGTGGTTATGCTCAACCAACAGTCGAGAGGGTGCTCTAGGAAAGTCACTAGTCTTGTAAACAAATTTAGTTATTGAGCAATTAAAATGCTAAAAGTAACATCCTCATTGCGAAATGCTCACTAAATTCACTTACTAATTTCACTTCGTATAATATTTTTCTTAACGAAATAAATACAACGTTATTGAAATCAACACCTCGTTTGAAAAAAGATCCTTAATTTCCTATAAGAAAACTCTAATCGTGTTTTTCCATACTACTAGTAAGCCAGAAATAATATACCCAGTTCTTGTGACGAACTTAAAAGGGAAAGACTAAACATAGAACTGAGAGTTGGAAATCACACCTATGCAGTTAAATTATTAAGAGGTGATTCTAACCATTATCTTTTATCACTATATATTCCTCGCTTTTTCGATTTCGTCTTCACTAAGACATGGTAAGAATTTCATTAGTTCCTTGACACCTTCCTCCACTGATATCGTGGCGTGGTAACCCAGAGATCTGACCTTCTTGTAGGACACTTCGTAATCTCTTTTGTCCTTGTCCTCTCCGTTATTAGATTGCGTTATGAGGCAGCCAGGTACACACTCTTGGATGATGCAGGCCACATCAGACTTGGACAAGTTCATGTTTTCGTCTCCAACGTTGAAAGCCTGCCCTGCCATTTTCTTATAGTTTTCCACCGCGAACACAAATGCTCTGGCAGCATCTTTCACGTGAAGGAAAGTGCGGCGAAACCCACCCTGATACAGGTCGAAGTGTTGGAGCCTTAGAGCCTTGTCAGTAAGATCGTTTACCAGAAGGTCGAGCCTGAGACGGGGGGACACACCGAACACAGTGGCCAAGCGAAGCGCAACCCCTCCGGCGTCCAACACCAGTTTCTCTCCTTCAGCTTTTGTTCGTCCGTACAAGGTTAAGGGGGAGATCAGTGTTTCTTCGTCACATACGCCATTCTGAACAGCTCCGTAGCATGACCCAGTGGAAGCATAGATCAAATGCTGATCGTCCCCTAGATTTTCTACGATGTTCCTTGTGCCCTCTACGTTCACCTACAATAACATGGTTACAATCGCTGTCAGGAGTATCATCGCAACTGGGGAAGTCTAATCTATAAAGGGGATAAGTTTAAAAAGAAACTGTGGTGTGCGTCGGTGAGAGAGTATAACGGGGTAATTTGGTATTAACAACTGACTTAATAACGTAAATTAGCCACCGTAAAGATTTTGAAAGCTGACGTTTCGAGTGTTAGCCCTTCGTCGGAGCGAATGGCTAACGAAGCTCTGGCGGAAGGGCTAACACTCGAAACGTGCGCTTTACGTTATCTACAGAGTTGATACTACCAAACTACTAAGTCTAATCCAGTCCAGAGAAGTCTTGCTTAAACTTGTCTAGGCAGTTTAATCTAGCCTAGCCTAATCTCGTTCAGACTAGTCTAATCTAATTCTTGCCTGTTAGTCAGGCCTAGTCCAGTCTAACCCGGTCTAATCTCATCAAAACTAGTCTAGTCTAGTCGCCCAAGCCTCGATTTGTTTAGCCTAGCCTAGTCTAGTCATGTCTGCTTTTAGTTTTGCACTTGATTAATGGGGGAAATGGCGCCAGTTTTCTTTTTTAAATCAACCTATAAACGAAGTGAGGAGAAGCCCAAGAAACTCCAAATTAAATTTGAATCTCATGGAAAATTCTCGTTCCAGATCACTTACCTGGATGGCCTCATCGTGAAATTTTTCACAGGCAGGGTATCCAACAATGGCGGCGAGATGGATTATAACGTCACAGTCCTCCATGTGTTTCGCCAAGAGGTTCTTGTCCAGAATGTCTCCCCTGACAATCTCCAAATGTGGGTTCGCTGCATGAGGCAAAAGGGGGAGAGCCCCCCACATGAACTTGTCGAAGACAACCACGTGATGACCACGTTGGAGCAGCATGGGCACCATTGTTGACCCCAAGTAGCCTGCACCACCTGTTACCAACACTCGCCGCTTACGCAATTTGCAACATCCATTAGTTTCCATATTCTTACCGTATACTGGCAACGAAATCTGAAAACAAGGGAAAAAAATTGTCCAAGCGTAAGTCAAACAACACATGGACATATTTGAAGGTGCTAATATCTATTTACGGGCAAAAAAATAGCTTTTGAGGCAGTAGACAGCACTCTAAAGCATCAGCACTCAATTTCATCTTTTACAACTGTAATGAAATGTGAGGCAAACAGGAAGTGAGAATTGTACAAAACATCAGCTTGGGAATACTGTTTTGAAATAACAACAAATTCTCAGGATTAGCTTAGTTACACTACCAACTTACGCCGCCGACTGATACAAGAAGTTCTGAAGAGCTTTTGAAGCTTACCAATTGGTCGATTAATCCCTTATCCGGACACACTTCCTCCTGCTAATCGCCTTCAGCGTCAATAATAACGTGCTGACCACTGAAAATCTTGTTGCGCGCTGATTTTTTAACGCTCCCGACTGGAGAAATTTTGTGCGCAGTTTCTATTAAATTGTACTGTCGGGAATTTGTGTTCGTGCATGACAATTGACTCGGGTGTGAAGCACACCAACCGTTTGTACGGCCAAACGCCTTCAATTCAATAAAAATCAATTGCAATGAGTATGAAACGAACGTTCTTAGTGCCTGATAAGACAAAAAACGCCCTAGTTCAAACGCAACAGTTAATTTTTTCAAAAGAGCCTTACTTCACTGTTACCACATTTCGAAGATTAAAAGAAATAAAAGATAACTTGCTCCAAAAGGATCGTGTAGCTTGGTAACATACAAAAACACAAACGATGTCGGTGATGTTTGTATCGCAAATTGACACCTCTTTTAATTCAAAGAAGCGACTGTAAAAGACACCAATTTCTGAATGGTCGTTAAATAATGTGATTGAAACGAGATGCAAGATGCTCAGTCAACTGAATTTAAAAAGCGTCAGTATGGCTATTTTCCTGTCTTATTTTAACTTACTTTCCTTGTTTCTGCACGGTATTTCCTGAAAACTGCATTTCTCTTTTCTACTCAGAATCGTAAACTGTTTTTTATGTGTATTATTTAAAATGAATCTTATATGGTTGAACTCAGGTGACAAAATCTAATGCAGAAATTATCTACGCTCTGGCATACGCACATTTTAATTTGGTTAAAGAAGTCTGAAAGAAGAAACAGTCCTTATATGACTGCCTGAAACAATTCCTGACTATACAATTGTGGAAAACTAAACAAACTTTCTTCAAAAATAGCCCAGAATTGTTTTCGAACAGTTTGAATTTTCGTCACAAGCTTACAGAGTAAAAACACACAAAATTCTTTGTGCATCAAAGTGATAGCACAATCAACACCTTAGGACGATGTCATTACTTTTATGAACAATGGCTGACTACTACCAAAACTGTCACCAGCTGGAGAAGAAACTCTTAGCTGCGTTCAAGGAAATTCTAAGATAGCCGTTAAAACTTTCGTGAGTCTGCAACATAACCACCATGACTAAAGCAACAGCAATAAAATTGGGACCAAGTCCATTTAAATTGAACAAGCCAAAGTAAAACGATCTATACAATAAAAAAATTGTTTCTGAAATAAGGGCAAGAGAACATCCAACTGATTTCCTCGTGGGAGAAGTACGTGTACGAAACTGAAATGTACTCCTTAGCAACGGCATGTTTTAGGAAATTTTTCAAATCAGACTCGTGTTCCAGAATTATCCAAATTTTCTACACCCTCAGGAGAGGTCTTTATACAACAGTCTGCGACTGTTGATGACCATAGACGTACTGAGAACCATATTGATAAAATTGTGCCAGCATAATTTTGAGCATTAAACTGAAATGTAGCTCTCAGCACGGACATGATTTTGGCCATTTTTCGCATCAGACTCGTTTTGCGGGCTCATCCTTTTTAAAACCACTACTTACAGCATACAAAATTCCCACTGTCAGGACAGGTCTTAACAACTGTCTAAGACTGTAGGCGTACTGAGAACCCTCTTCCTATGCAATTCACTCATCACTCTTCACGTTTCCATAACCATTCCTTCTAGAAACTCTCAAAAGCGACCCGACAACGAGACTAAAAAGGTTTTGCACTCTGTCGTGTTTTTTCACGAGACGCTCGTTCACATATATGAAAAAAATCACCAGCCATTCGAATTGTAGAAAACGCAAGACTAAATAAAGCTACGCATGAGCATACCCTATACGGTTTTCATTTGTTTGTTTGTTTGTTTTTCTTAAATTCTGGCTTGATTTGTTAAATAAGAACTTTGGATACACAAGTAGAAAAGATTTCGTCGTGATCATACTTTCGAAGTTCGACTTTCTCGGCAAATTGTATTCCTTTCAAAGCAACCTTAAACTGAAGTGCTTTGCGCCTGGATTTACCATAAACTAAGCCGATCAAAACGTCGCGGGAAATTTTATTTAAACAGTCAGTTTTATCATTTTCCATCCATTAACATTTGTATTGCAACACCCTTCTCCTACACACTTCTTTCTCAAAATAAAAAAAAGAGAGAAAAAGCTTCATTTCATCTGAATATCTCGCTTCTTTTATCGATGGCAATTATTAAGGCAAACATTTAAAATAAAAAAAACAAATTTATCAATCATGAATAATCCTCCCTACGAAAAGGCTCGTCTCAGCGTTGTCATAAGCATTTGAATGTCATTATTAGTAAGGGTTGTCGCTCTCTAGATATCACGACATTTTATTGCTTTCACCTTTAAGACTCACTTTCTGTATCCACTGATAACCTTACAGTTTCCTTCAAACTTACCTTGAAAAATCCTCAGATATTTACCATTCAATACTCGACTTCAAAAATGGATGGAATTTCAAAGCGAAGATCTAGCGTCGTGGTAAAAAAAACTTAACCCAGATTCCGTTACTTCACTTACCCTAAACGAGAATTCGGCAAAATACAGCGAGTGTTCTCTGCCAAATTATTGACAGCTGACGTCTTCAGAAAACCCTACAAGTGGGCGTACTAATGACGTCGTTTTCCTAACGCATGTGTTGTTTTGGGCTCAGTTACCAACCCTTGTGCGGGAGTAATTCTGCTGTACAGAAGAACGCATCGTTATTGCGCAAAATTTCACGCGCTCATATATAATCAAAATGACAGCCTACATGACAAACATTGTATTTTTTCTTTTTTGGCGTTTCTCAAGCCCGCGGATACAGGAACTCGCCTCGCGCTCGCCTTCACAAACGCTTGAAGACGGGAAAAAAAATTACACCTGTTCTACTACACATCGAGCACTCCCTAGTTTTCGCCGAAGTCCGCCGCAACAGTTAAAAAAAAAACTGTGGAAAAAATGTTATTAGCGCAGTGAGATTCTTCAGTCGCCTTTCCTCGTCGAATTTCTTAAATTTATTGCGCTTACAACCAGGTCTTTTTTTTTTTACTTTCGTCTTCGTTCTTTTCTACTTTTTATCTATCCCCATTCACAGTCTAGTTTTATACGCAGACAGACAGCAAAAATCGCAGCGTGAAACTGAGGTCAGAAGATGTTTACGCTATTCCGAAATTCTAGAACCACGATGGCATGCTAATAAACATCTACTCATCGAAGTGGACGTGTTTAATGGTGGATATATTGCGAGCCGCGAGACAGGGAGGTAAATATCCGCCGCTAGTCACCGACCTTAAGGTGAATGGTTGTTTGAGTATTTAATTATAACCCTCGCATTAATTGGAAATAAATCCAGAAGTAAGCCAGCTCAAGAGTTTCACTTTTTCTTCTTTATGATTTTACTCAGGAGAAAAACCAACCAGTTTTGTGAGGTCCAGTGAGAGCGAAATGAAAAAGCTGATCTCAAATGCTGCTCTAGAAAGTAAAAAAAAACTCATTTAAATTTGCTGTTTGCGCAATACAAAAAATTACTGGGAGGGTTATGAAAGAAAAAACCCCCTTCTGGCTTTCCGTTTTTCATGTTCTTGGCTGAGAAATTGTCCTCAAAATTTCGCACTCACCCTGTAAGCTTCGCTTCTCGGGCCAAATATTCATTTTTCGGACAATCACTCAGATGCGGACATTATCAGCCGACATACTAGCCGCCTGAAGGGGTTTATACATTAAACAGCGGAATTACATAGAACAAGATGATATGGATATGAGTTGGCTATTCCAGTCTCGATTCTTCGGAGTTAAAAATTTTCATCAAAGGATATTCTAAGTTTGAGTAGCCAATCAGAGCGCGCTTTCGACGCTATCCAGCGCGTCAGTATACTTAAATTGGCTATTCACACTTTAGCAGACTGTAGAATTCAGTTCGAAAATACGTTGGCAAATAACCCGCGCTCGTTTCAATATTTTGCAAACCATTTTCTTGAAAATGTAGTTAAAATAGTAATGCTTACTTTGACATGGAAAAAAAAGTATGAAATATTGGCCCTGGAAGATCTATTATAAAATTTTAAATTCAGTTTAATCATGAAACTCAGTGCTCAATAAACTAGCTGGCTGACTGACTGAAAACCTGAGCAATTTTCTACTCTTCTATCATGTTAATAGCCGGAAAGATTTGATAGACAATGAGGAGGCGCTCTGTCCGCAGGCAAAGTTAAAATGGGGTTTTCTTTGTGGTGCCACTACTATGGTTTCAAGTGTACGTGAGGTAGAAGACACATTTTATGACTGAAAAACTTACTTCAGCGACCAAAAATTCAAACCTCAAATATTTTAATTTTTCAATGTTATTCATTCTTTTCGACTTACTGCTGAGGATTCACGCTGGGTTGGAACTTAATTAAAATCAAGTGACACTGTAACCCACCCCGAGAGGTTTTCCGGAGAAGCAAGTAAAGCTTTTCTCGAACTTTCTTTATTCTCTCTTACGAGTAAAATAAACGTCCATTAACGTATGACTGACTAAAACCCAGTAGAAACCTATTAAAGCCTCTAATTGCCAGTCAAATAAACTAAATTTCTTAAATAAAATAAATTATGTATGAAAAGCTCGCGTCGAGGTTAAGCCTATACAGTCTCAAAGTTCAAACATAAGACTTCTGCACTCTGAATGGTGTTTCTTCTTTCTAATTGCACCACATGTTTCTTACTGAAATGTCATTGCGTTATCTTGCAAATGGGTCTTTAAAGCAGAGGAGCGTATCGGCCGGAGATGTTACTTTGATAAAAGCCTTATTATCCTAGTTTTCTTACCTGGAAAGTTAAAGGCTTCTATCAAAATAACATCTCCGGTCGATACACTCCCCTGCTCTTAGGAATCGTTTGCAAGATGAAGTAAAGATATTTTAACAAGAAACATGCAAATCCCCTCCGGAGTTTGGAGTTAAGAAAGTTCCTTTCAAATACTTTCTAGGCACAACTTACAAAAATACAAACTTATCAGACATCGGGGGCTACTTTATCCTTCGATCACTTATTAGATGGAGTTTTCAGTCAGTCCTCTTTATTTATTTATTTTTTTTATTAGTTCTTTAAATACACGTAGATAGAACCGTTAAACCAGACCTAATAACTCTCATGAAAGGAAAGCTGAACTTACCATTTTGGATATTGTGGCAGCTGGACCAAATTCAGGGTGTTGTCTTTCCTTTGGAAGCCTTGATATCAGCACGGCTGGCAGACAGAGATGAATAAATACGTATTAGTATTTCGTTGATAAATGGTTACAAAGTACACATGAAATCGCACCAATACGCGAGCTCTTATTGGTCGACAATTACGACACATCTCGTTCAAGTAATTGTCCACAAGGTAGTTAAAACACAAACAGGTTACTACAAAGTACCCTGGCGATTTATGTTGCATAACCTGAGAAAAAAAGGTATTTTGTGGTCTTTCGTCTCCGATAATAAAACAGTTATAAGCAAAAATAAACTGCATTGCTGTCAAGCTTCCTGTTGTTCCTCTCTCACTAACAAAATCAAACTCACTCCCTTACAGTTATTTGCCTCAAAATTTCATACCACATAATTTTGGTGAGAAAAGCAAAACCGAAACTATGTTGAATCAGTAATAGACAAAATCAAAGATTGTTTAAGGTCTCTTTTCTCCGCATAAGAGAAAAGGAACTTATTTCAAAGGTTTTTAATTGAGCATAACAATATACGCTTTTGATTGGTTGATGCCTATCTGCACTTAGCCCCCTGTGTATGAAATAAGTGAAGATCTTCAACTTGTTTACGAAGAAGTAAAGCGTGATGGCACAAAGTCCGTGGCAAATTTGATTGGTAGTAAACATCAAAGCACGTGAGGATTGCATGGAAAATTGACTTAAAATGGCATTTTGGTCCATGCCAACGTTTTTAGGTGTTACCATAGGGTTACCACAATGAATCGCTTTAGCACACTCCTTCCAATGAGCGCCTTGCTCTACTAAGCGCCCCCTTCGAACTTGTTTCTGTTAATGAGCGCCCCTATGCTAAAAAAACTGTTAAAAGACAAATTGGCGTCAAGCAAGAATTTTCTGTCTGTGTTTTATCGATGGGCTCTCTATAATTTTTTATATTACCAATCTTGTTTTTGTTTCGCACGATCTTAACCGCAATAGTTTGAAATTTTCGGTAGAATGGCGTTTACGGAAAGAGTCGACATCCCGAAGGAACATACTTAACATGCGGGTCTTAGCATGCGTACCTTAACATGATTCGCCAGTTAGGTGAGAAATGATGACGATGGTCGAAGATTGAAAGCCTGATAACTGTCACCTTTGTAAGTTGGTAACCAACACTTTCCTTGAGAGAGCCCCGAGCTAATAAGTTGCGTAAAGCTTTAAGTAAGGTAATAAAGAAAGCGTCAACTGCACAAGAATGTTAGAAGTACTTTAAACAAAGCGTTCCTTTTAAGTAGGCACGCTCAATCTAGTAAGCGCCCCCATACCAATAAACGCCCCTATTCTGTTTCAACAATAGCGCTGACGAGTACATGTACATTGAGATCAACCGTGGTCCATCATTCTTTAATTGTTCACTTAAAGCCTTGCGACAAAAACGTGTCTTCGTCTCAATCCGTCGACTATTATGTCGTCATGGGTGCACAGTTCCTTCAAACGAAAGATCCAGTCTTGAAATTTTGCGGCAATTGCTTGGCTAGTCGATCTAGCAAGGAAGGATCCTAGGACAATCATTGCGTTTTCCGTTCATTTTCATCCTCCGTTAATAAACATCAAAGCTTTGTTTCACGTTCTGCTGTTTCTCGAAAAAGAAGTAACCGCCTCCAATAAACGCCCTCCGTTGAGGTACCAAATGAATATAAGCACCTGAGCGCTAAATCGAATAATTACGGTCATAAAGTTTAGGCTGTTTACTTGACAATGTCCTGGGGCCGGCAAAGCCTTCTTACTGATTATTTCAAGATAACCTTGACCACATTAGCAACCACAAAGCAAAAGAAGCCATTTGCTATGTGTGACGAACACGCAAGACTGCCAATGTGGTAGTGCTGTCGCTTAGACACAAAATATGCACGGCATTTGATACAAAATAAAAACAGCTGCCTACAAACGTCTAAATGGTGCGAGCAACAAGCTCTTTTGGGGTGCGGTAATCTGATTGGTGCAAGAAACTTACTTTAACAAAGCTGAGAGTAATACACGACTTTCATAATGGCCGCGGCGCGCGAGACTGGTAATTACTTAAACATGAAACCGAGGTCAAAAAGGCCACGCTTGAGGAAAACACTGTAAACAAAAGGCCAATTAAGGTTGAATAGGTTGTCTGTCTTGACTCGATTCGGTCGAATTATTTTCAAGAGGAGGAAATGCCGACTCATTCTTGTGTTCCAGAATGTTCGAAGAAATGCTACCGGAAAGACGATGGGACAAAAGTGTCTTATTTTTAATTTCCGACCGAGAACCCGTTAAGAAATGCCTCCACGCGATAAGAAGAGACGAAGGAAAGCACTTCAAGGTAAGTGAAAATACAAAGATATGCTCCCAGCATTTCAGGAAAGGTGATATTAGAAATGTCTCGCGGGCAAAAATCGCCACGCAAGGGAAAGGAGCCAGCGTAAAGAAACTTCGAACTGACAGCTTCGAAAAGTGCATCACGAAAATTATCTACCCCAGCTGTTGTTTTTGAAGAATTATCAAACGAATCGTCAAACAAATTATCAAACGAAATGGTCCCAGATCTATCAGATTGTAGCTTAAAAGTCGAAGACGAAACACAACTGATTTTACCGACCAGGAGGCCTACTTGAGAGAAATTATTGACAACAATAACAAGAAGATTCATTCACTCGAACAGGAAATCGAGGAACTTAAGCGCCAACTGCAAGATATGCAGCGGCAACGTGATGCTCTTAATAAAAGATTGTTTAACTTTGAAAACTGTAAGTCAAAAGATTCCAACGCTGCTTTTTATACTGGCTTTCAAAGCTGGGACACTTTAATGGCTGTTTTTGAGTATCTTGATCATTTCCTACTGGCGGTCAAAAACTGACAACAACACTGAGTCTGATTTCAGTGAGGGCAGACTACTAACAAAAAAGGGGAGAGCTACATCTTCAAGGCCCCTTGATGAATTTTTTATAGTCATGTGTAGACTAAGGCAAGGATTCACAAAGGACCATCTAGCTCAATTACTTAATGTATCAGCATCCACAGTAAGTAGAATATTTATCACATGGGTCAATTTTATGTTCTTTAAGTTTGGACAAATAAACATTTAACCCAGCAGAAAAGTAATCGATCTAATGCCTGGATCTTTTAGGGGAAGGTACAAATCTACTAGAGTCATAATTGACTGTACTGAGGTTAGATGTCAAATGCCAAGCAGCTTGCAGTTGAATTGAGAACTTTTCAGTGCTTACAAAAATCACACAACTTTGAAAGGTTAAGTTGGTATTTCTCCCGGTGGAGGTTCTATCTCCGATCGGGAAATTGTCAGAAGGAGTGGATTTGTAAATCTACCATTATAGCAGATAAGGGATTCACAGTTTAGGATTTGTTGCCTTTGGGGGTCAGTTTAAATTTGCCACCCTTTCTTGGAGCATCTTCTCAGATGGCTGCAGAAGATGTGGTAAAAACACAGGAAATTGCAAGTTTACGGATACATGTTGAACCTGCCTTTAACAAGATTAAGAATTTTCAAATCTGGGACAGAGTTGTTCCACAACATCAAATGGGAATTGTAAACCAGATGTGGGCAGTGTGTGCATTCTGTTGTAATGCACAACCCAACATAATATCAATGTGAATATCACATTCATGTGAGGCATGAATGAATTACTTAACCCATGAATTACCTACAAATCTCTTCTCTCCTTAGATTGAAAGGGGCAACAAATTGGGCATTAAGATAAAGACAACATTTTCCCCTCTGTTCTGACTATTTATCGCAAGGTTTACATTATAATTGCGCGACATCTTTTGTGTCTGTAAAGACCATGTTGTCTATGTTGTGTTTAAACTATCTTTAGTGCAAAATGTTTAAACCAGTTTGGTTTTAATTTTCCTTTGTATTCTTTAGCAAACTTTGAAACAAAGGAGATTAAAAATCAAACTGGTAGGAAAACTTTCAACCGACAACAAATTAAAACTACAACAACAGCAAGAATTTATTCATGTCAGGTAGTTATTCCCAGTCAACAAGTAAATTCACGACAATTAAGAATATTTGGATGTAGATGCATGTTATTACCAATTCTGTTATAAAAAACAGAGATGTTATAACAAAGTAGCTTTTGCAGGAATACTGTAGATTACAGGGTCAACCAGATGTAACTGTTCACAAGAATTCACAGTCACTGTTGTTATTTTCCAGACAATTTCAATTGAAAAGCTTTGCATAAGCAAACTTAATAAAATGTTCAAAGTAATAAGAAAGCAGTTTCTGCCTTGTTCGGCCCAGAAACCAGGGTCGTATGTAGTCATGCACTCGCTTCACCAGCTCTGCTTTTGTCTTCAACCTTATTCCCGCGTCTCCACGACATTTAAGCCAAAATTTAAGCTCTGAGATTTTTCACGCCTTAGGTTTTCTTCCAAGAAGAGAAGCGCCAGGTATATCGTTTTCTGTAAGAAATGTTGGATTTGAAATATTCGAAGTACTCGCCATTGCAAACGAAGAGGGACACGATGCGATATCTTGGCCTTTCTGATCTCGTTTTCATGCAACTCGATCCAGGAGTCTCGCGCTGTCCGCCATTATGAAAGTCGTGTATGTAACTCTCTGGAGTGAGATCGATGGGAAGCTACATACCCTACGCAAACTGATTGGTGGAGCAACATACCCTGACGAATCTGATTAGACGCAGTATGGCCGAGTGGATAGGGTGCTGGTTCAGTAACCTGGGTTCCAGGTTCAAGCCCTTCACCTTACTACTCACTGGATTTGTTCTTGGTTGCCCCGAGTTCATCTCCTTAGCTGCGCTTCGTATATAGCCACCTGATCTGCCTCGTGACATTTAGGATTCTTAGGACCTGATTAAATGAGCCGGGTTGGCCTGGTTTACTGGGCTAGCTCGGTTTACCAAGTTGTCTTTCAAACCGGTATTACACGAGGCGAGCCAGCCCGGAGCTACCTTTGTGCGAACCGGGACGAGCCCGTATTTGGCGTGAAGTGACCACTCGCCCGAACATATTCACATCGACAGAAGATTAATTTATCGCCATCGCATCTCTCGCTGCTTCATATTGTTTGCTTTTGTTAGCATTGAAGTCCACGTTTCTATACACCATATTCATTTTAAATTCACCCAGCGCGCGAAGAAGGTCGTCGACCATCCAACATAAACTTGTACTTGTGGCCGCCGTGTTTGTATAGGTAATCACATGACTTCGAGGGCAATTTGGAATACATAAGCACGCGCAAATTTTTTCAAAGACTAACAAAATTGCACGAGCCCGTAAGGCGAGTGCAATTTGTGGTCTTTGAAAAAGTTTACAAGTGCTTATTTATTTCAAATTGCACTCGAAATCATGTGATTACGTAATAATGATACACGTGGAAAAATACGAGAGAGCTTGTGAAAATGTACTTAGTTGCCAAGCCTTTGTTTTGGAGTGAGGCTGAAGGTGACCTTGTTGTGTTAGAGACCAGTATCTTGTTAGCATGATAACAAAGTAATTTGCATTTGAAAAGCAGCAAGGTTTGTAATAACAAGGAGAGCTTCACTCCTGAGCTTGGCAACCAAGCACACAACTGTAAAAAATTATGCAGAAGCAAAGCGCGCATCATGTGCAAAAATGATTTATCCAAACCCTGCAAGTGACATTGTGCGTTTGGCCAAAATAACCACGTACGATCAAAACAATAATATACAATGATATTTTCACATCGTTAAGGCGCAGAAGAGTTTAAAGTCCAGCTAAACAGTTCAAGGAGTAATTTTTTGATGTATCTTATTAACATGGGAATGGATCCAATGCGCGTGCGCAGTGTGTCATTCATTGCACTCTTGCGGCTTTAGAACCAGGCTGGCCCAGCGAACGCGTTTACAGGGAAACATTTCTGCGTGGTTACCCGGTATCCCAGTATTACATCGTATCATGTAAAAACGAACTTGATTTTTGTTGCGTTGACCAAACGTGCCAAGATTTTCGCGAAACCGAGCCAGCCCAGCTCATGTAATTAGACCCTTAAAATGTCTCATTACCATGTTTATTTCCAATTGTTTCTACTGGCCCTGAAAACCCCCTAGGGGGTAATGGTCAATTGCGTACATTACATAAAAAAACCCGGAGCAATCTGATTGGTGCAAAAAACACTGATTTCAACCACAGATATGTGTAAATTTTCTTTTTTCAAAACATAACTCAAAGCCCTTTCGGTTACCACTTGCCTAGCGTTCTGCCCCGTTCGCCCTGAAAACGCAAAAAAATAAAATACGTCCGTTGTGCAGGCTATGACACTTTCGTGACAATTCCATCAAAATTTGCATAATCAAGGAACATTGAATATTCATTGTGTCGGCTTTACTAGGACGCAGTGTATTTTTTCGTTCACGTTTTATTTGCGACTTATATTTTCTTCGTCTGTTTCAGCCTCCTTTCAAATCTCTATTGCGATTATATCTTCCTTTACAAAATGTTTGCTCTTATTTTCCTAAGGACAACATTAAATCACAAATTCATCTTTAGTACCGTTGCCTATGTTCTCCGAAATATGATCGCCTCTAAATTTCATTTATTTCCACCTGCGAAGATTCAGAGATTCAATAAATGTTATCAAAAGCAAAACATACAAATTATTTAAGGCTAAATCTGTTTGCTCCTAATGAGAACGCCCATTGAATGCCAATGTCGAAATGGAATTTGGCAAATCCATGAACTTGGGTAGGGGAAAAATAAAACTTTGAGGGAGTTTATCAAACAGAGCATTAAATCACACAAATCTCTGTAAAAGAAAGAAAATACTTGATTTGGTGCACGTACAAATACTTTCATTTAAAAGCACCGGCCACGTCATCCAATGACGCACAAAGTTTAGCCCATCGATATTTGCTTGATAGATGCTTAACGATATCATAAAATTCCTCAAATATACTAACATACTCTAAAATCCCACAGACTGTTTAAAACTAAACCCTTTGAGAATATTTAGTTAATAGAAAGTAAGGGTACTTTTTTTAAGTGAATCAGACCAACGAATGGTAACATAGCAGCGTATCTCACTCCACACGAAATAACTCATGCACGACTGTTTCCCCTTGTGTAAATCATCACACTAAAATATCACAGACTGTGTAAACGAGTAACTCTGATGAATATCCCATTTTAGAAATACCATTTTTGTCAATGTACAGCTGTGAAACAATACAGCATATCTATTGGCATTACGTAACTCGCCGGCGCGAAATCATTCGAAGAAGTATGAGTGAAGAACAAATATCTAAAACAGACTCAGTGCGCGGTTAGCCAGTTTAGTTAGACAGGAAGTTATGCACTGGTAATAACGAAAAGGAAATAACGGAGGGCATTTTAGCTGACTCACGCTCATTAGTGCGCTATTCCAACAGCCAGCACACAATGAACACGTTACGATTACCTAACTGAACAAACAATAACTAAGAGAAAATTCCTGTGGCTGATCGATAAGGAAAATAGGTGAATGAAAAAAAAAACTGAGCACAATAAAGAAAACGAAAAGTAGTCAATAAATTTTGAAACCGATAGGCATCGATTTATGCCGGCGAACCGGAACGAGTTCGTGATGCTACAAGCATTGTATGTTCATACTTCATCCAAGTTCGAAGATTACCAACCCTACGCTTTAAAATTCTGACACAATGTGTACGCGGTTCCTCTCGTATTTCTCTCTGAGTAGTGGGGCCAGTTACCACCAGAACATCCAAGGGAATTCTAAGTTTATCGCCATAATAGCATTGACAGGAGGAAGCCGCAACCTTTAACCATGGTCGCCATATTAATTGACAATAGCTGTTCTCAAACTTACATCATCAAAACAAAGTTTTGGCCTTCTTGAAAATAGATCACTTTCTCTGTGCAGCACCTCCTAAGCCTCAAAAAAGTTAATTCCAAAAATAGTACACACCGTTTAACCAAGAAATAATCACCTGTCGAACGCACGTGTGATAAGTTCGCAACGAGCCGTTTACGAGAGGGAATAACATATTGCACACCGATACAATCAGTCACTCAACGCACGACTTACTTATACCATATTTACAATTTTTGTGAAAAAAAAAATTAAAAGTAAAACTTCATGAGTCAAGAATTCTCTCACTCTTACCTTAGCACAGTTCTTTTGTTCCTTGAATGTTCTAGCCGTCGAGCAAGCCCACCATCAGTTTTGTTGACAGAAAACTTTCATCGAGGAACGACTGGGAACCATTTTTGCCTTAGTAGCCGCGCCTCTAAGTTATCAGGCCCCTCCGAGGTTTAAAATAAAATTCAGTGAAAATCATCTTTTTCAACAATTTGATGATCAGGAGTGATCTATTATATAATAACCTTGAAGCCATCGATTTTTAACCTGATGTTCACACTATACTAGAAAATTTTCCACTAAACAAAAAGCTTTTAAAAACGGATGAAGAAAGAAATAAAAAGTTGTTGTTGAGGACTAGTCCTCACGTGTTTCGATTGTGTAACAAATCAAATTGGTTGATTGACAAGAGGAAATTATTTATGTAATTATATGCAATGCAAGAAAGGGATAATCTTTTGTGAGAGAGTAATGCTGCCTGTTATCGGAGAATGCCCCCGTTACCGTGATATCTTTACTGATTAGAAATAAACCTTTAAAGATTCTAGCTATTGTGATATTGCGCGGATACTATCTCCAGCGGCCGGAGAATCCAGCAAAAAGTGAGATTAAACGACGCAAAAATAAAAAAAAATTAAAAAAAAATAAACAGCTGGCATGATAGTAAGAAAAAAGAAATGGCCTGAAAAGGAAAGCGTATTTTTACTCCAGTTCTCCCCCACTCTTCCTCACTTTTAAGGATCAAGTATTGAAATCTTAAAAAAAAAACAACCCGTCTTAGACGTACATAGAACGCGATCGACACAGAGAGGCAATCCGATCCGCAGATATTTGGTCATATTTAAGGTCATATCCATCTGCATTTAGGATAGTGCCGGCCTTGCGTTTTGCGCTGCTTTTTCCATTGGATATGCGACTTCTAGTTAAGGAGCACAACCAATAGTTCGAACTATACAGTGGTTAAGTTAACAGGGTATCTAATATTATCAACTGAATTAATAACATAAATTGACCATCGTAAAGAATTTCAAAGCCGACGTTTCGAGCGTTAGCCCTTCGTCAGAGCGAATTGACGAAGGGCTAACGCTCGATACTTCAGCTTTAAAGCACTTAAGGGTGGCCAATTTACGTTATCAACATAGTGGATAATATTAAATCACCCTGCTATATTCTCACACCGACGCAGAAACTTACCCCCTTTATTCATATCTGCTTAGTTTGTTCAGTCCTTATCGTCCTTGTGGCCAATTTGTGTACAGTCGAACTTAAATCGAGCAGTCACCCACGGGGAATTGCGGGATGACCGCTTGCAATAGGTTGCATAGAATAGGGGTAATTTAAATAGCGTTAAAAATAGCCTTGTTATGTCTTAATTGACCACTTAATGTAAAAAAAAAAAAAACTCGCTTAGAAATAGAACTAACTAACGGAAGATCAAAATAGATAGATGGATGATAGATGATAGATGAATGGTGCCAATTTCCTCACTTGCAGCCAAGGGCTGAATTGCGGAGGAACCAGAGAGGTGAGATCGGACGTCAGCATATTAAAGGCGCCTCTGGCAGCCGCTTCAGTCCATTGTGATCACACCTCACCCACCCAGACCTACGACGGCACAAATCGAGATAGACCACAACACCGGGCACTACGTGCCCTACTCTTTGCGAACAGTGCGTGCGTTCTTGTTTTTACTAGAAAGATTATTCTTAGTTTTATTAAGTGATTCCGCCCTAACTGAACCGTTCGACATAGGTGGAAGGGATAAAAGAGGCTGGTGGGACTCACTAAAATAATTAAGGGGTGACAATTTCGGGACCTTGAAAACCGACCGCAGGAGTGACCCCTTGATGCGGAGCCCCTTAATACAGGTTCGACTGTAATTTCTAATTTTGGTTGTGATATCATTTCCCAGTTTTGCAGTTCCTTCTTATACCATAACCATGTTCGTTTCCCTAGTATCCACCAAAGGCAAAGGGAATATTGTTGAATAATCTCTTCGAATTCGCCTCGGGAATTATTCCAAAGAATTGTCATTTGGCCCTCGGTGAATTTTTGTTAATTAGTCATCATTCAAGCAGGAGTCATTACTTCTGTTCTAAGCCATTAACATTTCTTTTCAACGTATCAAGATATTCAGAAAAAGGTGCGAGAAATTTTCATCATTAGGGGCGTTATCCATAACGATAGCCAGTGGATATCTTTTCTTTTTTTCTTCGCACTGGACAATAGACATAATATGGTTTGTCTATTTTCTGCACCTACACTCGGCTTTCCTAAACATTTCTGTGCCACAAGCAAAATATTTTCTTTAAAAGCTCTTGCCATTCTGGACAGAATCTAAGATTAACATCGATGACGTTTTAAATCACGGTAACCAAAACAAAGCGTCTTTCGGTGGGGTCAAAGATTCATCACTATTTAACACATAATCACTATTTTTGAATTGTGGTTATGTCACAGTATCGGTTTGCGCAGCCTGTCACGTTTGTGAACAAAAAATTTCAGACTATGTGCACGTTTTTCAGGTATTACGTAACTCAGTTCGCACGTGCAATTCCCGTCCCGGTCCTCAGGAGTGTGTTTGCGGTACCGATAGTTCCAAAAAATGATTTTATTAGGTTTTTTTTTTACCTCAGATTCAATGGAAATTATAATTTTTACTTTAAAACGGCTGATCTTTCATCTAGGAATATTTTCGAAATCTTGACGTGACCAAATGAAGGTGTAGCGTGTTGGAAATGTGCTGCTGCTGACTCACTGATCCGTGACACGTGAATCATCACAAAAGAGTTGCGTAACATCACTGTGTATATAACCAACCTCGCGTACGAATGATCATCAACTCAATATCGATAGATCATCTTGAAGCCTTCTCGTAAAAATCTGAAGACCATGGTAGGACGAAGCAAAACGCTGCAAATAACGGCAACCACAATCAACGTGATAATATTTATCTTCCTGTTAGTAATCAACTTCTCTGCTAGCAGACCGAACGAAGGTCCTTTCAAACATCTGTTTGGAAACTATTCGACCGGTGATGTATCTGACAAGTTCTACATCGAAATCACTCCAGCAGGTTGGGCATTTTCCATTTGGGGCTTAATCTACACTTGGCAAGCATCATGGATAATCTACAGTTTGACTCTGCTGTGCAGAAGTGACAATTTCGAAGTCATATCTCCCGTCTTGCTTTTCATCTTCACACTGACGAGTGTCGTGAACGTAACCTGGTCAGTATTATGGAGTCGTTTGATGATTCAGTCATGTTCGATTCTGCTCTTTGCTATTTCGTTCCTACTCTATGGAGCGTTAACTAAATCGTTCATGACTGTAAACGTTACAACAAAGACCGTTTCCAAACGCGATTTCATTCTCACACAAGTCCTTGTCAACAATGGTTTGGGAATGTACGCAACATGGACTACCATCGCCTCGCTCCTAAATATGACAATGGCGATTTCTTACTTCCACGGAGTAGCCCAGGATGTTGGCTGTACGATTGCCCTCTCCATCCTTGCTGTGGAATTAATCGTCTGGTTTGCGCTGGAGAACACGATTTTGGACAAGTACACCCGTTACACCTTGACTGTCTATCCCGTTGTTATTTGGGCCCTCTCCGCCAGCATTAGCAAGAACTGGGATGCTGCCAAACGAAACTCCGTCATTTCGGTGGTCCTACTCGCTGTTGCTTGCACTCTGCTTGTTGTTCGTATCGTCATTGTGGTGTGGAGAGCAACGAAGACTACAAATCGTCGATTGGAGAATGGTTCTATTATATTACGTAACAGTTGAATACCAAGGACGAGAGTGCATGGCGAATATACGCCGCATCTATCCTCTTTCCTTTTTCATGTGACATTTTTGGACATTTATTCGAAAAATTGCACTTCTAAACACGAGTTTCTCATCTTTGATAATTTAATTGTGTGATTAAGGAATTAGGTCATTTTGGAATTGGACAGAAAAAAAAAATGGAATTTGGCAATGAAGTGCAGATTCGAAGAAGCCCTCATTTCAGTAAGTTGTTTTAGTAGTTAAAATTTTTCAGCCTACAGTAGAATTTTCAGTTTGTTTTCTATTAAATTTTCTTCAAGAGATTGGATTTACTTTCAAGACAAAAAAGTTATTATGTAACCCAAATCCACCTTTTTGGAAATGACTCGTCAACAAGTGAGTTGAGCATAAATACTTATGTAATATATTTTTGATAACTTACTTGTTGGAAAATATGGCGGTTACTGTATGAAAAAGATAACTGAGAGAATATTTTTGCTAGCATATATTTGAAAGTTATAACTTACAAGAGTATTTTGTTATTGTATCTATTTGAGGATATCATCAGCATGTTCAGAAAAATACAACCAGAGACACTGACGCTCTTTGCAAATTTAAGTATTTTTAAAGCTTGCTTGACACATCATCTACATGAATGCAACTTAAGATTAGTTGATGTTACAGTTAAACAATTTTTCATGTTACTATTTCATTAAAGTTAACACTTTTCTGTAGGAGGTAGTCTGTGATTTAAGGCTTGACCATGCTTATCCCAGATCTTCTTCTCTCCTGTGCAGTGTGAGAGCTGGTAATGCACTGGGAGGAGTGGTTTAACCCTTTTAACTCCTACAAGTGACAAAGACAGAATGCCACTACAAAAAGAAAACTATCAATTTGGGGATAACTAGTTGATCCAATACTAAATTCTCTGAACTAGCATTATAAAAATTGCATGGTTGACAGTAAAGAGAATTATAAATTTGGTCTAGGAGTTAAAGGATTAACTCAAATAGGCTCTATGTCAGTGTGCACTACCTAGGTCATCAAAGATTGCAACCTCATCTCAGATAGTCCCCAGACTAGGGTTAATATGTGGTCTCTTTCTGTGACAAAGAACATACATTCCATATAGCACGGGGTGTGCTCTTTGTTGGAAGTTTTTCACTTACAGTCATGTAACATGCTTCTTGGGACACAATTATTCAGTGGATACCTTGGTCAAGGAACCCATAAAGAAGTCCTATCACTTAAACTTGACTATTCCTAGTAAAGGTTCAACACTTACAAGGAGACACTTCCCATCCTAGAGGAGTGTTCTTTGATGGAAGGCTTCACCACATGACATCCCATTTTATAACAAAAGCATTTGCAATAGTTTAGTGACAGATCATCAAATCCCTTCCTCCTTCTTACCTGCTCTTCAATAGTGAAAAGGTGAGAAGACATTTGTGCATACAGGATTTTAATTGCCAGTAACTTTACCCCTTACCTTTTCTCTTTCACCATTTACCTTACCATTGTCCCTTCCTTTGAAATGGTGCACAAAATTGTAACCTGTTTTCCTGTCGGCCTCAGGCTTGCATGGTGATTACAGACCTTGGAGACAACTTGTCTTTACTTCCGGAGGAAACATAGGATAGGTCTTTCCAGGAGAGTGGTTCTCAATGACACATATTAAAGGAAACGAGTCTCAAGAAAGGACTTTTTTGTGGAGTGGATGAGACGGTGACATCCACTGAATAGAGCTGTAAATGTGAGTGGTGTGGCAAGTACCAAGATATGATTTTTTTTTCTGCTTCTAGGCTGTATGCCTGGGTCTAGGAAATTGAAGCAAAATCCTCTTCCAAATGGAGAGACCGAAAAAATTGTAATAAAAGATGAGGTAGGCAACACGATAGTGTATTCCATACGGAAATGCTCCGGCAGCCCCCCCTGCCCTTACTCGTAGAAGACTGCAGCTGTGGCCAAGATGATTCTCTCATCTTGATACATAATGTAAGGAATAAGGACAAAAGTTAAATGGTCAATAAAAAAAGCGAAACTGCCTTGCTTTCCTTTTGAGTAGCCGGCTGGAATAGCTTTAAAATAATATCAGTTGTTTTTTCAGTCTCCAAAATGGCAGCTTTCATCATCCTCTATTTACTTCCTCTCAAGGATCTCTGCATAATCTCGTGACACTTAGCCTTTCAATTGAAAGTTTCAATCACTTTTTGTATAAGTAGCTTCTAATGATGTAATAGGCTACTGTGCCCGGAACACGCGAGCCTGCCTGTAAGCTAAGCAGACGGTGCTTAGAGGTTTTTTAACCCTTTACACTCTAACATCAGTATGCATATTCTCCATACTGTTCTCTATACATTTTCCAAGGAGCTAACAAGGAAAACTCGTTTACTAATCAAGAGCTTCATTAGTTGGTGATCATTTTTCTTTCTTCTTGTGACCCTAATGTGTGAATTGGGGGTGATATTGTAAGGAGAAATTAGATGCTTGTCACTCTTGGGGGGTTCAAAGGGTTAATGAAACCTCTGCTTTTTAGTAGAGCATCTGCCGGTGTATGATCCATTACAAAGGAGAACTATTCCCAACGGTGGCCTAAAAAAACGGTGGCTTGTGAGTTCCTGTTTTAAATGAAGGCCTCTGTATCCACCCTCACCCTCTATGGCTCTATTTGTTCAACTGTGGGTCGCTTTTAATCAAAGCTTGCGCCCGCGAGCAAATAAAAAAAAAAACTTTCGCATCAATTAAATTGTAATAATTGATTACAATAAATTGCGAAGTACCTGGACACGCAATCAGTCGAGGCAACCTTCTGGTTAATTAGAAAATACTTAAACAGAGGTTCAGAGACGCAATGACGGACCTTACAGAGGAGCAAATGTTAGAATTTAAAGACGCCTTCAGTCTCTTTGATCAGGTTGGCGATGGAAAAGTTGACAAGAGCCAAGTACCAGGTTTATTAAGGTCTGTGGGATTGAATCCCCTAAAACAAGACCTTGACAAAGTGAAAGAGAACCTCAAGTCGATGAGGGAGAAGCGGGTGACCTTTGAAGAATTCCTGCCCATTTATGTAACGCTCGCCAAGAAGCAAGCTGGTAGTGCCGAAGAATTTACTGAGGCGCTAAAGATGTTTGATCGCGATGGTAACGGTTATATCAGCTCGGCAGAGCTTCGACGAATGTTGACTGCGCTGGGAGACAAACTGACTGAGGCTCAGGCCGAACACATAGTCGCGATGTTCGAGACCAAGGGGATGATAGACTATGAAAAGCTCGTACAGGAAGTTTTGTCGAACTAGACTCGAACGACTTGAATAAACTACTGTGGGAAAAAATCTAAAGGTGTGCCGCTTGTATGAATAGCCTAATGTGACTCGACAAAGCATATTTTCAAAATAGTCCGAACTAGAGATTTTTCGATGAGACCGCTACAAACCTTTCATTTGTTGTTTTTTTATTTACAGGTTTGAAGCTCCTTTGATCGCAATTACATCAAAATTTTCCGAGTAATTATTCACTGCTCTGTGCATCCGCAAGAAGCGTCTATTTAGAAACAAAGGAATTTTACGTTTGTAAACTCGATTGCCTTTTGTCTATTATGTCTATTATGGAAATGTGGTAGACAATTAAGAGTTTCCACTCGCCGGATGTAAGTGCAATATTTAATCGTAGACTTTTATTTGAAGTCTTGTCATTTATGTTCAGTTAAAAAACACTGTGTTATTTCACGGTTCAAATTATTCATTTCCTCTCCCTTACCTTCACTTGTTATTCAAAACTTTGCGTTAATCAGTTTTTACACCCTAGGGATTATATCGTAAATGTTCTAGCAATAAACACCTTTTTCCGCTTTGTGCTATTTTGCTTCATTTTATTCGTATGCCTATGTCCTAATTCTCAGCTGCAAGATGCGGCTGCATTCTTTTCGCGCTCTTCTATCTAACCGGGACCTTAATTTCAGATTTTTTTTTTCAGGGTCGATAGGAAGTGTAGGACCATTACTTTGAACCAAGGCAGACAAACGATTGCGTACCCCTTGAAAAGCATGTCACTTAAACAAAATCTCAATTAGAGCCGATTAATGCGGATTTACGGGAATCTAATAATTACTGGGGGCTTACTCCGAGTAAGTCCGCGAGCAGCCTCTCATAAGCGCTGCGGAACAAGCAACTAAGGCCCACAAGATGCCGGTCGGCGACTGAGCCGGGTACAAGAGGTCTGTCATTTTAGCGTACGTGTAGCCGGACCTTTCCCTCCCCCAGGGTGAAACGAAAGCTTCCGTTTCACCTTAGGGGGGGGGAGGGTACGGCAACACGTAGGCTACTGTCATTTTCGTGCCAGAACTCTCGAAGATCTTCGGCTGAAACCCGCAGGCTCCGTTTGTAACCTCAATTAAACTTAGCTAATGCCAAGTATTTGAAGTGGTCTGATCGTCCGGATGAGACTGATCCTAGAAAGGACAGTCCTTTATGTTTCAACATCCTAAAGCGGAAGCCATCATCAGCCAACAGTTGCGTCTGATGATGACTTCCGGTCAAGTTGTCAGAGCGTTAGTTACAAGTAACGTCCTTCTCAGGACTAGCTACATCCTGACAACCAGTATGCACCCAAGATCTACTGTTCTTCATAAGTTCAAACCATCTACTACATTGTAAGAAAGCTAAAAAATGTTTCCTCCAAGTGAGCAGCACATAAAAGATAAACCCCTGTTGAAATGAGAATTCCATGAGCTTCTAGAGGCCCCTCTGATCCAGCTTATCTGTCGCGCGACTCAATTAAAATCCGCAAAGAAAAATAAATTTTCAAGTCTTCCTTTTGCTTATAAAAATTTTTTAGGAAGAAATCACGAGTAGCTAGACTTATCTTAGGAAAATTTCAAGTTTTTGGTTTGCTATCTATATAAATTCTCCATCCATAATCATACTTGCTCTCTTTTGTTTTTTGTTTTTTTAATCCTCGTTGTTTTTAAGGTTTGTTCCAATAACGTTCGTTTTCATAGAAACAACAGAAAACTCAAAGTAACATGCCTCAGCTCCTAAATGCAAGACGATCTCTCTCTTCGATGCAGCAAAGGTTGTATGTAGTAAACACAATACGAGTACTTGAAATGATCCCCGGGCGTCAAACTTCCTTCCCCCTCTCCACCCCACTTTCCGGGGGGGGGGGGCTGGGGGTTACAAGAACACTCGAAGTACTCTTTCAGCTCCCAGTCCCTTTCCGTATTTCTTTGCCCGCATTGACCGCCCCGATACAAAGAAACTAAGAGATTGTAAAGGTATGAAGTGTAAAGAAAAGAACTCAAGTGGGTGGTTACACTCGGATAGCAACAAAAGCCATCACTCCGACTTTCATTTCTGACTTGGAAAAGCCTATTAGCCCACGAAAGCTCAAAATGGATTATGTGTAGAGTTTCAAAATATATAGTTCCGTGTTTGGATTCAAAGTTTCCTTCATTCTAGCAGAGAAAAAACAACAGATTTCCAACCATTCCTATCGGTCAAAGACGCAATAACAACCTTGAGGTTTCACGCCGGTAGAGAAGAGCATGTCAGGCTCTTTATGCTACAATTCAAAGGAACAGCAGGTCAGCTCTATTTTTGACTTATGATCAATTTAAATAGTTCGCTTTTGCTCAAAACCTTGTAGCTTAGTCCAACGTATAGGTAGGTTTTGTATATAGGCTATTTAGTCTGATCTAAAGAGAGTGAATTGTGCGCGGTGCTAGAAATATCTTTGACACCGCCGAAAAAGTGTGTCCAACAGAGTTTAAAATGTCCTAGAAACAAACGACATTGTTTTTGTGGATACAAAGAAAAAGCTTCTCTTTACAAAAACAATCGCCTCTGTGAAGGGAAATTTAAAACCACGCTAATTGATTTTGCATGTGATTATCTGAAAGAACTAATAACTCAGTCCTTGATGCAAGATAGTGGGCGTAGCAGAAAGCTAAAAAGTATTTGATTGAATCAGTGAGTGTTTCAAAAGTAGCTTCCCTAGAAAAGTTGTCCTTAATGAACTGGGCCGTTTTTTTTTTTTTTTTTTATTCCTGACCTTACATAAAAGATAACATAAACAAAGAAAGTTAATAGTGCTTATATAAAAGGAGGGTCAAACGGATTAATCAATCTTTTGTGTCGGGTCCGAAGCGAAACACCCCATTGAAAATGGCGAAATCGTCCGCACGAAAACAGCTTTAAACTTCTGTTTCTCTTGGAAGGCAGAGAGAAGGCAAAAACTCAATCAAAAAGAAATTTATTGGCATTCTCAATTCTCAACTTCTGTATCACAAAAGTATCATAATGTCTCAATTAAACATTTTGATTTCAATCCTACAAAATCAAATTGAAAGGATCCTGAGTGCGCTAGCTAACTTAAAAACAAATTTCTGACGGAATACAAAAAACGTGAGTACTTACAGTCAGAGAGAAAACAGTATATAGGGTGTTTCGCCATCGAGGGTCTTGACAGCAAAATTCGATTGAGAAAATGAACTAGTAGCAGAAGTCCAAATTAAATGACACCCTCCGGCTGGCAGTTGCACAATGTCTGTTTCTAAACAGTGGCTGCTGGAGGGTCGCTCATAACCAAAGTGATGAGTTCTTTGTAAGGAATGACCTCTTTCTTCTTGTCTTCGAGCGACTTCACAATTTGCTCCACCTCATCCTCTGTCAGTCTGGAATCACCCTTCATACAGAGGAAAGCTCGAAGCTGCAACGAATCAATTAAACCACTCTTTTCTCGATCAAAAATGCTGAAGAACTCCAGGAAGTCTTCCATGGCTGGCTGGGGTTTAGCTTTCATTTCCTTGTGAATAGCGCAGAATTCTGGAAACTGGATAAACTCCTTGTCTTTGTAGTCGGCCTCCAGCTTTTCCAAGTCAGTACCTTGTGGGTTTAAGCCGGCTGAACGAAGAACATCTTTTATCTGCGCGATTTCAATCTTTCCCTTTCCAGTGCGGTCGAAAAGGGTAAATATTTCTTCAAGTTCCTCTTCAGCCATAGTGCTCACTCCAAAGAATTCGGATAAAAATTACCACTAATTGTGTTCCGATGCAAACTGTCAACCTCGTCACACTTCAGCTTGATGCTAAATGTAAAATGCTAGCCCGCCGCGAAGCAAGTTTACTTAAAACCTGCAACTGTTAATTGATAACCACCCTCTGTGGCAAAATTGCTGACGACCCAATCAACTCGTCGATTGCCCTATGTGAGCATAACATCATAAACTTGTTTATGATGTTTTTCTGTACGTTTGATCGATACCCTGGTTATCAAGCTTTCGACGTATTCGGGGAACTACAAAGGTTTCGAAGAGATTGAATCAAGGATTAATTACTTACAAGAAAATTTGAGAAAATGAACTCAGCATGAAATGGGCAATTAATTGACAATTTACACTGTCTTCTACTTATCTAAAGTTCACATGCTTCTTGTTGTCAAGTATGTGACGTCATGTTGTAATCAGTTGTGCACAACCCCTTAGCGTTTTCTCTTCGGTTCAGCTTTGCGGATCGAAACAAAAACAAGCTTGAAAACTGCTCTGGGATTTGTGCATACGAGATCGTTTTAAAGACCAAATTTACGACTACGTGTTATTTACCATTACTACAACTCTAAAAGGGTTCGGTAGTTTGAAATTGAATGGTTTCCTTTTGCTATAGAGGAAACACCTGAACGAACTTGCTGGTGCGTAGAATCTACAAATTTTAATGATCATTGGTTGCTTGTTTTTTTTTCGGACGAACCTTCTGGTCCGGTCAAGCTTAAGTTAGAACTGTTTTCGCTGTTGTTTTCAATCAGCAATAAGTAATTTAGTATTTGTTCACAATCTGATTCGTGAACCATTTGGAACAGTTTCCATAGGTTTTTTTTCATTTCGTTCAGCGATTGACAAATATTCCATCAACAGGTTGTTATTGTACTAATCATTGTTTGCAATACAATAGTTTGTTGATTTCGCACCAAAATTCTCAATTCAATTTATGTACAAGTATATCATGTTAAAGATGGCTCTTCTGTTGTTTTGCGGTCAAACGAAACTCATTGAAACTGGTTCAGTTCAGTAAAGGCTACGCGAAATTGAATTTTTCACTGAGAATCGAAGAAAGATTCGATAAAACATTCATGATCGTGCCTAAAAATTTAATTCAATCATCTTTATTTTAGCAGCACCTGGAGGATCTTGCGAGCGGATGACAACAAGCTCGACATTTGTGGATGTCTCGTGGAACTTTTTATTGCTTTTGAGAGACCCAAAGATTTTGCAAAAGTTAGTTTGCACACTAAGTATGTAGACTAACTTTAAGGATTTATTCCATGAATATTTTGGTATGAAATCGCTGGAACATTCTATAGAAAATCTGTATTCTCCCCGTATTTTCTGAAACAGGATCTCTCTTAATAGAGATCACCAATACATTATACGATGTACCTTTGATAGAGTTTTAAAAAAAGTATAACTGTCCAAAATCAAAGTAATTTCAACAGCCCATAAAAACGAAGGAAAGAGCACATGAAACTGCACCGATGAGAACTGGAAGCAAACTGTCTGAAGCGCTGAGAAACGCGTGATGTTGTATTTAGTTTGGAATCTTATCAGTCGAGAAAGTTGTGTGAGTTTTTTTGAACCAATCAAATAGCGAGGTAATGCAAAACTAAAGCAATTCCGGATTACTTTCGAAAATTACTCAGCGTGACAACCACAGCATCAATTACAGCATCTGTCCATATCTTTTCTTTGTCCTTTCTGCTACCTGCCGCAAGCTTTTTCAAAGTATAGCACCTTTAAATTTAATCGAAAATCATCCATAATTTTGTAAATTGTGAATAGATATTGTTTTCACACATTTTACTTTAGATAAATAATAGCTTTCAGATATTTGTCAAAGTTCTCCAAAAGTTCAGCCAATATTTGTCCTCTACATCTCTTGTTGCAAAATTTTACGTACACAACGAATTGACCAATTAAAATCGCGTTTCAGTTGTCCAGAACGGGGGGGGGGGGGTTGTTTGGGAAACGATGGCATCAAAATAGTAAACTTGTGGAAGCAACGCTCTCATTTATGTGGCGCTGTGGGGATGATCGCGGCAACCGATAACACGCTTTTACATCGAGTCATATGCAAAAACAAAATATCGTGGGAGGAACAAAGTTGAAAGTACTGTCTTCCTCTTTCGTGCTCAGTTCGTTAACCAACCAATCAAAATTTGTTTTTTTCAATCAAATGTTGTTGGCACCGAGACCAAAATGTCTTTGAAAAAAAGATTAATTTACAACGTGTGGGTGGATAATCGTTGGCACGCCAACATTCACAAGTGTCGTTTCCGTCGGTTTTTTTAAAGTACACGAGGAGAAAAATATTGATTTCGATCGTTCTACAATTCCACACAACCATTTTCATAAATTTTTCATACTAAATCGATACCTTTGTTTTATGAAGCAAAACCTCAATCTTTCCTTTGCATCTAAGTACCAAAACAGTGATCAAACCACAACTCAAATTAACATAACAAAAAAGGCCACAAGAGACGGCTGATGCAACAACATGACAGTTTTTCTCAGACAACCAATTCAAACAAAAGAAATGATTGGCTCACGCGAAGAGCGTCAAAGTTTTACATTACTTTATCAGAAAGCTGCCCTTAAAAAATTGTATTTCCGTTTATTTTATTTTGAAATACGGCTAGCTTTTTTTTAAGAGATTCCGAGCCAAAAATAATCGTGTTTCCTGTAATTGTGTGTAAGCTATCCTGATTATGTATGAAGGATTAGTAAAGTAAGATCTTTTGTTGCTACACGATGGTGACAATACTAAGAATACGACATCAATTGTGATTGGCTAATTATTTGCCGGTGTTTCATCATTCAGCTGTTTACATACCACGCTCTGAGCACATGCAAACGACCGGCCTTACGCTGAAATACCGCGAAACCGGTTGCTTTACGATTTTACATCCTGAAAGAGAAGCTCGTTTCTTAGTCGAGTAGCCGCTGGGACATTCCAAATCCTAATCTTTCTCTGTTCTCTCGGAAACGTCGCGCACAAGTAAGACTAAAAATAATATTACTAGCGCAAGTATGGAAATTAGAGCACTCTGATTTCGTCTGAGGACAAGAATATAAACATCGATCGAAAGTGATAACAATTATATTGCTTCGATCTTTCGACAGATTTTGCTGAAGCTTCTCAGCTCTGAAGTAAAGATGAGCGAGAAAAATCCGTCTGCTGATAAAACTGCCACCTACAAAAACATTTCAACAACGGTAATGTTAACATCTGATGAAGACGATCCCCAAACAAGAGTGGAAGTGATCGAGACCGAGAAGATACGACTTGGATGGGACAATAAAGTCCAATTTCTTCTCTCTGCGATCGGGTTTGCGGTTGGTTTGGGAAACGTTTGGAGGTTTCCATGGCTTTGCCAGAAAAATGGAGGAGGTATACTCATTTTATCAAATTTTCCTAATCAGTTTTTCTTGAATACTAAAAATATGATTTTAGAGTTAGGTACAATAAGAAAAGGTTGATTTACTCCCCTTTATCAAGTATTTGAATGTGAAATCCTCAACATAAGAGCGAACTTTATGAAAAATCAATCTAGGCTCATCTCTTAAATGAAAGAGCGTCTCTGATTCCTTGAGGATCCGTGAATTTTAAATCTCTTGTCAATAGAAATGAACATTTTAGAGTCTAAAATGTTCATTTCTATTGACAATAGATTTAAAATTAATAAAGAAACAGCGATAAATTCACGTTCCCTCGGGAGTTTCTTGAAATTCAACAGGAACGATGAATAAAAAACACTTCAAAGTGTGAGGGAACATTAGCATTGCCGTCAAATTCCGACCAAAATGATTCGCTCCCCTGAACGACAGAATAATGACTGAAACAAAAAAAGCGCTCGAAAATTTCGAAAAATTTCACAAACTATTACACAAATATTCAAAATTGAAATTCTAGCAAAAGGCACTGCTTCTTTTTTATTCCAACCAATCGATAGCTTTCAATCCTTTTTTTTTTAACCCAATAAAACTAACGCCCTGAATACGGTAGGCAAGATCATATAGCCTTAGCACACTTCACAATAGTTAGGACTTAATCTGGGAGACAATTACAATGAAACACTAAGTTTTGCAAAACAAAATTTTACAGATGTGCGCGAGAACAAAAATAAATAGCGTTTCTCTCTGCCCTCAGTCGGGATTCCTTCAGCCGTGCCAAAAAAAGTTGAAAGTTCAACCAGAATCAGCGCGATCAACTTTCTTAGTAAGATATTTTCCACTTTTGAACCGATTTTCGATACCGGATTTATTTAGCTGTGAGACATGTTATGGCATCAGTCAAACAAAATTTATGGGAGGAATACGCCTGTCATCTGATGTTATCAACATCTTTTTCATTCAAGTTCCTATATCCAAAATCAAGAAATAACTTAGAGTACGGCCGTGGAGAGCAAGGAATGCTTTCTTTTGTGACCGCAATATGACACAAGCTCAATTTGTCTGTTTTGTTCTTGTTTTCTTTTCTCCATGATTTTTTTTAGAAGCTGAGATCAAAGTCCACAAATTTGGCGGCAAATATTCTGCACCCGCTGTAGGGGGTTTTTTCGGGTTTTTTTAAAAGGTGAAATGGTAGCGCTTAGAACACAATCTTGGTTCTCTTTTGTAACATTGGGATTATCTAAAGGATACGACCTTATTTATGGAGTCTGGAAGCTTTTGTATAAGTGTTTTTCGGTTCTCGTGAGAAAAAAGACAGCAGGTTGTCGTCGGTTGATCAGTTACCGAAAAATGTCTCAGTTTTAAACAAAGTTGAAGTGGAGCAGGTCTAGGTTAAGTGGATGCATCAGGGAAAAAAATTATAAAACAAAAATAATCATAGCCTGGTGGTAAAATTGAATACACTTTGAAAATGAGGCTGAAAAGTTATTCATTGAAGAATTGTTTCTATACACTGTGTGAATCAGATAAAAGTAATTGGCAAACATTTTCCCTGCACGAGGTAAAAATGTTTGCATTTTAGGTTCCAAACACTTACGTTTCTAATGGCAAGAATTGACATTTTTAATTTAGGAACACCTTAAAGATCACGCTATTAGGATGGAACTTTCGAGAAAGGGTTATGAAAGGGTCCGAAACGTTTCCGTCTCATTGTTCACGGAGTTTTTCATCACGACAGGATACGGAAATTTAGGTTTTGACAGCTCTCTGCTGAAAAAGTAATTGGAATGAAGCTTTCTGTGCATTTACATGAAACCGGGCAAATATTTTCTTTTCTGATCAGTTTATTTAGATATATGTACATTTAAAAACATCTTATTTTGAATTTAAGTGGAAGGGACATGGCGGGGGTCCTTTCCGTTCCTAAATATTTGGACTCCGAAAAGTAAACCATTAAGGACCTATGCACATATTAAATAATTCAAGCATCATTGTCGTTCTATTTTATTACTATTTTTTAATGAAATTTCTATTCTTTTTCTCGTAATAATTTCAAAAAGTTTTGCATCTCTCGATAAATATCGTAACGTCATCAGAAACTTGAAAATAAAATAGTCCAGAACATGCATAAGACGTGAAACAAACTAAACTTGATGGAAATTAGGGCGTTGGTCTTAGGCCGCAATTCTACGGCGATTAGATTTTCGATGTTTTGATTATGAACGTAAAACTGCGGTAAAACACACGTTCTATACATTAGTGATGATAATACAGGGCTGCTGATCCAGTAAAAACGATTGGTATCGAATGCTTGCGGTTTTTCACAATGAGTGTAAATTTTAAGACCAGTTTTCATTACACCACTTTCGGCAATTGCTCAGATTCGATGGCCTTGCCCTTAGTCATAAAATATAGTAAAGCATCCAGTTCTTTGTGGCCGCGATCTTAGGGAATCAAAATCAATCTCGACATTTAAACGAATTACATTAAGAAATCATGAGTGATGATTATTTCTTGTGTCTATACTTCAGCTTATATGAATGCATCCAGACTTTCGCCACTTCACTTGATAAAATTTTTAGCTTAGGGTTATGGCGGAACTGGCTCATTCTCTATCTCGAGACGTAACTCAAGATTGTATGATTAGATACCTCAGGGAAAAAAAAAATTGACGAAAGGTAGACCACCAAAACACCTGATAACATTAAAGTCTCTATTTTACCGGCGGCTTTGTTTGCGAGCAGTACTGACAAGATCCACTGCTATCAGCTGAATGTGGCGATTATTCTTCCCTCTGCAAAGTGATTAACAGAAGTTTATCAAAAGACCTAAAATCCACATCGTGTAGAGTTAAACATTACCCTGCCGATCTATACGAGTGTTTTGACGGAAAGATGTATCTTTTCGGTTTCAACTGTCCAGTCAAGTTTGACTTCCACTATGCGTTCATTTTTACCTTAGTATACTATAATTAACAAAGTTTTTCTATTATCCTTTTTTCCTTTTCTTAGGCGCTTTTTTGATACCCTACTTTGTCATGCTGATATTCGAGGGAATACCGATCTTCTACTTGGAACTCAGTATCGGTCAACGCCTTCGTCAAGGAGCTATCAACGTCTGGAGCACAGTTAGTCCCTACCTGGGAGGTGTAGGGATTGCAACAACGGTGGTTAGCATACTGGTTGGCAGCTATTACAACGTGGTCATCGGTTGGGTGTTGTTCTACTTCGTCCAGTCGTTCCAGTCCCCTCTACCGTGGGCAGAGTGTCCTCAAGTGGCAAGCCCTAACGGCACTGAGTTAACAATACCAAGAGAATGCTCCGAGAGCAGTCCAACTGCTTACTTCTACCACAGAGAGACTTTAATGCACGCCAACAGAATAGAGGAGAGCGCAGAGATCAACTGGAAGTTAGCCGTGGCCCTTGTAGTTGCGTGGGTGTTGGCCTACCTTTGCATCATCAAAAGCATCCAGTCATCTGGCAAGGTACGATAATTTTTCAAGTATTGTCAACTTATTTCTTTGTCATTAAGCTCAGGCTCGTAATGCATGCAACAGTCTGCCACGGTTAACAAATTCCTTACAGAAAATTTCAAAACTATGCTGAATCACTTTAAAGGCAAATTAGGGTACTTTTATCTATCCTGCTATAAACGCGAAAATGATTTTTTTGGAATATTTTACCATCTGTTAAAATAATGTCACGGTAAGCCATGGTGTTATCTTGCAGGTCGTCTACTTCACAGCAACATTTCCATATCTGGTCCTCTTTGCATTCTTCATTCGGGGTCTATTTTTGAAAGGCTTTGAAAAAGGAATAATACATTTGTTTACTCCAAAGGTATGTATATCCTTTAAAAGTCGGGATCTTTGCACTGAAAGGAAAAGAAGACAAGTTAGAAGAAGAAAAAAAAACTCAGGGAGGTTGTGTTACGTTAGTCTGCGTTAAGTTCTCATGATGTACTTCTGGGGGAAATAGGCTAAATTAGGTATCCCTCTCTGCTGATTAATTAAAAAAAAAATTAAAGATAGGCCAGGAATTGTGAGGAAGCGTTAGGGAGATAGTAATAAGATAAAGGGACACTTAAGTGTGGCGTGACAGTTGGGCCTCTGGTGTCCAAGCCTGTTAAAATTGTAAACATTTGATATATGAATCGGAACAATCTTAGGAAAAGTTATGAGGAGACTCGCTTGATAGGATCGGCTTATGCACAGTTGGGATCATCCAGCTGCCACTGTAGACCAAAATAGACTAAGGGGGGACCTGCCTGACCTTCGCTGTCCCACAGGTCAGAGGAATAAGGGTAGATGCCACGATAGCATTGACTGCTTTTTCAATTTCAAAACCTTTGCATGCTAGGACCTGAAACGTGATGACTCCTACAAAGGTCATTTGATTGCTCTGAAAATATTAATTTTTGAAGCAGGAGTGCTCGCATCTTGCGGCTACCCAGAGGTCCAGATTGTCTAAAAAAAGTAAGCTCTTTCTTAGCTGTAATTATTCTTTGGATGAGACGAGTTAACCCAAGCCAAAAAAAGGTTTAGAGGTGTCTTGATGTCATCGCATCCTTGCGATTCTTTTGTCAAAACGACAATTGTCAATAAGTCGCCGTTAACTGCGGTTAACTAAGCTTAAACTGAACAATCCATGGTTCGCTCAACTTAGAAGCTGTGAGAGGGCTTACTGAGAGAGGGCTTTCTTAGATAGATAGTTTATGTAAAGGAATAGAAAAAAAGAAGGTCTAACCATTAATCCCTCTCCAAGATGATAACTAACGTCTAACTGCAGTAGAGGTTTCTGCGATTCCTATGCAGTTTAACACTGCGGTCCCAATGATGTAGCTCCAGCAAACTTGGACAGCGTAAGTATGGACCATGTGATGTCTGCAATTCTAATGCAGAAAAGTGCCATATCGGAGATGTATCGAACCCCTAAACTGCAATTCAAATGCAGCATAATCATAAGAACGGTTTTTTAGTTTCCTGCAATTCAAATGCAGTTTTCCCTCGTTTGACTCACCCTCGCTATCATAATACTTCAAATCACTTCATACCGGCCAAAATAGTCGCGACAACTCCATGCCAGGTATCTGCAATTCCAGTGCAGTCTCAAGCCTGCTGGTGAGCATTGCTGCTAAAATCGGTTGTTTCCGCTCAGTCTTAAACCCTTTCAAAAGAGCACCACCAGATTCGGCATCGTACCACATTAAGCTACTTCCGCAAGTTCTTTTAACGCTGAAATCCTTTCTGCAATTCCAATGCAGTTCCCTAAGTAAAAACAGTGAGCAAGATAAGAGATTCGGCGTTGTTTGGAAGGAATGCAAAACAGTGGGAGAAACCTTTTCCTATCTTCATAACTCGGCAATTCCAATGCAGAGTTTTAAATCTCTCGGGACTTTTCCAAACAAATAGGATATACCCTAACAATGCAGCTTTCAACTAACTACTAGGTTCGGTTCTTGTCAATAACTGTAGGCCGGCTCGGCAACGAAGACGTCATCTACGTGTATCAGTTTTTCCCGTCCCATGAAGAGGTTCGAGGCTACACAAACCACACCGGCGACTCCTAAACCATCAATTACAGACAAACGTGTGCAATTCCAATGCATTAAATATTCAATGAAAAGTCAACAGACACTAATATACATCCATGCTTCAAATGTAGAGACTCAGGATGGGAACAATGTGATCAGTACAAAGTGAGGATCTCGATTCTGAGGTTTAAATCGAGGTGGGCATCGCGTAGACATATTTCAAATGCACAATTAAAGACATATGTAATTTATTAATAAAGCTTCATAAATCTCCATTCTCTGCAGAGTAACAAAATTGTTTGCTATAGTGAAAGGAATAATGCTGTGTGCTGTGCCTTTAGAGCTCAGTGCCAGCTGTAAATCGTAGAATATCACTGAAATTTGGCGTTCTCGAAACGCGGACATTCTTTGAAAAAGAAACTTGGACATCGCGTCTTATGCATTGAAACATGCACATCTTTCTGAAACAATTATAAAAGATAAACTAAGCTATTCTTAAAATTTATTTAATCAGATATAACACATCTTAATGCTGTTTACTGCGCCTTGTGCCCAGTCACGGCAATCGGACCAACGCAGTAGTTCTCAAAACACTGATTGAACAACAAAAACACAATGATATGGTTAGTTTTTTTTGCTGAGCCCTGTGCCCAGTAATCACTATCATTTTTAAACGCAGTAGTTCACAAAAACTCTCAATCTCTTAAATCAACTCTATTCTCCAAATGAACTAAGCGAAGAGAAAAGAATGCTGACCGCTGCGCCATGGTGCCCAGTGGTAGTAACCAACCAAATACCCAGTCGTTCTCAAAACACTGGTTCCTATATTTAAAACATCGATTAATATTCTAAAATGCTGATTGCTGCGTCTTGGTGCCCAGTAACAGTTGTCAATCGGATACCCAGTAGTTCTCAAAACACTGGTTCTTTTATTCACAAAAACGATTTGAATCTCTAAAATGCTGATTGCTGCGTCTTGGTGCCCAGTAACAGCTGCCAATCAGATCCCAGTAGTTCTCAAAACACTGGTTTTCTCTAAATACAAAAGTGACTTCTAAACTTTGAATGCTGATGCTGCGCCATAATGCCCAGTAACAGCTGCCAATCAAGTACCCAGTAGTTCTCAAAACACTGGTTGTTCTACAGATGCAAAATATATACTTAAAAGCTGGATACTGCGCTTTGTGCCCAGTTTCAGCTACCAGTCAGTCCCAGTAGTTCTCAAAACACTGGCAGAAGAGACAAATTGAGGTGTTCTGGTCTATCGATCAAGCATCTAAAGCACCCTAAAATAAGATGTAAAATATATTTGGATCTTCTGCTGTGTCCGGCACTCAGCAGAAGAGCTCATTCGCTTGCACAGTTGTTCTCGAAACACTGAAGTCGTCTGCATGATAGCCACAAATTTAACATTTAACATCTGATAACTTAAACCTGGTGAGCTAAGTGTATTGCTCATCATTTACTTATTTCTCCAGTTAAATGGACCATAAACTGAATACTAACGTTAAACTCTTAGTTAAAGGTAAAAGAACTGAATACATCAACATCAAAACCTGTCTGGCACTGATCTCTGCGCCTCGAGCCCAGATGAAATGTGTCGATCAAAGCAGGACTCAGTAGTTCTCGAAACACTGATTTATGTTTTCATCAACAGTGGGATCGACTTCTGGACCCACTGGTCTGGCTGGACGCAGCTACACAAATCTTCTTCTCTTTGGGCCTGGCATTTGGCACAATGATTGCCTATGCCAGTTACAATCCTATTCACGGAAACACACTACGTGATACCATTACAATTTCCGTCGCTAACTGTATGACTTCCCTGTTCGCTGGGATTGTTGTTTTCTCCATTTTAGGATTCAGGTAAGAGAACTCATCCCTGTTTCATCGAAAAACATATGAAGATCCAATCAGTTTAGGCCAGAACTCTCCGACCCTTTCCTTCAACCCACATTTTGGATAGAGTATAGCCAAGAGAAAACTGCTTCCTTCTACAGTTTAGCGCCTCAATTTGCCAAAATTCAGCAAATTCTAATGGTACTGAGCTCACAAGATTATTCATTTCTGGCAAGACCACTATTAAGCTCGAAAATTGACCGAGACACGGCGAACAATAAAGTGCCATAAGGTCTCTCCTTTGCGAGGAAATCCCGGTTGTCGACGAAAAACAGGTTGTGCATAACTCCGAGAAGTTTGACGATAGTTTTGGCGCGAGCTTCAGACCGGCCGTGACAAATTAGTCGTTACTGCAAACACGTTTTTTAGGCCATACCTCAACGAAATACCGAAGATCAGTCCATGGTGTCACTGTCTGCCTGTCGAGTTTACAAATCGATCATTGGCAATAGGTTCTTCTACAGAATTACAAATACAGCACACGCCGTTTCCAAGCGTACAAAACCGTGTCAACTAATATATGAGTACCGGGTCAGGAGAAACATTTAGCCAAATCCGTGTTGCGGGTCTCCGCCATCGCTGACCATCTTGGTTATCTCCGGTGTTTTCGTCTACCCTCTATGGAAAGCTGAAAATGACCCAAACATTGTGACGTATGCAAGTCCTTTAAACTGACCAAAAGAAAAAAGGCCCGGCCAACGGGGTTTGGGTATTCAGGTTCCCAGGGTCTTTTTCTAAAATATCGAATACATAATTTACTATCACAGGAAAGATATGAGTTATTTCGTTCAAGTCAAAAATTGTGGGGATTTGACTTTAAAAATGTAACAACTTTAAGGTATATCGGTAGTTTAATGGAACAAGATCGGGTTCAACAGTATTCCACTAACCCTTGAGCGGAAATAACAAGGAGGGAACCACAGAGTATAAGCGAGGTTCATTCTTGGACAAAATAGATAGAAAAACTAGAATAACCCTCCAAAAATTTAAAGATCTAACAAAGGACGCGTTTTGGACTTCATCTTTGTTATGGAAGGGAAAGGGGTTGATCATGAATTTTCGTTTCGTCTAAAACGGTGGGAGGCAGTTTTGAAAAGTAGGATGGGAGCACAAGACTTTGTTTGAGCACCTTTGTGAAATACGTTTACGTTTTCACAGAGCAACCTACATGATGGAAAACTGTGAAGCAAACAATGCCAAACTCTTGGAGCGCCTCAACTCAACAGCTCACCAGCTGAACACAACTGGATTGTCCGCTCATCACGGCAATGGTACAAACAATATCACAAGTGGATATGTACTTCAAAAATGCGATCTGGAAACTTTCCTTTCCGATGTAGGTGAACAGTTATGTGTGCTTAGTCTTCAGTTTTTCAAGTAGTCCTGTAATCTAGTGCAAGTCAAACTAGATAACGTTTGGCGTCTTTGTTTCTCAACTGAATATCGTGTTAAAAAAGCGAAAACTTATCGGTTTGGTTTGGAGTATCCTAAGGAAAGTGGTAATTTTAAAACAAATTGTTTAAGGCTCCAAAAGAACAATAGCCTTCACAAAGGCGTAGCTCGGGGGGGGGGAGGGGAAGGAGTCCTGGGGTGCCCCTCCCCCCTTTGTAAGCCTTTTTAAAAATAAAACACGGCGCGGAGGTCGGCACGACAATCTGGAGAATACCCTAACAGGTGTAACCCCTCCCTTCCCCTTTGAAAAATCCTGGCTACGCCCCTGTGTCAGTCCTCAGTAATCTTAGGTATTGAAGAATCGCTTCTTCGTAATTTACTAAACATCGTGTCAGGTAGGTGCACTTTCTTGAAAGGATAGAATTTACGACTGGGTCATGATTTAGATAAGCTGAGTGTCTCTTTTCTGCTGCACCATACCGTGAATGCCATTTGCAAAGCTCAGTGGAAATCAAAACGAGAAATTCTTGGTGCCACGACCTTAATTGCTAAGGCCACCTTAAATTTTTTGATATCCAATAGGCAGCCAGTGGTCCAGGATTGGTTTTTATTGCTTTCACCGATGCCATCAACCAAATGCCTGGGGCAACCTTCTGGTCTATCTTGTTCTTCCTCATGCTTCTAACCCTTGGGCTGGACAGCTTGTTTGGAGCGCTGGAAAGTGTAACGACAGCCTTGCAAGACGTCAAAGGATTTGGAAAACTAAGACGCGAAATTCTATCTGGTAAGGAGTCTCATGGTCTTTTTTTTTTTCAGATACAAGAAGGGAATTCTTAGAATGTCTTTTCTGTTTATTGAGGGAATTTTGACCAATAAGAGCATAGGGTACTCACCACGCATCAGGAAGACTCAGTTTCCTCGCTCGCAACGAGGTAAAAGGAACGAAATACCAGCGCAAATTGGCTAGTAACAAAACTGTCAGAGGAAACACTTTTCAATCCTTCTCTCCCTCTTAAATTGGAGCATAGAACAAACATACCCCTACAAGCTTTACATTATTGAAGTAAGAGAAACTTGCACAAATCAAATTGGAATGAGGCGTCGTGAATTCAGATGTATGCAGATGCGAGTGACAGATCATGAACGCCCAAGTCAAATCTAAATTCGGTAATAATCAAGCGTAATCTTTTGTATGTTGCAACGTGTGTTGTAAATCCGTTTTATTCCAGGGCTTCTGTGCATCACTGGCCTATGTATCGGTCTTCCCATGGTCACATATTCTGGTGAATATATTCTTCAGATGTTTGACAGTTTCGCAGGCAACCTTCCCCTGTTACTCATCGCAATCTGCGAGTGTGTCGGTGTTTGCTATTTCTATGGCATAACAAGGTAGAGTTGATTTCAAATTTGTCGTATCGATTACAACACAAGCTTTTCTGAGATAAAAATGAAGACATCCGGGAACAGACAATGCTAAGTTACCTTTATTCCTCCTTCGTTGACAGATTTTCTGATGATATAGAGTACATGACGGGTACTCGACCAAACATCTTTTGGAAAATCTGCTGGATGCTCGTCACCCCAGTTGCCATGTTGGTTATCCTGATCGCCAGCATCGTTCTCATGTCGCAAGGAAAGGCTTCTTACTATGCCTGGAACAAGGAAATGGTAAGCAAACTATAGGCTCTTTAATCCTTTCACACCCAGATCTCATGGTAACTCTCCTTAGTGTCTGCCATACTGTTCACACTGAGGATGTTAGTTCGTAGAGTTTGGTATTAGATCAACTAATGATTGCCCAACTGATGTTTAAACAGGTCTTGATTCTTTTTAACCTTTTAACTCCCATGAGTGACCAAAACAGAATTTCTCCTCACCAAAATCAGTACAATTTCAAGCATACGAGCAATGAGAATAAAGAACAAGATCAATTAGGGGATTATTAGTTGATCCAATACCAAATTCTCTGAACTAACATCACAAGAATTATATGGCAGGTTGTAAGGAGAATTACTAATAAGATCTCGGGAGTTCAAGGGTTAAAGCGTTGAGCTTTCTGCTATATCATAAATCCTTTATTGACTAAGCTCGTTCGTCCAAGATGGCTGGACGGATTTTTTCCGTTTTTTTATACCTCGACTTCGTCACGGTCCATAAAAACGCAAAAAAAAAAAAAAAAAAAAAAAAAAAAAAAAACTCCGCCAATATCTTGCTATCTTGACCTCACGCTTTATCAATAACGCATATTTATCGATCGTCTTAGTACTTTTCTTCAGGTATTTAACAGTTTATTTGAACTAGTGATTCTTGAGTATTAATTCGTTTGTGGTGCTCCCTACTCAGGTCACTTACGAGAAGGTCCCCTATCCAGACTGGGCAGTCTTCATCGTGGTTGTACTTGTCCTGATGTCAGTTCTCTTCATTCCTGGCGTGGCTATTGCACGATACTTCGACCTAGTCAAGTATCAAAAGTTGGAGCCTGTTCCATTAAAGGAAGCTGAGGCGAAATCTCACGATAACGACTTTAGCGACACAAACGTTTAACTTAAGTTTCATCAAGCAGTGGATCCTCATCTTTAGGACAATCTCTGAGGCATAATAATAGGGTTGTATTAACAGGATGGTTGTTCGCTTAAGTTCCACCTTACTATGCTCATATACATTTAGGTAATATATTTACTCCTCGACCTCTTCCCTTCTCCTCATTTTTGACCGTCGTCCACTCCCTTGGTGCAAATTTCTTTCTCTCCCCAGCCTTCTGCTGCCATTAAAGTCAAAGGTGGCGGCTATAACTTACGCTAAGAAAATACTGAGCACTCGTTCGCCAAAATTACGCTTGCTCTGCAAAAAGGTGTCTACTGGGGTGTCAAGGGTAAAATTTTTCTTTTGTTTTCCCTTAACCTTTATACCCGAAATCAAGCATTTGAGTTCCCTTTATTTTTCTCTATATACATCTAGACGCAACCTTTTGGAGATCAAGGGAATTTTCCCTTCCTTGGTCTTTTTGTTTAACTATTGTCGTAACCTCCACTAGTAGCGTTTTTTTTTGTGAGAAGAAGTTCGACACTGGTAATATTTAGGGCTTACAAGGTTGACGGAACTACGTTATAGAAAACTTGGAAGAATCGAAGGCAACTTTGAAATGTTTTGTAATGTTAATAAACACCAAAGAGTTAAAAAATAAGCCAAAAAGGATGGTTAAAGATGGGGAAGAATAACACGAATAACAAAGGACAAAATTTTAGAGATCGGGCTGAAGGTTTCACGAAGCACAAAGAGTAACGTAGTTCCTTCAACAGATGTTAGTCTTCGGTTAAGTTTTAACCGCTTTAACATAAAAACAGTCATGTAAAACTAACTAAAAAAACTCGTTATCAACACATTCTCCTAACTAGCCAACTTGAGTTCCTGCCTCTTCCATTACTCACCGATCGAGTTGCCGGTTCCTTCTTGTTCTACGACGCAGTCGGTCTAGCCTTTGATTGAACTCCATGTTGCAAAAATGTGCTATTCATAGAGGATGATTATAAATCATTGTGAAAGATGTTTTCTTCTAGCAGAATCGAACACGTCTATTGAAAATTGATTGTAATCTGATACATACATGTCAAAAACTTTAAAGATATTTTAATTTTTAATCAGTGGAAACAACTAAATATATTTTGCGATTTCTACGCATTTGAAGGCTTTCTCACTTTGTGCAGGATATTTCGTTTCCTTTAATTATGTTACATTAAATAGATGAGAAAAAGCCTTTTATTTTTGTATAATCACAATTAGGATATTTAACTACATTAAAAAATAATTAAAACAGTAATTAAGCATTAATTTAGTTAGCGTAAATCCAGTTGATTACATATATTAATTACACTGATTCAAATACTTTTAAAAATAGTGATCAATATCATTTGATCAGTTGTGCATTTGAGTGTGAAATCATTAGTGCAATTTACTCTGTTAAAAGTTGTTATGATGACTCTGCCCTAAATGCACATTCACTATATATCTATAAGACATGATATTCAGATTGAACAAAGACATCAAGTCACTTCCTTGACTTGCACACATCAATGAATTCTATTTGAATGAATCGTATGCTGCCTATGAGAAGGCCTTGCCTGCTACTGATCCCAAATGAACCAGTAAAAGTGTTCTTTCTGGTGACAAGCAGGAGGTTACATGGAGTCTTTACTAGAATCTAGTATAATCTGATGACGGTCACTTGAAGTATACAAAATGCTACGAGTTTTGACTAAAACTGATGTAGATGGAGCATAAAGTTAAGAAATAATTTCCTTACCATTACTCAATTTCTTAATATACAATAACTCACTTTCTGAATATATTACAACAACGTTTCACTATACTGTATCAACATGGCAAAGTGAATAAAGATAAATTCACTGATTGATTTAATCATTTTGAGTGAGGCCAGTGTCATACTAAACTGGCACATACAATACATAGCTGTACATGCTTCTCCCTGTGTGGTTCCAAGTGGGATGTACAAGATACTAGAGATCCTTGCCATGGCCATGGGCCAGACATAAGTCTGTTCATAGGCCAGTAGCCAATCAGAGCATTGCTGTCGTGGCCATGTGATGTTGACTGAGCCAGGTCAATTCGTTGTACATGCATGTTTCGACGCACTGTAGATTCTGACAGCATGCAAGACCAGATGCGGACCTCTCTTACCTTGGTAGATAGAAATTACAAAACACAAGCATAAAAAGAAATTCAGGATTGCTTTAGTTTTGCTTTACTTTCCTCAAAGATTAAGGTCTACAGTCTGCAGCATCCTCTTGGGCACTCATACTCTTGCATGCTTCAGAGGGCCATTTTGTTTTCTTTTTCCTGAGTTCTTATCATCTCCATGTAGCAACTTCCATCTAGAGACCCCTAGAGCACATACTCACCCAATAAACAAGTACCCACCCCTGGTTTACAACGAGGCTAAATTGAAATACAAAGTTGTCTACTTGTGTTCATGCCCTTAGAAAAAATATTTCAAGAATGAAACTTATTCAGTAGATCTTACCAAACCATTGAAAGGATACCATCCACAATGGCCTCGAGGCATGGCATCATCACTCCAAGGTGTGCACACTCCATGACTGATAACACCATTACCAACCTGACTATATTTCATGTAATGTCTGAAAGACAATGGGTATAAACATAAAATATTGGAGCAGAATCAGCAATGGAATCAAGTATTGACAAGCTCTCTCCAACTGAGTTGCAGTTTGTCAATCAACTAGTACATTTCAACATTGTATATGTCTAAATTGAATTGGAAATTTTTCAACAATGAAAGTGACTGAGGATTTTCCCTTTAAGAGAAACACAGGAAATCATTCTAAAGGAAAGAAATTCCACCTTCTATAAATTACGGAGTTGAGCCCATTAATGTTTCTTTAGAAGTTAACATGCTAAACCACAGAGTAGTAAGAGGCTTTAATGGTAACAGGGCAAATAGTTTGTTCATTGAATCTTGCATTTTAATAGTTTCAATTATATATTCTATTGATGTTGCCTAGCATTTTACATTTCTAGTTTGTATTTTATTTTTTGATGTGTTTAAATCAGCTGTTTCAGTGGAACCCCAGTACTGTAAAGAGTTCACACCCTGTGTTTAAATAAAGTATGTATGTTATGTTACACTCATGTGACAACCAGATTGCTTACTACCCTGGATTTTAGTGTTAGTGTGATTATTTTGCAAATTTCCTTTTATACAAAACCAAGTTTTGTGAATCTATTTTAAATTTTAGCATAGCAATTTTCTCTCATATTGACCTTGGCCTTTACTGACTTTAAGTATTACTACTTCTTCTTGACACTGTTGTAATCCCTTTTAGGAAAACCACCAGCTTTATAACAGGTTTTCCTGAATGTTTGCCACTATTAATTCCACTCCTGGGTGGGGAGAGGTGGTGCTAGAAGCAGGACTGCTCAGAAGTCTGAGTTTACTATGGCTTGCTTACTAAAATTTTTTTTCACTACTTTTTTTTACTGTTGTGACAATTTCACCCCAAAGGAGAGACTGCTCTTGCCAAACTTGGCCAGTGGTTAGGGCAAGCTTTAATGATCTGGAATCAGTCATTCAAAGGGCAGATAACGCAATCCAACTTATCCAGTGGATAGTGTTATCCACCCTTCCAACGAACCACTTTGCCTCCACATCTACCACAGTTTATATGAAAAAAAAAGGATTAAAGCTGCACCTGTGAAGTTCATGTCCAATTCCAAAATTTATTGAGCAAACCTTGCGTCCATTTACAAACATACACTGCCAGTCTGAAGATGCAGCCAGTGCAATGTGGTGCCACTGTCCATTGTTTATGCAAGGTCCTTTCATGTACTTGTAGGGTTCTAGGGAACCTCTAATGTGACCATCTGGACCTACATGAAGTATCTGCCAGTGATATTGAGGCCACCTGCTTGTCCTGAATAAGACCAACACAAATAGAAAAATCAATAAGAAAACATATAAATTAAAGTGCTCTTTTTAACTTGCCTTTGTAGATTAATTAACCTGTGGATGAGGTAAAGTATGTTTGTGAGACTACCTTACATAGCTGCTCATTAGCTTATCCTAATAGCAATGGGGGATTAGGGGAATAAGAAATAATTTGCTTCTTCTCTTTGAGGATTTCTGATTCTCTAAGCTATCTGTTTCCCTTGAGCTTTGCTCTTGAAAAACTGTTTGTTTTTCTGAACAAATTAGATCCACAGACATTCCAGGAAATTTTTCTTCCAAGGCTGTTTGTCATACGTTTTAGTTAGTTATATTACATAATAATTAAAGTAGCTAGGCTTAACTTTATCTGCAAGGTTTAACATTGACTTGAGAAGCTTGATATGTTAAATTTTAAGGTAAGATTAATAAGATGCTTCTTGTGTTTTGGCATGATATGGTACAAGTGAAGACTTGCTGGAAAAATACTGATTTTAAACATTAACATCAAAAGTAATAGAATAAACCAGATCAAAATTTGTAAGTATCACAAGTAAAACTCGGTTAGTAAGGAGCCCCATACTGTAAAGTGGAGCCCTAATGCACTTATCATGACGAGTTCAAAGTCTGCCTAGTTTCCAAGCCCCTCGTCCGTGTAGTGCTCTCAAACTTTGGCAAACTGAGAGAGAAGCGTCTTCTTTAGCAGATTGTTTATAGAATGTATATCAAAACAATTACTGAATTTCGGTTTTTCGTTTTCATGAATTATCAAACCGGTTTTGATAATTCATGATATCATGCTCAACCTCATCCATTAGCTTCTTACGAAATTTGCCCTTGCCGTCGACGTTCTTCGTTGGTAAAATCAAATTACTGTTTGCTGATGATGGACAAAAATTTACTAAAATTTATACGCAAGTGTGTTCATTCTTATACTTCTTTCATTTCAAGACACTCTCCTTTGCGTCGTTTCCGTGGTTTTCGCAAGCTCCCTGTATGTACATGTTGTGAAGTTTAGCACGTACAAAACAAAGCAGATCGCTACCTCACTGATTCACTCTGGCATCCAATAATTATCCCATCTGGTTTCTTCGTGTTAAGTTTCACCCATAGTTCTATGCTTTGCTTTTTCGGTGCTCGGTCGTCAAATCGAATTCCATTTATCGCACGTCTATTTTCAGGTCCTCTCGGATTGGTTACAAATTCCGCGCACAGTCTTTCCCCTTCGACACTGGAAAACCATCCCCTTCTCCTGTTTTTAAATGAGAGAGCATGACTGGCTCTAAGATACAACTTCTTCCAGAATCCTGGCTTCACATCAAAGTTTGCGCTTTCCTCGTTCAGCTCGTTCGAAGTGGCGACTTCGTCATAGCGTGTGTTAAGATGAAGTTGTAGCAAGTGATCATTGTTACCTTTGAAACGTCTTTTCCATACAACATTTTGATTTGTTATTTCCAACAGTCTTCTACTCGTACATCCTAAATTAAGAATATCCTGAATATGTACAAGGTACACAATTATGTGAAACCATATTTCCTCAGGAAGGCTGGAGGCTTCCGCCATTTGATTTGTGTTGCCTCGAGTTGATGTGTCACGGTAGTCGCTACAAGTAGTGCGTTACAAACCGGAAATGAACTTCAAGCCGACGAGACTCAAAACATGAATACAATTGTTTCTAAGAAGTGATGTTTTTGAAAACACAAAAAGGTAATATACTTGAAAAATCATAGAAATCATACTTGAAATTTACTGAAGGGCTTTTTAGCAATAGTTAAAAATACGCAGGGTATTTTAAACAAGTAATACGACAATTTTGCTGAAAAATCGATTAACCCCAAACAGTAACAATTATGCAAACAGTTGTTTTTCTTTTCGTGCGCAGCTAAATTTTGTTTCTAATGTTTACAATTGACTCACCCATGACCGGTTAATCGTTAAGCTTTCAATTTTTACGCGCACAGAAATTCAGTGCATCGGTCGATTATTGTTACACACAACCTTCTTCTTCACACGTGATCATATTTCCAAAACACACAACTGAACCCAGTGAATTATGATGTCTGATGTCACGATGACTAATGCGCTAGGTCGCTTGAGGTTAAATACTCCCACAGACAGTTTTCTTTGTAAATATTTTTTAGATCAATATGTTACTTAGAATTTAAAAAAATGTGTAATATATATCTAAACGAATCTAAACCCATATCCGCTTGTGCACTTTTCGAAATATCGTACGGATATTTAAATCACTGGCTTATCATATCTTCCTCTGTTTTGAAATTTTCTCTTTTTTTCTGCTTCGTGCATATTAGATCCTAAGTTTGATCCACCGCGAATAAAAGTCTCCAGCTGGATTCGTCGAGCGATTCGTGAAGGTTTTCGTTGCAGGGGACACGAGCCTTGCACGCGAACTACAAACATTTTGAATTTGGAAATAAAATTTTCGAAGATCCAATGAGGTGAATACCTGGTAGTAGGTGTCAGGAAAATAAAACAACAGAGTTTGTTATTGTTATCATTAAAAGATTATCTCGCTGACGTATTTTTGAGACCTGAAAATACCGTGACAACTTGTACTCAGCTTCCGTTATGCAGTATCATTTGATTGACACCTCTAATTACAATCGTCTCTTGTAAATGGCGCTTACGGAAACTAATTGATTCATCGTTCTGTGTACTTGTGGTTTGTCATGTGTTTAGTGAAATCCTGAGTAGTTTTCCTTACTTTCTTCGTTTATCACATCTTCTAACCAGTGCAACAAGATTTGAAACTTCCAATTACTAATTTATCGAACGGAAATAGGGATAAATATCAGCGTACATCATCAAAGATTGCGTGAATTCTTCGGCGAGATTCAATCTTTGGAGATTCCAAGGAATAACAACAGATCAGTTAATGCGTTGGGATGTGATGAGAAGTTAATGATCCTGGCTTTC